TTGAGGTTTACTCGTAAAGATGGGATATTAATTAAAAGGGACATTATCTGAATTTGATACAATTTCAGGATGGATTCCGTCGTTGGAGATGATCAGACGCTTCCCTTTGACTTCAATGGAAGGTAAGCGATTTGCCTGCCAAGTAAAGCTAGCTACCTACCTAGCATATCTAGCTAACGGTAGTTCAAATTTGTGTTGATAAAACGTTATTTTGTTAGCCGAACGTTCGCTAGGATTAAAGCTAGCTAGCTCACAGACGGGTAAAAAAATAGGGTTGCAACTAATAGCTAGCGTTAGCTTCCCAAGTATTTCAACTCCTCACTTGATTTGGAGCTAGCTAGCGTGTTTCCGTTAACTTAGTTATTGTTATAAATATTTATCTTATGGTAGCTGGTTGCCAACTAGTTATCTGGCTAGTAACGCTAACTAGCCTCGGTTGTTGCCAGTGTTGATGTCATACATTAACGTTAATTCAAACCAAACCTTGTATTCTAAACAACAATACTACTAAATAGCTAATCAAATGACTACCTGCACTAACTCTATTCTATGCACACACTGGACTCTACCCACACTGACACCAACACATGCATATTGACGACACACACACACTTTAACTCACCACATACGCTGCTGCTACTGTCTTATCTATCCTATTGCCTAGTCACTTTACCCCTACCTATATGTACAGTACATAGCTAGCTACCTCAATTACCTCGTACCCCTGCACATTGACTCGGTACTGGCACTTCCTGTATATAGCCATGTTATTTTCTACAGTACTCACTATATAGCCATGTTATTTTTTACTCGTTCACTATTTATTCCTCGTTTCACTTACTATTATTTACTTTTATAACCCTACATTGTTGGAAATGGACCCGTAAGTAAGCATTTCACTGTTAGTCTACACCTGTTGTCTACGAAGCAGGTGACATAAAATTTGATTTGATCAACCCACCACAGTTGTGCAACTCATGCAGTCAGCTGTGGTAAAATGTACATAGCTAGCTAATGTTAACTTGCGAAACAACCAACAAGGCAGTTCATTATTGTGCCTTCGCATAGCTAATTAGCCTCGCGAATGTTGAATAACATTCCATTTGTGAACTTACTCGACCTGTTGCCGCAAATTTTGTATTTTGTGGGTATAAATGATACAAAATATCCACAGGTAAGTATTATTAAACCGACTTGAAAACGCGGGTCTCTGTGTGTGGCTATCACTATTTGTTTGCTCATCACCTGAAGCACGCGCACAAGACGGAAGAACATGCATGCATACTAACCAGTGTTTCCGCTGCACTCATTTTGCTGTGGTACAGCGCCAGGGCAAAATCATTGCCGCCACGCAAAAACGAATATGGAACATAAAAAAATATTTCTGCTGAGGCGCACTTTGAAGATGCAAGAACAGTCCATATTTACTTTTCCTGATCAAACAACAAATCTGACAACCCCATAGTAGAATAGTTGATCTATTTACCTAAGTCGGCTTGTTGTGTGTTCTATGCGAGAAATATTTATCTCGTTGCGCAGTCTAGTTATGAGTGCAAGCTGACAAGCAGTCAATGCACAACCATTCTTGCAATTGCGAGAACAGCAGTTTTAATAATGGCCATTGTTAAAAAGAGAGGGCTCCCAGCTTTCGATTCTTACTTTATTTCTCAACTACTAAATATGCACGAACTGCACCATTTTAAACCCAGTTTTTAGCAGTGGCATGGTTATGCACTTTAAGGCTCTGCAATTAGCAGTGAGTGCATAGGGGAGAGTGGGGCTGACTGTAACACCTGTCAATTGTAGGGTAACTTTAGGTACAATCCTCAAAATAATTAGTTGTGAGTGACTTGATCAACTCCTTGATATGCCACACTTGTCATGTGAATGCATTATCTTGGCATAGGAGAAATGCTCACTAACAGGGATGTACTATTATAATCTCCACCCGGCACAGCCAGAAAGGGACTGGCCACCCCTCAGAGCCTGGTTCCTCTCTAGGTTTCTGCCTTTCTAGGGAGATTTTCCTAGCCACCTTGCTTCTACATCTGCATTGCTTGCTGTTTTGTGTTTTAGGCTGGGTTTCTGTATAGCACTTTGTGACATCTGCTGATGTAAAAAGTGCTTTATAAATAACATTTGATTGATTGGAAACACATTTGTGGTCACACCAGATACTGACTGGTTTTCTGATCCATGCCCCTACAAAAAAAAAAAAAGTATCTGTGTCCAACCGATGCATATCTGTATTCCCAGTCATGTGAAGTCCATAGATTAGGGCCTAATTTATTTATTTCATTTGGATGGTTTCCTTATATGAACTGTAACTCAGTAAAATCTTTGAAATTGGTGAGTTTTATATTTTTGTTCAGTGTAGTTAAAAGATCATCACTTGGGATCTGGCTAATGATTAGCCCAATAGGGTAAATGCAAATAGGCAACCCCATGCTTCAGCCTATTTATTTGCACTTTGCTGGGTGCAACCCCCCTCTGCGACCTAACCGAAGTCTTGCAGGTGCATTGTTTTATGCATGTGTCACGTGATAGAAATCTCAACAGCAGTACCAGCATTTGGAAAAGTCTGTTTGGTAATACTTTCCTGTGGATATTTTTCTCAAATTGCTACCCACAAAAGGACAAACCGCAAAGTAAATTGAAATTAAATGATATTCAACATTCTGGCTTGTAGAGCTTGTGAGAGGACATTTTCCAAACAAATGTATGACGTTAATCTCCGACTGTGTAACCAGAGGTATCAGTCTGTCAGGCAAACTAGCCCCATTTGTACTTTAATATTTAGCTACACTAGCTAACTCTATTATTGAGTACAGTTGGTCATGGATTTAATGGCAAGGTCTTGTGGTTTCTTTTTGTCTGAGCTTGCAATACTAGCCTATTTTTAAACACCACGGATGATGACTTCACATGTGGGTGAGTCGTTCCCTGTCACAACAAATCAGCAAAGTCCTCCCCTCTAATTATTTTCGGGGAGTTCACGTGAAAAGCGGAAACCATGCATGTGGCTGTGAAATTGCTTCTTCCTTGCAACTATGTAACGTTTAGGCTAGCCAATACAGATATGTTTTCTTCCTGTATGCTTGCCATGAAGTGGGTCACTGTCTAATATTGGTAGGTGAACCTCTAATTTTACCCCATTGTTAGCTAGAGAGTCTAGTTGTAGATGAACCTACATGTTTGTTTTTAGTTGTAATTTGTTGGACATATTGCTATCCTTAGACTCCTGGCCAAGGTTAATATAGCAGCTGTGTGTGTCTGTGTTCCAGTGAATCGTTTAACTATGTAGCCCACCAATAAACAAGGTGGGTGCATGTGTTGAATGGGATCATCCAGGTAGTAAGTCACCACAGTAGTTCAAGACGTAAGCGACTGGTGTGGTGAAAATGACTTAATTCTGAAACCTGACTCGCTTAAGTCAGCAATTAAACAGTGCAATTTGGGTACTCCAGAGCAAAGATCTCTACAACTATTCTTACTCGTTATGTAATATTAGGCTTTGTAACTGGCGTTGGAATGCTAAACAGGAAAACGTTCAAATGTACAAAGAGGAAGTCGATGTTTACTGGCTGCCTCTTTCTGGCTCATACTACGCTGAGTAACGGAGTTGGCATGGGTCAAGTCATTGGTACTGTTACTCTATAATGCTTTAGTTCCATAGACACTGAGCTATAACCATGTACATGTTCACTGTGTGATGGGTGTGTGTGCCATGACGACATCATAGCTATATCCTATGCCAGCCCATTAGTCCTCCTCCTACTGTTGGTTAAGCGCTGACTTTGGTTAACTAGCACTCAGTGACACACGAAGGCTGGGTCTGTCTGTGTGGTGAGTCCTGCCACAGTGTTATGTCAGTTCAGTTGTCAAAACGCTGAACCGTCCTGTTTAATATCTGGGTCTGTTGTCTGCTGTGGTGGTGTTCCTGAGTTGTTTGCGTCAGTGCTGCTGTGACTGAGTTTGTGAGTGACCTGTGGTTAACACTTGTAATTTGTCTGTCTTAGTTCAAATCTGTTGACAAGTATTCTACAATCCTTGCTCCTGGGAAGTAGGCACCCAGGGTGTGCAGACCATACCACTGCTGTGGACATGAGTGTTTAGACATGGTTTCTCTCCAAATTGTTGGGTAATATTCACTTGGGTTAGGAAGGCCTGAGAGATGTTGGTGGCAATTGTAGAGGCATTGAATTGTTAATTCTGCCGTGCTGTGCCATCCTTTGTATCCTATTGTATTCATAATAGTTAGCCTAGGCTAGGCTATCTAATATTGGTTAGTTGTGAGCTTAGCGGTAGCAGAGCTTCTCCATTGACAGCACTGTTTTCATTGCAGTCTTATTAGTTTGTGGTAGTAGCATCTCCCCAATGTCATCGGCCTTGTCCAGATGTGTATATTGTGTTGTGTGCCTGACTGTGTGACTCCACTGTGTTCCCTTCTTGGCTGAGTGATGTTTGGCTGAGCAGGTCCACAGTAGCTGCTTGTTTAGCAATGAAAGCACTCTGAGTCTGTCCCCTCTTCTCTGGACCTGAGAGCCAGCCTGCCATTGGCACATGGTCTTCTCCAGTCCAGTGTACTCTGCATGGCACACAGAGGAATCACCTAAACAATTACTTGGGGGAGAAAGGCATTGCACTGTCAGAGTGAATCAAATGAACCAGAGACAAATTGTCCTGCTATTTATGGAACTTCCTTAGGGGCTAGGGAACAGGCGAGCCAAGCGTAATGCTTAAACTACATCAGGACATTTCAAATTTTTCATATTTTTTTAAAAAGCAGGGCGTTTTGATTGCACAGTTCTGTATTGGCTGTGCTAAAGGAGGTTTTCTGTATTTTTGATTGTGGTATTGACTAATACTTTGGCTGTGTGTTGTTGGATGCAGTTATTACAGCCTATTACTTACAATGTTGAGTCTTCACATGTTGGATCCACACTGAGACTGGCTGTGTTTTCTTTCCCTAATGGATTCATTTTATCTCCAGCTGTAGCATGTCCAAACTCCCAGACTCCATAGACGTTGGGGATTTCTCCATGGACAACATGACAGGTACAGTACATGCTTCCGTGTTACACACACGCAAACACACAGTTTCCCATAGGTGCTCCTCTAGGGTACCGCTACCTAGGTTACCTACCCTTGGGTATTGTGACTTCTTTAAACAAGTGTTGTATCTCTAGAGAGGTCGAGAGAGAGAGAAAGATGGATGAGACCCAGCTTATTCTAAGTATCCTAGCCCTAAATGGTTTCACCATCCGCTTGATTTTGTATGGAGTTGCAGAGCAACTGCTTTGCACAATCAATTGATTTACTTACTCCAGGTCTGAATCTGTGATTTTTTTATTTTATTATTAATATTATTATTATTATTATTGTTTTTGCCAGCTGATCCAGGGACACACCTTTTTAGCAGCGCTTTCTGTCTGGCTCAGCTGTGCTAATCCCCTAGGTAACCAGACACCTGAGACAATTATAGCGTCTCTTTGCAGCCTGTAGCTGACATGCCACCGTGACTGCAGACTGGGCTCTCCTCTGGGACGGCTGGACGGAGGGGCAGCAGCCCAACTGTACATGAACATGAGATTGAACATGACCGCTGGTCATTTTTGAAAAGCAAAATAAACTGTAAAACTGAAGAGTGATAGTTCCCATGTTAAGCAATGGGGCAGTGAACAGGTTTTTAGTGTAGTGTAAAAATGTGCTGTTAATTTATTTAGTGTTATATGAGCAGTGGTGGAGTCAGTCGGTCTGTGGTTGACTTGGCTCACTGACCTCAGGAGAGCTAAACTGGGCAGCTTTCCAAGATAAAACTCAGTCTCTTTCACCGCTAATCTCTCTGTGTACGCGTGAGGGTGTTTATCATCACTATGATTTACCCTGGTGTTTTTCAGAATAAAGCTTGGTACTGTAACAAAGGGTTTAAGATTAACCATGTCATTACCATAGAAATAAGAATGAATAGAATGGGCTTGGAAGCTCTAACCCTGGCAATTGACTGGCAAATTCATGTGGACACTCGCAATGGCTGCCTGGTATTGCAAGGCAAGCAACTTTGAAGCATGTATGAGAGCATCAGCTGTTCCGGATGACTATGTGATCACGCTCTCCGTAGCCGATGTGAGTAAGACTTTTAAGCAGGTCAACATTCACAAGGCCGCAGGGCCAGACGGATTACCAGAAAGTGTACTCCGAGCATGCACTGACCAACTGGCAAGTGTCTTCACTGACATTTTCAACAAGTCCCCTGTAGCTCAGTTGGTACAGCATGGCGCTTGCAACGCCAGGGTTGTGGGTTCGTTTCCCATGGGGGGCCAGTATGAAAATGTATGCACTCACTAACTGTAAGTCGCTCTGGATAAGAGCGTCTGCTAAATGACTTAAATGTAATGTAAAATGTCCCTGACTGAGTCTGTAATACCAACATGTTTCAAGCAGACCACCATAGTCCCTGTGCCCAAGAACACTAAGATAACCTGCCTAAATGACTACCGAGCCGTAGCACTCACGTCTGTAGCCATGAAGTGCTTTGAAAGGCTGGTCATGACTCACATCAACACCATTATCCCAGAAACCCTAGACCCACTCCAATTTGCATACCGCCCCAACAGATCCACAGATGATCCACAGTATGAAAATGTATGCACTCACTAACTGTAAGTTGCTCTGGGTAAGAGCGTCTGCTAAAATGACTAAAATGTAAATTATGCAATCTCTATTGCACTCCACACTGCCCTTTCCCACCTGGACAAAAGGAACACCTACGTGAGAATGCTATTCATTGACTACAGCTCAGCGTTCAACACCATAGTGCGCTCAAAGCTCATCACTAAGCTAATGACCCTGGGACTAAACACCTCCCTCTGCAACTGGATCCTGGACTTCCTGACGGGCCGCCCCCAGGTGGTAAGGGTAGGTAACAACACATCTGCCACGCTGATCCTCAACACGGGGGCCCCTCGGGGGTGCGTGCTCAGTCCCCTCTTGTACTCCATGTTCACCCATGACTGCATGGCCAGGCACGACTCCAACACCATCATTAAGTTTGCAGACGACACAGCAGTGGTAGGCCTGATCACCGACAACGATGAGACAGCCTATAGGGAGGAGGTCAGAGACCTGGCCGTGTGGTGCCAGGATAACAACCTCTCCCTCAAAGTGATCAAGACAAAGGAGATGATTGTGGACTACAGGGGAAAAAAGAGGACTGAGCACGCCCCCATTCTCATCGATGGGGCTGTAGTGGACCAGGTTGAGAGCTTCAAGTTCCTTGGTGTCCACATCACCAACAAACTATCATGGTCCAAACACACCAATACAGTCGTGAAGAGGGCACGACAAAGCCTATTCCCCCTCAGGAGACTGAAAACATTTGGCATGCTTCTACAGCTGCACCATCGAGAGCATCCTGACTGGTTGCATCACCGCCTGGTATGGCAACTGCTCGGCCTCCGACCGCAAGGCACTACAGAGGGTAGTGCGTAAGGCCCAGTACATCACTGGGGCCAAGCTTCCTGCCATCCAGGACCTCTATACCAGGTGGTGTCAGAGGAAGGCCCTAAAAATTGTCAAAGACTCCAGCCACCCTAGTCATAGACTGTTCTCTCTGCTACCGCACGGCAAGTGGTACTGGAGCGCCAAGTCTAGGTCCAAAAGGCTTCTTAACAGCTTCTACCCCCAAGCCATAAGACTCCTGAACAGCTAATCATGGCTACCCGGACTATTTGCTATGCCCCTCTTTTACTCTGCTGCTACTCTCTGTTTATTACCTAAGCATAGTCACTTTAACTCTACCCACATGTACAAATTACCTCGACTAACCGGTGCCCCCGCACATTGACTTTGTACCGGTACCCCCTGTATATAGCCTTCCTACTGTTATTTTATTTTACTGCTGCTCTTTTATTTTTGACTTGTCTATTTTTACTTAACACTTTTATTTTATTTTCTTAACTGCATTGTTGGTTAAGGGCTTGTAAGTAAGCATTTCACTGTAAGGTCAACACCTGTTGTATTCAGTGCATGTGACAAATACAATTTGATTTGACAATTTTGGAATGTTCTATCAACTGATACTGGATTGCCATGTTAATGTAGAATATTAATTCAAATGATGCTAACTGATGTCGCTCATGCAATGGAATGTATTTTTTGTAATGTCAGTTGAGTTGATTCAACAAATTACAGCACAGGGTACACTTCCTGCTTTTACTTCCTGGCATGGGTACACTCAAAATGGCTGCCAGTCCACCCATTATGCCATCGTTGACTTGAATGGAGACAGCCTTTCTATTTATTTTTATTTCATTACAGTATGTGAACTGAACTAATGTCAATTTTCCCTCTTGTTCTTCTACAGCCCCTACGTTCCCAGATAAGATGTCCCCCGTCAAGGCCGCTCTCACCCTAAAAGACTACGAGAACGTGAGTGATTTTCATCACTCCAATCCCTATTATGGAGATGTTTTCTGCCTTACCTGACAAGGTCTCCAACCATTGTGGATTCAATTTTCAAGAGGGCTGTTCATGTGTCAGGATCCTCTGAGACTCTAACCAGCATTGTCTGTCTCAAACTAGTTATTTATCCAAATATGTTACATTTAAAATCGTCATAATTTCATGGTAAACCATTGAATGGAAATAGACCACTGCAGCATGCATGTAGGCTAAGCACTATGGAGCCAAGCCTTATCCCAGTATCAGCGACAGACACGTCGGATATTATGATTTTTAATAAGCCTGATCCAGTGTCTAGCCAAACCAAGGAGAACAGGACAACCACTTAGCCGTTTTCCAAGCATGGGGGGAGAGAGCCTACAGTAGGGGACGCCTGCTGCAATTCAGTGGTTTACTCAGATTTCTATTTTCTCCCTGTGCTGGATGATTAGAGGTTGGTAGAGGGGGTCCTCTAGACTCTAATCTCCTCCTCCTGCCCCCGCGCCCCGCCCCAGATGTGTGCACAATAATGCACAGTCTGCCGAAGCTGAATGCCTCTCTCCCCTTCCCCAGACCATAACCACTCTCTCAAACATGGCTTATTACACTACCGCACTAGCTCCCCCCCCCCCCCCACCCCTCGTCTCTCTCTGTGCGTGTGCTTCTCCACTGGAGCATGTGAAATGATTGCTTTTTCTCCGGGGATAAATTGCTCAGCTGCTATGTTATTTTGACCTAATTTACTGTATTTGCAGTAGCCTTGTTTATAGACTGTATAGGCAGTGAAAGGGGTGGGTAAACAACGGTCTGATTTTCAAGAACGTAGTACCTTTTTTAATGGCTGTAACCTTTCGTTTTCAGTGTCCAACAAAGTGTCTCCTTTTCAAATGAAATGAATTCAGAGGTTACATAATGTCTTCATCTTCTTCTATTCTCAGCAAATCATGACTCTGAAGAAGGAGAACTTTAACCTGAAGCTGCGGATTTACTTCATGGAGGAGCGCATGCAGCAGAAATGTGACGACTCAACAGAGGACATCTACAAAACGGTGTGTGTGTGTGTGTGTGTGTGTGTAGGGGGGGAGGGGGTGTGGTCATGTGTTACGTCATTCACACCCTTCAGTGCCATGATAATGTAATATGTGACTCAGTCATTCAGAATTAGGAAGGATGACCACATGGCCCCAGCAGCCATGAATACAACAGGCCATTGTTCCAACTAGGGCTGGGCGGTATACTGTATTTTACCATATACCAGTATTGATGCACTGACCGGTTAGAGTTTTTTTTAACTTTACTCTCTATAATGGTATTTCAATGTTTGGTTTGTTAAATGTGATGCGCAACTCCGGTGCTTATAATGTCCGTTTTTTTATAGTTTACTCTGTTTGATACTTTAGTCATCTCTCTCTCCCTCTCCTCCTGCTGCATGCCAACTAAACACTCCAAGCCATTCCCCCTGTCACTCAAGGAGAGAGTAGTTTCTCCACCACTGAGTCACGAGCACTTTCTTGCTGTTCACTCTGCATGGTCAGATGGATGCAACAAGATGTTGGTGACATGCTGCTTTCCACAAGCATTCTATAATTACGTATTAGTTTATGTATTTTACTGTCTGCAAACTGTCTGCTAGTTTCTTTTCTTAGCAAGTTGTTGCTAAAATCATTTGTGTTAGCCGCTAATGCTAATCACTAGTTAGCTGGCTAGCTAGCTTGCTAAATGTAATCAAGTCAAGCTTTATTTGTACAGCACATTTCAGACATGGAATGCAACACAATGTGCTTTACAGGAAAAAACAAATAAACAATTAAAATAAAAACGGAAATATTGACTACACAACAAACATAAGATATTAAAATGAAAAAATGACACAAACTAAACAACTAAAAAGCACCCCAAGGAAAAGCGAAACTAAAAATATGTTGTAATATCTCTTTCAGTTTCTGCCCCCCCCCCCCCCCCATGTTCTCTGCCAGGCTATTTCAGAGGCTGGGAGCATAATAACTAAAGGCTGCCGCTCCATGCCTCTTGGTCCTAGGCCTCCTGTAGCTCAGTTGGTAGAGCATGGCGCTTGCAACGCCAGGGTTGTGGGTTCGATTCCCACGGGGGGCCAGTATGAAAAATGTATGCACTCACTAACTGTAAGTCGCTCTGGATAAGTGTGTCTGCTAAATGACTAAAAATGTTTTAAAAAATGTCCTAGGCTTTGTTCCAGAGGACTTGCAGGACCTACTGGGTACATAACTTAAAAGCATGTCTGACATGTATTGGGGTGCACAATTGTGGATTGATTTAAAAAACAATAGAAGAATCTTAAAATGTATTCTACAACTCACAGGCAGCCAGTGCAGAGACCTTAAAACCAGTGTAATGTGTGCTCTTCGTCTGGTCCTGGTCAGTACCCGTGCTGCAGCATTCTGTATATGTTTTGCAGTTGACCAATGGCATTCTTCGGTAGACCAGACAGGAGAGCATTACAGTAGTCAAGCCTGCTTGTAATAAAAGCATGGATGAGTCTTTCTGTATCAGCCTGAGAGAGAGCGAGAGAAACGGCCGCACCGTGGCAATGTTTCAGGTGGTAAACAGCTATTGTGGTCACATTCCGAGTTGGATTGAACAGTATAAATGGAGAAAGCCCCATGGAAATCACTTATAATTTATGTTTTGCCACCCTAGGGTCATGAACTACTTAGAAAGCATATTTAGAACTTCTATTATTCAAAAACATAAAATGTCGTCAAATACTGTCATACTGCCAAAATTTGAAACAATTGTGATATGATATTTTGTCCATATCTCCCAGCCCTAGTTCCACCCAAAAACACATCTAACCCCCACCAGAGTTTAGTCCACTGATCTCAGACCAGTCTCACTACTTTACTAAATACCCATCTAACATGTCTCGGGGTTCTCCCCAAAGAATGTAAGAGTGGCGCTGCGCCACCTTGTGGGCCTCCCACTGCCATACGCAGCAGCAGCGAACCACCTTGTAAAAAAATCATTTGGAGAATCCGGTGTCTTACATTTAGCCCACTGATCTGAGACCAGTCTCACTACTTTATTAAATGCCCAACTAACATATCTCACATTTAGCCCACTGATCTCAGAGACAAGTCTCTGTCTTTAATCCTCATAGAAAAATATTGTCTGATTTTTCCTAAATTCTATTTTACGACTATCCACCTGCGTTTGAGTACACACTTACTCATTGTTATGATATGAACACATAGCTTCCAGTGCCAAAGCGAATTACATTGTTGAAGTATGCAGTTGAGGACCGTACTCAACATATTCTCAGACCATACTTGGAGTGCTTTAGGAACCACTCCAAAACAAATACAAAGCAGGAATGAAACATTGGATCTAAGCTACGGTGTGCCAGGTTTTTCCACTGTGTTAAAGTGAATGGAAGTTTGACTGAATTATTGTCCTTCTCAGAACATTGAGCTGAAGGTGGAGGTGGAGTCTATGAAGCGAGATCTGGCAGAGAAGCATGAGCTACTGGTGTCTGCATCGTGAGTACAGACTACTGATGCTATCTGTCTATGAGTACAGACTACTGATGCTATCTGTCTGTGAGTACAGACTACTGATGCTATCTGTCTGTAAGTACAGACTACTGACTGTCACAACCTACACACTCTGTCAACTAACACTGTCATTTAAGTCATCAATAGTTCTGACTGGACTATTCAAATATGACTGTCCTAAACATCACTGACTCACTTTTCACTCTTTGATTAATCACTAGTTAATTAGTTGGAAAGCATTGACTGTCACTGATCCAAGTGTGTGTGTGTGTTAGAGGGCCAGTTGTGTATTTTTGCCCTTTGTTTGTCAAATAACTTTGGTTTATTTAGTCAATTATTGAAAATCCAAATGAATAAAACAACTTTGACTCCTGTCTTGTCAGGAAAGCCTTGGAGAGCCTGGCAGGTAGAGAGTCAGGTGACTCCCTGCGTGTGCGAGAGCGAGCCCACAGAGAGATGGACGCACTCAGAGACACTCTCAACAAGCGCGTCGCTGAGCTGGAGCAGGTTAGCACTGGGCTAGCGCGTTACTACACTAATATGAACACTGACTGCAGTGAAAAGCCATGGCCTATATTCTGGGTGGAAGTGCTGAAAATGAAAGCATGTAACACTTACTTAAGAATGACATTAAACATAGGGTATAAAATAACGTTATGTGAAGCTAGCTAGGACAAAACACCTGACATGTGCTGGCCTGCTGGGCCCCTCACTGTAGATTTAAAGGGGAATTCCAATCAAAAGTTGAAATTTGTTCTTTAGCTTTTCATATTTCTTCTGATATGTCTTGCCCACAGGAGGTTGGTGGCGCCTTAATTGGGGAGGACGGGCTTGTGGTAATGGCTGGAGCAGAATCAGTGGAATGGTATCAAATACATGGTTTCCATGTGTTTGATGCCATTCCATTTGCTCCGTTCCAGCCATTATTATGAGCCGTCCTCCCCTCAGCAGCCTCCACTAGTCTTACCATGTGTCTAAGAGACTTTAGTCAAAGTTGGGTGATAATGAAAAGGCACATTATTGGACAAGGTCAGTGACTAGTCTTGGAACATTCCCATCAATTTCCTCCTCCATGTCAGGGTCTGAGAGCGGCCGAGGAGGAAGTTGACAAGATGGCCGCCATCGCCGAGCAGGAGAAGGTGAGAAGCATCGGTATGGAGAAGCAGCTCTTGGCCCTGGGCCTGTCGGGAACCTTCACCCCCATCCATGTTCCCAGCCACGACCTGCAGCAGGCTCTACAGGAGAAAAACGGGTAAGGACAGCTACAAAGGGGTTTTTCAACGAAGTGTAATGCTGCGTCCAAAATGGCTCCCTATATGGTGCAATACTTTTGACCATTCAAAAGTAGTGCACTATATAGGCAATAGGGTTACATTTCAAATGCAGCCCATGTACTTCATTTAATATCTGCTGTGATATTCTACACTGACACCAACATGTTGATCATGGAGAAATGAGATTATGTAGCCCTGATGTACTCTCTCTTCTGTTTCACCTGCCTTGAGTATGAAACCTAGTAGTTATGTGTTATCCCAATGGCACCTAAATGTAAGGACAATATGCCATTTGTTTATAATGGGGATAAATGTTTTGAAAATGTAGATATAACGTAGCCTACTTTTGGTCCCTCCAGTGTCATAGATCAATTGATGATATCCGTGGTGAACCAGGAAGCTGTGATCCAACGGCTACAAAGTACTGGCAGAGACCAGGGGACGGACGCACCAACCACAGAGCACATCCGACAACTCTCTGCTATCATTGGCCAGAAAGATGAGGAACTGCAGACTCTGAGGGCTGAGCTGGGCGGAGAGAAGGGCAGGACGGAGAGGGACCATCAGGTGGATATTTTTCTATCTCCATATTACCTAATGCATATCAGCTCAATATCTCAATCTACCAACTTTACCTCTCTTACACCATGTGTTACGAACCCCATGGCTTTATAAGTCTAGGGTGGATGGAAAAGAGACCGTAACATAACTCATGCTAATTAGAATATCGCCAACGAACAGTGAGAACAAAAATACGCCGACAACCACAAAGCTACCGTCAAACACAAAAATGTTTATTATAAACACACAGTAAAGGTTTGGGGAAAAGGGGCTGAGCAGGACCCAAGGAATGAAACAATAATGTAAAAAAATAACTAAACTGATCTTGCCTGCCTCAAGAACTGCTAAGCTTACTACTAACTACACAAAAATACAGTGGGTGGTCTGCTCAGGTCTAACTAGTGTTTATAGACAAAGTTTTCCTACGGGTAGTGTATGCCCAAGGGCGATTTGCTAAAAATCCCCTTTTCCCAGGAACAAACAAACAACATAGTTACCATATGGAGTAAACAGCAAATGAGTGAGTACACAAAAACAAGACACCACAGTATCCATACTCACAAACAAAAAGAGTCTCTGTCAGAAAACACAACTGATCAGCAGATGAACTGATGACTGACAGGTGGGACACACCAACGACCTCCAATCAGGAACACAAAGGACACCTGTGATTAGGGCAGAAGGAGAGGAAAAACACAAATACACATACAGGATACCTGTATCCGTAACACCATGTAATGACAGACCGTCAGGGAATCTGTGATTCCTTCCCGTCCAGTATTTCCTAGCCTGCTTCTCAACCGTATTGAAGGAAAAGGCCCAAGGTCCATTCCCTCGTTCTCCAGTGCGTTTTGAGAACAAAGTGAGGAGAGCGAATGCCAGGAATTGAATAAAGATGTATTGAGAAGGAGCCAGACTCTCAGAACGAGTGCCTAAGGGGGTAGGAGCCGGTTGAGGTTGTTTCTGGATGGGGCCATAGTGTCAGAGTTTCTGGAAAGGGCCATGGGTAGATCTCAATAATGCATACTCCTCGCTTCTCTCCTCGTCTCCTTCTCAAAACCCATTGGATGAGAAAGCCGAAGGTCCCTCCCGTCTGAGCTTTTCCTCCAATGGGTTTTGAGAAGGAGAGGAGGGGGGGGGGAGAAGACGGGACGTGATGAGTATGCAATTGACATCTTCCCATAGTGTCTGACAGTGCATACACTGATGCGTATTAGAATTCTCTGACCTCTGAGTGTCCAACTAGAGTGCACTTGCTTGTGATTTGTCTGTTTTGTTGGGTTGTAGGACACTCCTTTTGTTGTCTAATTCTGTGGCGCCGCTTTTATTTTGTGAGGGGTCAAGGTTTGCCCACCAGGCATTAGCTACCCTCTCTTAGCTGTCTCCTGCATTCATGTAATTAAAGTGTACACACACACACACACACACGTCCTCTGGCCATATATCTCTCTCTGTGCGACACGGAACAGACACAATCTGTCAGGCGGTTTGACTCTGGATCTGCTCTATGAGAGGAAATGCATTCTGACGTGATTATTGTCGAATGTGTTGCCCTTTTTACGTCCGTATGCCTCCTGTTATGTTGTTTACAGTGAAGTTGGTTTCTGCTGGTTTCTCTGTGTGTGTTCTGCTGTGTTGTGGCAGGCCAGGCAAGGGCTTTGTAGTTTATAGAAGTTGCCGTCATCAGAGGAAGCTGACGTGATTGGTTCCCCAGGTAGAGAAGGAGAGTTGTCAGATGTCTGTTCTATTCTTCTCAACCAACAACAAGCTAACATTATAGTCTATTGCTATAATCTATCTACTTTATTGACTCGCTGGATAAGAGCGTCTGCTAAATCAAATTCTATTGGTCACATACACATGTTTAGCAGATGTTATTGCGGGTGTAGCGAAATGCTTGTGTTCCTAGCTCCAGCAGTGCAGTAATATCTAACAATACACAAATCTAAAAGAATGGAATTAAGAAATATAGAAATATTAGTATGCGCGATGTCGGAGTCCGGAGAGTGTGTGTGTGTGATGTATAGACATGGACAGTATGTGGATAGAATATATAGTATATCCTATCTAACTGTGCCACTAGATCTAATGTGCCACTAGATCCTGTTCGAATCCAGGCTCTGTCGCAGCCTCCGACGGAGATCGGCGCGCACAATTGGCCAGCGTCGTACAGGTGGGGAGGAATGCCGCAGATTAGCTAGTTATAGCAGGCGTTGCAACGCCAGGTTGTGGGTTCGATTCCCCCAGGGGCCAGTAAAAAAAATGATCACTAGTAAGTCGCTCTGGATAAGCGTCTGCTAATGACAAAATGTAATGTAAAGATATCAAAGAATGCTGGATAGAATGAATTACGCAATAGTTGAATAGGATGAACTTGACTAGAATACAGTGGGGAAAAAAAGTATTTAGTCAGCCACCACTTGTGCAAGTTCTCCCACTTAAAAAGATGAGAGAGGCCTGTAATTTTCATCATAGGTACACATCAACTATGACAGACAAAATGAGAAAAAAAATCCAGAAAATCACATTGTAGGATTTTTTATGAATTTATTTGCAAATTATGGTGGAAAATAAGTATTTGGTCAATAACAAAAGTTTCTCAATACTTTGTTATATACCCTTTGTTGGCAATGACACAGATCAAATGTCTTCTGTAAGTCTTCACAAGGTTTTCACACACTGTTGCTGGTATTTTGGCCCATTCCTCCATGCAGATCTCCTCTAGAGCAGTGATGTTTTGGTTCTGTCGCTGGGCAACACAGACTTTCAACTCCCTCCAAAGATTTTCTATGGGGTTGAGATCTGGAGACTGGCTAGGCCAGTCCAGGACCTTGAAATGCTTCTTACGAAGCCACTCCTTCATTGCCCGGGCGGTGTGTTTGGGATCATTGTCATGCTGAAAGACCCAGCCACGTTTCATCTTCAATGCCCTTGCTGATGGAAGGAGGTTTTCACTCAAAATCTCACGATACATGGCCCCATTCATTCTTTCCTTTACACGGATCAGTCGTCCTGGTCCCTTTGCAGAAAAACAGCCCCAAAATATGATGTTTCCACCCCCATGCTTCACAGTAGGTATGGTGTTCTTTGGATGCAACTCAGCATTCTTTGTCCTCCAAACACGACGAGTTGAGTTTTTACCAAAAAGTTCTATTTTGGTTTCATCTGACCATATGACATTCTCCCAATCCTCTTCTGGATCATCCAAATGCACTCTAGCAAACTTCAGACGGGCCTGGACATGTACTGGCTTAAGCAGGGGGACACGTCTGGTACTGCAGGATTTGAGTCCCTGGCGGCGTAGTGTGTTACTGATGGTAGGCTTTGTTACTTTGGTCCCAGCTCTCTGCAGGTCATTCATTAGGTCCCCCCGTGTGGTTCTGGGATTTTTGCTCACCGTTCTTGTGATCATTTTGACCCCACGGGGTGAGATCTTGCGTGGAGCCCCAGATCGAGGGAGATTATCAGTGGTCTTGTATGTCTTCCATTTCCTAATAATTGCTCCCACAGTTGATTTCTTCAAACCAAGCTGCTTACCTATTGCAGATTCAGTCTTCCCAGCCTGGTGCAGGTCTACAATTTTGTTTCTGGTGTCCTTTGACAGCTCTTTGGTCTTGGCCATAGTGGAGTTTGGAGTGTGACTGTTTTGAGGTTGTGGACAGGTGTCTTTTATACTGATAACAAGTTCAAACAGGTGCCATTAATACAGGTAACGAGTGGAGGACAGAGGATCCTCTTAAAGAAGAAGTTACAGGTCTGTGAGAGCCAGAAATCTTGCTTGTTTGTAGGTGACCAAATACTTATTTTCCACCATAATTTGCAAATAAATTCATTAAAAATCCTACGATGTGATTTTCTGGATTTTTTTTCCTCAATTTGTCTGTCATAGTTGACGTGTAGCTATGATAAAAATTACAGGCCTCTCTCATCTTTTTAAGTGGGAGAACTTGCACAATTGGTGGCTGACTAAATACTTTTTCCCCCCACTGTACATATGAAATGGCTAAAACAGTATGGGAACATTAAAGTGACCAGTCTTCCATTATTAAAGTGACCAGTGTTCCAGGGCAGCAGCCTCTAAGGTGCATGGATGAGTAACTGGGTGGTAGCCGGCTAGTGACTGTGACTAAGTTCAGGGCAGGGTACTGGGTGGAGGCCGGCTAGTGATGACTATTTAACAGTCTGATGGTCTTAAGATAGAAGCTGTTTTTGAGTCTCTCGGTCCCAGCTTTGATGCACCTTTACTGACCTCACCTTCTAGATGATAGTGGGGTGAACAGGTCGTGGTTTGGGTGGCTGAGGTCCTTGATGATCTTCTTGGCCTTCCTGTGACACCGGGTGCTGTAGATGTCCTGAAGGACAGGCAGTGTGCTCCCGGTGAAGCGTTGGGCTGACCGCACCTCCCTCTGGAGAGCCTTGCTGTTGCGGACAATGCAGTTGCCGTACCAGGCGATGATACATCCCGACAGGATGCTCTCAATGGTGCATCTGTAGAAGTTTGTGAGGGTCTTAGGGGCCAAGCCGAATGTCTTTAGCCTCCTGAGGTTGAAGAGGCGCTGTTGCACCTTCACCACACTGTCTGTGTGGGTGGACCATTTCAGATTGTCAGTGACGTGTTGGATGGGGGCGTGCTCCCTCTGCTGTCTCCTGAAGTCCTCGATCAGCTCCTTTGTTTTGTTGAAGGAGAGGATATTTTCATGGCACCACTCCGCCAGGGCCCTCACCTCCTCCTTGTTGTTGGTAATCAGGCCTACCACTGTTGTGTCGTCTGCAAACTCGATGTTTGAGTTGGAGGCGTGTGTGGCCACGCAGTCGTGGGTGAACCAGGAGTACAGGAGAGGGCTGAGCACACATCCTTGTTGAGGATCAGCGTAGTGGAGGTGTTGTTGCCAACCTTCACCACCTGGGGTCAGCCCGTCAGGAAGTCCAGGGCCCAGTTGCACAGGGCGGGGTTCAGACCCAGGGCCCCGAGCTTAATGATGAGCTTGTAAGGTACTATGGTGTTGAAGGCTGAGCTGTAGTCAATGAACAGCATTCTTACATAGGTATTCCTCTTGTCCAGACGGGATAGGGCACTGCGATGGCGATGGCATCATCCGTGGATCTATTGGGGCGGTATGCAAATTGCAGTGGGTCTAGGGTGTCGGGTAAGGTGGAGGTGAAATGATCCTAAACTAACCTCTCAAAGTACTTCATGATGACAGTGAGTGCTACTGGGCGAGAGTCATTTAGTTAAGTTACCATCGCTTTCTTGGGTACAGGAACAATGGTGGACATCTTGAAGCAAGTGGGGACAGCAGACTGGGATAGGGAGAGATTGAATATCTCTGTAAACACTCCAGCCAGCTGGTCTGCGCATTCTCTGAGGACGCAGCTAAGGATGCTGTCTGGGCCGGCAGCCTTGCGATTATTTTTTATTATTATTATATATAAAACATTTTAGGGGGTCAATCAGCTTTTATATTGCAGATAGTGTGGCTTCTATCAATGTAATTGTCTGCATAATTTCCAATCCACTAAATATATATTTTTAATATATTTTCCTTCTTTATTATTTTCCCCAAACCCTATCATCCCTCATCTAATTGGAGTAAACTAATGGACAACAATACTTAGGCTTCTACTTCCAGCTTATACATACTATATATATTTTACAGACACTGTATATTTTACATTAATTATCTATCTATATTTATATTTTTCACCCTTCAGCTCCCCTCAACCCCTCCCATCTATCTCTGAACACCATCCCGTTTTGATTTCTACTAGCCATATATTTAGCCACAACTGTGCTGTGATGTTTTTTTATTCTCATATATCCTACAGATAAAAAATGTTGCTAGGAGTATTATTATATTATTGATCGATTTGACAATGACTTTTCAAATCACCTAGCAGAGCTATTTGCAGAGTTAGCTCCAGTTAAATGTTGTTATTTACAAGCTACATATAGGCAGTACCATGCGAGGGTTAACAAGCTTAAATGTCTTACTCACATCGGCCACGGAGAACGAGAGCTCACAGTCCTCTGGAGCGGCACTGTGTTATCCTCAAATCGGGAGAAGAAGGTTTTTAGCTTGTCCGGGAGCAAGACGTCGGTGTCCCCGACGTGGCTGGTTTTCGTTCACCCAAACCGCGTCTCACAAAGACGCGACGGTTGGAACCAAAAATCTCCAATTTGGACTCCAGACCAAAGGACACATTTCCACTGGTCTAATGTCAGTATGAAAAATGTATGCACTCACTTAACTGTAAGTCGCTCTGGATAAGAGCGTCTGCTAAATGACTAAAATGTAAATGTAGTGGTAGTGGTTTCTTTGCAGCAATTTGACCATGAAGGCCTGATTCACACAGCACCCTCAGAACAGTTGGTGTTGAGATGTGTCTGTTACTTGAACTCTGTGAAGCATTTATTTGGGCTGCAATTTCTGAGGCTGGTAACTCTAATGAACTTATCCTCTGCAGCAGAGGTAACTGTGGGTCTTTTATTCCTGTGGCGGTCCTCATGAGAGCCAGTTTCATCAAAGTGCTTGATGGTTTTTGCGACTGCACTTGAAGAAACTTTCAAAGTTCCTGAAATGTTCTGTATTCACTGACCTTCATGTCTTAAAGTAGTGATGGACTGTCGTTTCTCTATGCTTATTTGAGCTGTTCTTGCCATAATATGGACTTGGTCTTTTACCAAATAGGGCTATCTTCTGTATACCCCCCTACCTTGTCACAACACAACTGATTGGCTCAAACTCATTAAGAAGGAAAGAAATTCCACAAATTAACTTTTAAGAAGACACACCTGTTAATTGAAATGCATTCCAGGTGACTACCTCATAAAGCTGGTTGAGAGAATGCCAAGAACGTGCAAAGCTGTCATCAAGGCAAAGGGTGGCTATTTGAAGAATCTCAAATATAAAATGCATTTTGATTTGTTTAACACCTTTTTTGGTTATTGCATGATTCCATATGTGTTATTTCATAGTTTTGATGTCTTCACTATTATTCTACAATGTAGAAAATAGTACAAATAAAGAAAAACCCTTGAATGAGTAGGTCTCCAAACTTTTGACTGGTACTGTACACTACCGTTTAAAAGTTTGGGGTCACTTAGAAATGTCCTTGTTTTCAAACTGGAAAGCTTTATTAGGACTAATTTCCTCCTCATAATGTACAATATCTGTGTCTCCACACACCTAGGCTATTGATGTATTCAAGAAAAGGACTCGTTCGTGCGAAAAGCCTATCTCTCTGTTGTTTTACTTTGTAAAACAATGTTGTTCGATCAATAGGCCTATTTTGGAAGTTGATAACATATTTGGTAGCCTACAGACAGATTAGTCTGCTCTGCTTAGCAGAATCCATTTTCTTTCCAACTGGTGTTTTCCCGTGATTGTATATGAAATATTGCGAAAGGCCTGTTTTGGCTGTAGTATTCAGAATTATTTAGTTTTTTTCCGAACAGACCGCAGTAATTTTATAACTTCGGCAAATGTATTTCAATCAGAGGTGTTGCAGCACCTCCAGCACCCTTCCTGTGGCTATGATTCTGTAAGGAAAAAGGTGAAGTGCAACGCTGGAGAGATCAGTTGCAGGCTCATGTCTATTTGAGCGGAGAGAGATCATAGAAAGTGAATATCATTCTAGTTCTGTGAGATACAGGAGCGCTTCTCTCTCACCACAGCAATGGCCACGCGTTGGTTTATAGACTACAATGTTGCACAAACCATAAACCCGGGTTGGCCCAACACTAATCAATTCTTAGAATATTTTCACATTAAATTTCTTAGGGGGAAGGAGAATTACAGAGGAGGCAAAATTGAATTAACTCTGATTTTATTAGAATTTTTACATTACATACAGTGAAAATGAATGTTCATGCCACGAGAGGTACCGGCTCCTGGCAAATGGGTTCCGGAACGAAACAGTCCAAAATTGAGAGGTGACGCATCCTGTTCCCTCAGGATCCGGCTCAAATTAAGCACTGTTGGTAGCAGAACCGATCAAAATATGAATTTCATCTGCAAGATGGACAAATATAGTAGTATTATTCTGTCCTGTCAGACAGTAGCGGAAGCTGTCAGTCTGTCTCTGGCAGTGCTCATGTTTCCTCCTCTCTCTTGGCCCAGGTTTCTGTGTTAATACAGGATTAGCATCCCGGCAGGAGAGAGTTGCCCTTAGGGTTATTTATGGACTAACTTTATATTAAAAACCACAACCCCTATGGGTTTCTATTGGATTCTGTCTGGGCTGTATGTCAGATTACATGGTGTAAGAGGGGTAAAGCTGGGTAAAAGGAGTCCAGGCTCTGGGTTGTTAGGTCTGTAGTGTGAGAGAGAGACGCACACTTAGAGGTCTAAGGGGTCAGGCAGTTCATCACTGTAGCTCTATCATGTTTTCTGAGGTGAGGCAGGTGGTGGCATTGAGGACCAGGTGAGGCCATCTCTTAATCTCAAATCAGATAAATCAGATTTACCTTGCCAAGGAGACCCCCCCCCCCCCCCCCCCCCCCCCGAGTCAATGTCACCTCACCTGTGTAGACCTAGGGCCCGCTTAGACCCTGCTGTCCTTGTCGGGGCAGCCAGGATGGGTAAATAGTCCTGGGGTCAGATGGGGCTGGATTACGAGGTCAGCAGCCAGCCGTGACACAGGAGATCACCGCGGGTCCAGTCCAGGGGATTTGGTCTGATTGAATGTGTGGGATAGCGGAGGAGGGATCAGAGGATGGGACTTAACGCTTACGCTGCTCTCACCAGGAAGAGCTTTGTCAGTCTCTCCTCTTCACTCAGAGCGGGAGAGTCTGCTGTATGCCATGGCTGGCAGGCTGACGACCATGTGAAAGCGGAGAGTATTTTGTGTTTAGGGTCTGTAAGGAGCAATTTTGAGTGTTGGACTAAACTGTGAGTTTATTGCACTGTTCCTATCACAGAGATGGAGAGAGCATTTTCTCTGTGCCATGGCTGGCAAGCTGACGACTACAAGGGGTCTATCTGAGTGCGTTTCTCTGTTGGACCGAACCATCCTCTCAGGTCATCACCATGAAGGACCCATGCCGCGTATGCGGCGTTCGCCTCATTGGCAGTCAGTGCCGCTGGATCTTCAACCCGTCGGGCAAGCGGCAGCTCCAGGTCATCCTGTCCCACGTGCTGGGGCGCCAGGTCGACCGCGACCCTGATGGCCAGGCGTCAGAGTTCCTGTGCGGCAAATGCGTGTTCAAGCTGGAACGCGTAGTGCAGTGCGACGTGCAGATTGGCAGGCTGCAGGAGGAGCATGCTGCCCAGGTGCAGCGGTTGCAACAGGAGAGGGAGAATCTGAAGCAGTGTGTGGCCCACGTCTACGGACGCCACAACCCCCTGCCAGAGAGGCCCGATGTGGGGGAGGTGAGCACCGTTATGACCCCCCTCTGGAGGTCCTCTGAAGGTGGAAGCCCTGATGAGTGCGGGGGAGGACAGCTTACGTCCGAAGGGCAGAGGAAGGAAGATGGAGGGGAGGGGGATGGGCGGGTGAGGCATTCTGTGAGTATGGACCTCCTGGGTGGACCGGGTGGTCCAGTGGGAGCTGCAGGTCGGTCAAGCTCAGCCCTCAGGAGGGTGCAGTCCAGTGGGGATCCCTGCCCGGCATGCCCGGTGAAGAACCCTGGGCTCCAGTCAGCGCGGCTCCGCTCCAGGAGCATGATGTACTTGGACCTGGTCTACCGCAAAGGCACCCTCTCCGGCTCCAGGCTCCGCTCGGCCTCGCTTCAGTCCCTCAACCCTGACCACCCTCACCAGACAGAACCCCTGGGCCCCCTGTCACAGAGACTGTGCAGAGAGTCAAAGATATCAGTGAGGGAACACTCTCATTCAGTGGACCATGCTACCACCATCACCACCAGACTCCAGAGAGGGCACTCCCCTGCCCAGCCTCCCATCTCCGACCTGCTGCTGCTGCTGCGCTCCATCCCTAGAAATCCAATCCCAGGGACCCCCGGGAGCCGCATCCCCGTCCTGTGGAGGAGGCCCAGGGTGGGACAGCCACTCTCCCCAGGACGCAGCATCACCCCTGGGGCCCGACGCAAGGAGGCTGAGTGGAAGTCCCTCCAGGACGTCACAGAGGAGTTTAATGACGGTTACATGCCTCTCAGAGCTGAGGTAGTCTAGTCATCTCACCTCAGACCGATCCTCTGTAGAGAACTTGGAAGGCAATTGAAATGTATCTTTAGACTGAATTTGGATAATTATTTAACTAATAAAGATCAATCGGTTGTGAGGTTGGATATCGCGACAGTAAAAGTGTCAATTTTTGTTGATAATGGGGAATAAAGTATCTGTTTTAATAAATCAATTAATCAAAGGGATTCACAGGCTTTTCTGCCCATGTGACAGTTTTCCTTCCCCTTTGTTAACCAGTTGACCTCCTTTTCCTTTCTTAGCCAACTCATCCTCTTTGTTGACTAATTTCCCAGAATTGTGTGTTTCCCTTCCCCAGGGTTTCACTGAGCAGCTGAATGAGGTGAGCAGGCTGGAGACAGCCCAGAGGCAGCTGAGTGAGGAGATGAACCAGTTCAGAGCAACCAACCAGAACCTCTCCAAGACCCTGGAGGACATCCAGAATAATAACAAGGTGATTTGGGGGGAAAGAGAAAATGGGGAGCAAATAGTTTTTGTGTTATAGATATATACAGCTGCGGAAAAAATTAAGAGACCACTGCAAAATTATCAGTTTCTCTGGTTTTACTATTTATAGGTATGTGTTTGGGTAAAAATAACATTTTTGTTTTATTCTATAAACTACTGACAATATTTCTCCCAAATTCCAAAAAAAAAATTGTCATTTAGAGCATATATTTGCAGAAAATGACAACTGGTCAAAATAACAAAAAAGATGCAGTGTTGTCAGACCTCGAATAATGCAAAGAAAATAAGTTCATGTTAATTTTTAAACAACACAATAGTAATGTTTTAATTTAGGAAGAGTTCATAAATCAATATTTGGTGGAATAACCCTGATTTTCAATCACAGCTTTCATGCGTCTTGGCATGCTCTCCACTAGTCTTTCACATTGATGTTGGGTGACTTTATGCCACTCCTGGCGCAAATATTCAAGCAGCTCGGCTCTGTTTGATGGCTTGTGACCATCCATCTTCCTCTTGATCACATTCCAGAAGTTTTCAATGGAGTTCAGGTCTGGAAATTGGGCTGGCCATGACAGGGTCTTGATCTGGTGGTCCTCCATCCACAACCTTCATTGACCTGGCTGTGTGGCATGGCGCATTATCCTGCTGGAAAAACCAATCCTCAGAGTTGGGGAACAATGTCAGAGCAAAAGGAAGCACGTTTTCTTCCAGGACAACCTTGTACGTGGCTTGATTCATGCGTCCTTCACAAAGACAAATCTGCCCGATTCCAGCCTTGCTGAAGCACCCCCAGATCATCACCGGTCATCCCGGTCAGTAGAGAGTCGTTTTCGCCCTCTGCCGGTCTGTAGCTTTGTTGTCCCCAATGTCTGCTGCTTGACCGTCTTTGAAATTAAGGATGGAAGCAACCTGACGCTCACTGTATCCCTCTGCCAGTAAAGCCAGAATTGAACCTTTATTTTCCTCACTCAAAACTTTCCTTTTCAACTCTTTTGGCATGGTCAATAGTTATTTTTTGATTTAATATTACTTTTGAGGTACTATTAGCACTGTTTTTGCCATCCAGCTGGTCCTATTGCAAGAGGATAGTGATGACCACAGCAGTGTTTTTTATACTTTTCCTCGTTAAATAAGATTTGGTTCAGGTGATCACCTAATCAGTACCTAATTCAGTAGAATGAGGTGTGCCTGTGTTGGAATTCAACAGACACTGGAATGGAATGGCTGTCATACATGTAGAGATGCTGATTTAAGAAAAGTTTGCAGTGGTCTTAATTTTTTCCAGAGCTGTATATATGCATGCATGCATGCCTGCATACAGTACCAGTCAAAAGTTTGGACACCTACTCATTCAAGGGTTTTTATTTTTACTATTTTCTACATTGTAGGAAAGTAGTGAAGACATCAAAACTATGAAATATCACATATGGAATCATGTAGTGACCAAAAAAGTCTTAAACAAATCAAAATATATTTTATATTTGAGATTCTTCAAATATCCACCCTTTGCCTTGATGACAGCTTTGCACACTCTTGGCATTCTCTCAACCAGCTTCACATGGAATGCTTTTCAAACAGTCTTGAAGGAGTTCCCACATATGCTGAGCACTTGTTGGCTGCTTTTCCTTCACTCTGTGGTCCAACTCATCCCAAACCATCGCAATTGGGTTGAGGTCGGGGGATTGTGGAGGCCAGGTCATCTGATGCAGCGCTCCATCACTCTCCTTCTTGGTAAAATAGCCCTTACACAGCCTGGAGGTCTGTTGGGTCATTGCATTGTCCTGTTGAAAAAGAAATTATAGTCCCACTAAGCCCAAACCAGATGGGATGGCGTATAGCTGCAGAATGCTGTGGTAGCCATGCTGGTTAAGTGTGCCTTGAATTCTAAATAAATCACAGACCGTGTCACCAGCAAAGCACCCCCACACCATAACACCTCCTCCTCCATGCTTTACAGGCAGCTTAATTAAATAGTACCTGCAAAACACCAGTCTCAACGTCAACAGTGAAGAGGCGACTCCGGGATGCTGACCTTCTAGGCAGAGTTGCAAAGAAATATGAGAAATGGCTTTTTCTTTGCAACTCTGCCTAGGTCAGCATCCCGGAGTCGCCTCTTCACTGTTGACGTTGAGACTGGTGTTTTGCGGGTACTATTTATTTGAGCCTGTAATCGAACCCACAATTGCTGATGCTCCAGATACTCAGCTAGTCTCTTTTATTGCTTCTTTAATCAGCACAACAGTTTTCAGCTGTGCTAACATAATTGCAAAATGGTTTTCTAATGATCAATTAGCCTTTTAAAATGATAAACTTGATTTAGCAAACACAAAATGCCATTGGAACACAGGACTGATTGTTGCTGATAATGGGCCTCTGTATGCCTATGTAGATATGTTTCCAGCTACAATAGCCATTTACAACATTAACAATGTCTACACTGTATTTCTGATCAATTTGATGTTATTGTAATGGACAAAGAAATTGCTTTTCTTTCGAAAACAAGGACATTTCTAAGTGACCCCAAACTTTTGAACGTTTGTATGTGTATATATATATATATATATACATACATACATACATACATACATACATACATACATACATACATACATACATACATACATACATACATACATACATACATACATACATACATATACACACACACCGGTAAATGTTTTCATCATGGAATTTTCACCATTTTCAAATGAATACACCTAGACAATCCTTTCAGTTCTACAGAAATGGCTGTGGGGTAGGAGCACTTATTAAGGGTGGATTCAAAATGTACCATTTTGATTCATCTAACATGTCAGAGGTAAATTAATTGACTGCGTTGTTGTGTCTACTTAATCATATGCAATTTAGCAGACGCTTTTATGTAAAGCGACTGTTAGTCATGTGTGCATACATTTTACGTATGGGTGGCCCTGGGAATCGAACCCACAATCTTGGCATGCAAGCGCCATTCTCTACTGACCTGAGCTATAGAGGACCACAAGTGACCACTTGTTTTTTTGTTATTTTTTAAAGGCGCTGTCTGGTAAGCTGGAGGAGACTGAAAACCAGCTGAGCTCAGAGAAGAAGAACGCTCTGAAACGAGACAAAACCATCCAGGGACTCACTCTGGTGCTCAAAGAAAAGGAAAAAGAGGTGCGGTTGATTTTATATTATTCACACAGCATTTTACACTGAATTAAATGTTGACAATGATAACCTAATTTGATATCATACTGTTATAACCAACCTTTGTTGACCCACGAAAATGATGTTGCCTCATATGCTATGCCATCTCTGTGCTACGCAGACTGAGGGCTTATGTAACATTGTCACACCAACCCGTCTATCTCTGTCTGTGTGTTCCAGATTGAAGAGCTGTGCCATGAGATTGAGGACAGGGACGAGGCTTTAGCCAAAGCCAGGGAGGCAGCGCACAAAGCCCAGCTCCAGAAATACCAGGCAAGTCAGATCAGACACAGCATTGGCCGCGTTCCAGGTCCAATACATTGGAGTCGCGCTGCATGCATCAACCAATTGCTGTGTGCCATGTCATTCACTGCGCAGTCGGGAATCTAAGTGCTATTTCATATGATGTTATTAGCTAAACACTATTAAAGGTGATGTGAGATCTGGCAGGCAGCTGCAATGTCTATCTACTCTGCTGTAGTGCTGTAATGTGTGTATCTGTGCGTGTTTGCCAGAGGTCACATGAATACAGACTTCTGCGTTGCACGCACAAGCAAACACGCACTCAAAAGACAAAAATAAGTCTCCTGCTTCTCTAACTATATCCATATCCATGCTTTCCCCCCAGGGTGCGGAGGAGCACCAGTCTCTGCTGATGGAGAAGCAGGCGGAGCTGTCCCAGCTCCAGGGGGAGCACCACACCAAGCTGCTGGAGGCCCTGAAGCTGCAGCGCTCCCTGGGCAGGAGGGAGCAGGAGCTGGCTGATCTGCAGCAGGCCAAGGAGCAACTGGACCAGGAGCTGGAGGAGCTGCAGCAGCAGAAGAAGAAGGGGGACAAGGCCCTCAATGTAAGGCCACAGGAGGAATATCTATTGTTGGGCTGGGAATTGCCAGGGACCTCACTATACGGTATTATCACGATATCTAGGTGCTGATACTATATGTATTGCGATTCTCAAGATTCTATACGTATTGTGATTAGAAACTAAGATTTTATTGTGCTTTGATGTTCCAAACATATTGCTCACTATATGTCTGCTGCAGAGAGACGAGAGAGCATGAGAAAACTAGTTTTGATCAGTCAGGGAAATAATGTTGAAAACATGTTGGCTCACTATTTAAAAAGAAGATGGAGAACAAGCTATATAGCAGGGGTTCCTAACTGGCGGCCCCCGGGTGGTTTTATTTGGCCTTCAAGTAAATAATGTATAAAAATAAATGTTCATTGTTGGACATAAAAGACTGTAAAAACACCTCCAAGTGATATTCATTTTGAAAATCTGTTCCCAAGTATTTCCACATATAATAGAGAAGTTATCGTATGCAACTGTAAGCAAGGTTTTAAATGATTATGTTTTAGTCAAATATTAGCTGTTTGGGTAGTCAACAAATTATTTGTAATTATGTTCTGGCCCCCCAACCATCCGCTCAAGAAAAAATCGTCCCATGGCTGAATCTAGTTGATGATCCCTGAGCTATAGGATGAAAAATTCAGGAGTTTTAGCATATATATAGCCGACTAACGCTACCTTCAGTAGCAATAATAAGAAAATGAAAAACGATATACCAATATCCATTCACAGACCGATTTGTATTTTTGCTTTACCTTCTATAGCAGTATTTTCATGTTTGATTTGTTACATTAAATAATTCATTAATGACAACAACAACAAAAAGATCAGTCATCCGTTTTTATTGCCAGTAAGAAACTACTAACAGCTGAGAACTAAAGGCTAACTTGCTAGCACAACAAGTCAACAACTTTGGGAGGGCAACATTGCCAAATAGACTCCTGGAAATTGTCAGACTGCAATTAAAACCCGAAAATGCACAATGAAAAAGGATAATTATTCTGTCAAGGAATAAATAGAAGCATACTAAGACAGGAAAAAACATGACTCAGTGTGTAAATGATAACAAATTAATGCAGGAAATAAAGAAATTGATCAAAATGCTGGAAGTGAGTGTTGGAATTCAACAAATAACTTTGCAAATGGCAACCATTGGTCGAGTACCAGAGTTAGAGGCTGCAAAATAGGATTTTGATTCCTATGCAATGTTCTACAAAGACCACTGTCAATTTTGTCCTATTATTTTTGGTTGAAGTTTGGTTGAACAGTATAATGCAATGCAATCAGAATGGAGAAAGCCCATTTTATTAAACCACTTAGAATTAATTTGTTGCCATCCTAGGGTCATGCACTACCCATAAAGCATATTTAGAACTTTTATTATTCAGAAGCGTCAAAAATGAGAAAAATACCGCGATATGGTATTTTGGCCAGATCGCCCAGCACGTCTTTGTTGTGTGGAAAAGCTTTGATATTGGCAATGGGCAAGCTGGGAGCAGGTATAAAAGTTATCTTATTTAACCTGTTCTGTAGGTTTACTACGGTTGCAAGTTTTACTACCATGTAACTATGTGGTTTTAGCCACACATAATAGAATGCAGAATGTATTCCCCAAAGCCATCAATTTGCCCTAAAGATGAGGGCAACTTTATTTTCTGGGCTTTTGCTAACCACATGACCCAACCATCAATAAACTCCCGACCCTACCTATAATCAATGTACCCTATGAGCACAAGATGTTGAAAACTTTTGCACTCCCTCCTAGTCAGTGTCCTATCTCTGCCATGCAGGAGGTGCAGAACCAGCTAAAGAAGCTGAGTGGGGAGCTGGGCGAGAGGGAGAGCAGCCTGGAGCAGCAGTACCAGGAGCAGCTGGAACAGACAAAGAGGAGGCTGCAGAGTCACGAGATCACCATCCAGCGCCTCACCACCTGCCTGGCCGACAAGGAGCAGCAGCTACAGGTAGATAGTCTGAGAGCTCAAGAAACTAAAAGTGAAACCATAGAAATTGAATCTATGGAAGGGAACTTAGAGTATCGAACACTGCCAATTTGGGGAGGCCTGTTCTATATGTTCCTTTTCTATGGGTGGAACTAGGTAAATATGGTGTACGGGAACTGGGAAAAACTCATGTTCTCTTCCTTTCTCTGTTTTTCTTTTCTTTCTGTCCCTCTATTCGATCTTGTTCTTTCTCTTGCTTTCGCTCTTTTTTTCTCCCTAACTCTCCCTCCTATCTCTGTCTATGCCTCTCTTATCTCTCTCTCTTCTCCCTCTCTCAGGAGTACATGAACATGATGAGAGACATGGAGCAGAGCAGAAGTCCTGAGGAAAGCGACACCATGCTGTCAAAGCTGCGAGAACGACTGAAAGAAAAAGAGAAGGCTCTGGAGGTGGGCTTTCTATCAATACTCCCTAGCTCTCTTTCTCTCCGTCTCTCTGGCTTTCTATCAATACTCCCTAGCTCTCTTTCTCTCCGTCTCTCTGGCTTTCTATCAATACTCTCTAGCTCTCTTTCTCTCCGTCTCTCTGGCTTTCTATCAATACTCCCTAGCTCTCTTTCTCTCCGTCTCTCTGGCTTTCTATCAATACTCTCTAGCTCTCTTTCTCTCCGTCTCTCTGGCTTTCTATCAATACTCTCTAGCTCTCTTTCTCTCCGTCTCTCTGGCTTTCTATCAATACTCTCTAGCTCTCTTTCTCTCCGTCTCTCTGGCTTTCTATCAATACTCCCTAGCTCTCTTTCTCTCCGTCTCTCTGGCTTTCTATCAATACTCTCTAGCTCTCTTTCTCTCCGTCTCTCTGGCTTTCTATCAATGTTTGAAAATAAAATATTTCTCTCTAGCTCTCTTTCTCTCAGTCTCTCAATTCAATTGCTTTATTGGCATGATGTAAAAATGCCAAAGCGTACTTTGGAAATGGAATGATTCATTAACAACATGAAGACTGTCACAAACAGGACAATGTCACTCTGATCTGATGAAGAAAATTGTAAGCCTTTGGTCTTTAATGTCAACGTCCTGTATGGCTCCTCCACAGCAAGCGCTGGATGAGAAGTTTGCGGCACTAGAAGAGAAAGACAACGAGATCCACCAGCTACACCTGTCACTCAGGGAGAAGGAGAGGGACCTGGAGAGACTCAACAACCTGCTGTCTCACAATGAGGACACCATCAATGTAAGGCACCATGATCACCCCACCAGCGTTGGGGTCAATTCAATTTCAATTCAGTCAATTTAGGGATTCAACAGAAATGTTAACTCCTCCAATTTCCCTCATTGCTTTTCAATGAGGAGAATTGGAATTTCAATTTACTTAATAAATTGACTGAATTGAAATAGAATTGACACCAACCCTGCATGTCTTATTTAATAAAGTCACACACTAGCTCCTATATAGGGTTGTTGCAAGGACTGCTAGGCTAAACATCATGTTGAATGGAGAGTCTACAACACTGGTCTTACACACTCACTCGCTCCCTGCAGAGTTTTGACACGTTGATCAAGGAGAAGGACGTGGAGCTGCAGCACCTGGCCAACACCCTGAAGAACCTGCAGCGGGCCAAGCAGGATGTGGAGGACAACCTGAACCGAGCCTGCAGGGAGAAGGACTCCATCATCAGTCAGCTGCAGCTCTCCCTGGAGGGCAAGACCAAGGACATGGAGGTAGGAAGACGCAGTACTTTCTCCTTTTTTAAGGGTCTGGGACCTGGTCTGGGACCTGGTCAAGCTGACACTCACAAAACATTACCTGAACATAAAGACTCTTACAACACAGGCTTCAATACTCACAAAACACTGACATCATTCACCAAACACACTGTCGTTCAATAATATACTGATTTTTATATAATATTGACCTAGTATCTCTTGGAAAAGAGGTTAATCCCAGAAAGTTAAAGCTGGATAAGTAAAGATTGACAAAAATAACAAACCTCTTTTTTCTTTTGCTCGCTCTCTCTGTGTCTCTCTCTCGCTCTCTCTCTGTCTCTCTCTCTGTCTCTGTGTGTCTCTGTCTCTGTGTGTCTCTCTGTGTGTCTCTCTCTGTCTCTCTGTGTCTCTCTATCTCTCTGTGTCTCTCTCCATCTCTCTGTGTCTCTCTATCTCTCTGTGTCTCTCTCTCTCTCTGTGTCTCTCTCTCTCTGTGTCTCTCTCTCTATCTATCTATCTCTCTATCTATCTATATATCTCTCTCTGTCTGTGTGTAGGCGATGGCGAGTGCCCTGCTGAGCCAATCCCAGTCTCAGGCCCGTGACCTTGCGGAACAGATGGGTCAGAGGTTAAAGGTGGCAGAGGCCATGCTGGTGGACGCAGTCAAGGCCCGTGAGAGGCTGGTGGCGGACAACGAGAGCGCCGTGGAGGGCCTGCTGGCCACAATCAGCAGCAAGGACCAGCTGCTCAAGGTACACACACACACACACACACACACACACACACACACACACACACACACACACACACTGGAGGCATTTTTACTGGTTGATTTATCCTGATGAGAAAGTCTCTGTCTAATAACATCCACACTCGCATTCTATTCGTCTTAACGTTGTAATATTTTTACAGGAGGTTTAGCTTTTATGATCTCATGTTTTCTCTCCTGTCCCTCCAGGAGTCAGCGGAGCACTATAACAGGACGCTGTCTGAGCGCATCCAGGAGATCCAGGAGCTGAGGCGACAGCTGTGTACCCGGCAGCAGCAGCTGGCCTCTGCCGAGAAACTTAGTTCCACGGCAACACAGGAGGGTTACCTGGAGATGGCCGAGCTCCGGGTCCTGCTGACCGAGAAGGAATCTATCATCAATGTGAGTTTGGACCAAGGGAGTTATTTGGATAGGTGCAAAGTACACTACTATTTTGTAAAGTGTGGGGGTGTTTTTGATAGTTTAGGATTTAGATGACGGATGGCTACAATATGTGCAGGATTTTGCTCCAGCCCAGCTCTAACGCACCTCACAAGTTAAAAAATAAGATAAAAATGCTTTGGTCAAAATGGAAGACCGTTTGGTTATTTTTGTGTTAAAGTACACTACTATTTTGTAAAGTGTGGGGGTGTTTTTGATAGTTTAGGATTTAGATGACGGATGGCTACAATATGTGCAGGATTTTGCTCCAGCCCAGCTCTAACGCACCTCACAAGTTAAAAAATAAGATAAAAATGCTTTGGTCAAAATGGAAGACCGTTTGGTTATTTTTGTGTTAATGCTGGGCTAGAACAAAACCTGCACACAGCATTGGCCATCTTGATTTCTCTTGTAATATTTGCTCTTGGTAGAATAACGTTGAATAAAGTTAATTGCAAGGTTATGCACTAGAGAGCTCCAGTGTGTTAAACTTTTGATTTAATCTGCCAGAAACTTCTGGAGCGTGGCCAGGAGAGGGACCAGTTCCTGGCTGAGTTGAGGCAGAAGGAACCTGCACCGTCCCAGGTGCTGGAGCTCAGACAGACCATCAAGGTGCTCCAGGAGAGACTGGACGAGTGGGAAGGTGAGAGGCTTTACCTCTTAAAGCAGCAAGCTGTGCTAAACAGTTTGGCATGGCAATGAGTTGGCCGAAGTACAAACTGTCAAACTGACCCCACTAATCCTCTACTGGTTTTGTTCCCTCTGTAGGTGACCTCTCCAAGAGGAACAACAATGAAGACAGCATGGAAAAGGTCCCTCTCGTCAAGAAGACTGTGGTCATCCTGAAGAAGGAGTTGTCTCAGAAGACTGAGGCTCTCAACAAGGCTCTGAAGAAGCAGAACGAGCTCCAGGTGAGAACAGTACATACTGCAGCCTTGCAGGTAGCCTAGTGGTTAAGAGTATTGGGCCAGTAACCGAAAGGTCGCTGATTCGAATCCCCGCATGGCAGTTAACTCTCAACAACTGCTCCCCGGGAGCCGATGAAGTGGACGTCGATTAAGGCACCCCCTTAAATGCGGAAGACACATTTCGGTTGAATGCATTCAGTTGTGCAACTGACTAGGTATCCCCTTTCCCATTTACTCTGACTGAGGAGTAAGAAAGTTAATCACTTTCACTTTCTTGATTCTTTGTTGGTTTGTCATTGTGTTAAAACATTTTTCTTTGCTCTTGGTCATATATAACCTCTGGGCACATCTCAGAATCATAAAATTATTCTCCACAAGTCCAAATCCTGACTATTAGGTGGATAATCAAAATGGACCGTAGGTCAATGTCTTCATTCCATCCCATTGTTCTCCTGTGTTCCAGATGTCCCTGGCTGATCTCCAGTTAGTGTTGTCTGAGCTGGAGGGGCGTATCGAGGGCCAGGCGGCCAGCATAGACTCCCTCACCACAACCCTGGAGACCAAGGACGAGATTATAAACGTGAGTGGATGGCCAGTGGCCTCCTCACACTGCTACTAATCTACACAGACACTCATACACACAGGAGGTTACCTGGTGCCATTTGGTTTCATGGGTAGATTGCACAGGGTTAATCAACCTGGCTGACATTGAACTGATTTTGGCCATCACCACCTTTGCTACTCTTGAGCGTGGCTCAGTTGAAACAATCTACTGCAGTCATTGTAAATTACGAAAGGAAATGAACACATCTGAGCGATACATTCACTTCAATACATTTGTTTTTTTAAACCTTTCGAGGGCACTTTTTCATTTGCTGTAACTAGTTTCCCTCAAAGTCTCTCTGCTGTGTGTGTGTGCTGACAGGACCTCCACCAGCGTCTGGGCCAAAGAGGGGACAGTCAGACCCGGGAGCCCCAGGACCAGGCTGCCGAAGCATGGGTGGAGCGCTCGCTCCCTGGCCTCCCTCAGAGGGAGAGGACCATCATCGGGGGTGACAGCCAGCAAGAGGTAGCACCACGCAAAAGCAAGCCCTGCCTGAAACGTATTTATGAGCTGTAGTGTGCCATCGATCTTCAGAAAAAACAGCCATGTCTGAATGTACCATAGTCGAGTGTTAAATCAAAAAATGAATAAAGTCACAACCTTTTGTGATGTCTGGTTTAATTGTGTGAAAATAAAGTTTTCAACAACAACACAATAAAGTCACAATTTGAAAAGGCTCACTTTTTCGTCTGCATGTCAAAACTGTCAAGCATGAGAATAAACCCACCGTGACCTGGTTCCTGTTCACTAGGCACCAAAACTGACTGTCACATGGCGGGGCTACCTGGACCTGTCCAATAACGATCACTCATTTTCGTTTTCCGTTGCGAAACGTTTTAAACCATCTCCAATTGCATGCACAATGAATATGACCCTTGTACAGCTACTGATTGAGTGGCATCTGACCTTTGACCTGTGCCCCCCTCCCCCCTCCCTCCCTCCCCAGGTCCTGCCCTTGTTGGCTGACCTGCAGGTGGAGCACCGCTCTTTGAACCGAGCCCTGAGGGCTGAGCAGCAGCTCTACTCCAGCTTGGTTCGCACCGTTAAAGAACAGGACAGGTATCGGGACGATTATCACAGATTGGATTTATTCCACATCATATTCTATTGACATGTAATTGAAATAGTCTTACCAAAGTCCTTTTTTATACACTTTGGTTGGTGTGGCTTTCAAAAGGGTTTATTTTTTTGTTGCAATAGCCAGTATCTCCATAGATAGATATTGTCTACTGGTACCCCGTGTATACAGCCAAGTTATCTTTACTCATTGTGTATTTATTCCTCATGTTATTATTTTTCCCCTCTGCATTGTTGTGAAGGGCCCGTAAGCAAGCATTTCACTGTTAGTCTACACCTGTTGTTTACAAAGCATGTGACAAATAAAATGTGATTTGTCTACTTACGTATGTATATATGTGGAATAGTAATGTATACATTGTGTTTTGTTTTGCAGTGCCCAGCGTCTTCACGCCCTCCAGATGGAGCTGACGGCGGTGACGCTCCTCAGACAGCAGCTGGAAGAGGGAATCCGGAGCAACGAGGAGCTCCGAGAAGACCTGGAAAGGGAGATCGCCAGAGCCAAGCTCTCAAGAGCAGGTGCAGTAGTAGTACACAGAAGAGGAGGGGGAGACTAGAGAGGGGGGGAAGAATGAAGGGAACTAGGAAGGGCACAGAAGGAGGGGGAGACTAGAGAGGGGGGGAAGAATGAAGGGAACTAGGAAGGGCACAGAAGAGGAGGGGGAGACTAGAGAGGGGGGGAAGAATGAAGGGAACTAGGAAGGGCACAGAAGGAGGGGGAGACTAGAGAGGGGGGGAAGAATGAAGGGAACTAGGAAGGGCACAGAAGGAGGGGGAGACTAGAGAGGGAGGAGGGGTTCTGATCCTTTGTTTCCTAAACTAGACAGCTGGCCGAAACTCAGCTGTGAATGAACAATGTATATATTGAGTTGAGGAAGTAGAGACCCACTATACTATTTTAAAATGTCCAATACTAACATTGATTTATGGTACTTTTATAGGAAGTTATGCATGCTCTCTTAGAAAGAGGGAGAGGCGCACACACACACACACACACACACACACCCTATCAACCATGGTCAGTTTTGTTGCTGCATGTTCTAACACTGCCTGGGGTTGCCAAGCCTGCTGTCCACCTGGTCATTTTTAATCTCTGTTTGCTCTCTTCTGTTCACTGTCATCCTCCCCATCTGCATGTCTAAAACAAAACCGCAATAGCCTACTTTCTTTCTTTGCCTCTGTTAATGTCACCACTAGTACCTCCTATAAACTCATCCTCTCACCTGTAAAGTCATTTCCTTTGTCCTGGTTATGAGCTACTCTGCACAATAAAACATAATGCATGTTGTCTGTCTGTCCATCTGTCTTTCTCACTCACAGCTTACCTTGACTCATTTGCTTATCTTCTACTTTTTAATTTTGTTTTTGTTTATCCATTAAAAAGCCATGTCTGTCTCGTTGCATCACTTCACTCGCATATCACATGAAATCATTGTCCCTTATCCAATGTCTGCTCTATTAGGAACTTAGCAGTTAGAACACGCACACACTCTTATCAAGCCATCTGTAAGCTGATTCAATTACAGCTTTTATGCCATTACAAAATCTACAGGGTTGGGGCAGTTACAGAGCATACCTCTGTGGCTGCTTCCCTGTTCTCTACCCTTCTTCCAAAGTGTGCACTTGCTTGTGAAGTGTGCATTCGCTTCAACCATGTTACCCAAGTTGTTTACAAAACATAAACCGGTCAATAGAATCCTACATGCTGAACTGAATTCAACGACCAAGAGCGATGGAATGTCACTGTTTAGTAGTGCAATGCTTCAGTGGATGCAGTGTTAGGACACATACCAAGATATAACCTGGATTGATGATGCCAGGTGCCTGTGAGAGTGTAGAACTCTGTATACGTGTGGCAGCAGAACTTGTGTGTGCGTACACGTGTGACAGTCTGAACCTGAAGATTTATTAATCTATGGTGCAACCTGTGTGTGCGTGCACCCATCTGCATTCCAGTTCATACCTTCCCTCCCCTATAAAGAGAGCCAGCTATATAAATATAGGTAAGATGCCCTGGGCTCATATTTAATGCTGCTCAGTAGAGGGAGGGGGGGAACTGCTCCTTATAGTGGCTTTATATTTATACTGAACACAAATATAAACGCTACATGCAACAATTGTATTGATTTTACGCAGTTACAGTTCATATGAGGAAATCAGTCAATTGAAATAAATAAATTAGGTCCTAATCTAAGAATTTCACATGACTGGGAATACAGATATGCATCTGTTGGTCACAAAAAATGGGCCTCACAATGGGCCTCAGGATCTCGTCACGGTATTTTTGTGTATTCAAATTGCCATCGATAAAATGCAATTGTGTTCGTTGTCCGTAGCTTATGCCTGCCCATACCATAACCCCACCGCCACCATGGGGCACTCTGTTCACAGCATTGAAATCAGCAACCCCCCCCCCCCCCGTCCCCCCCGTCCCGTCCCGTTCCACACACACAACGCCCTACACGTGGTCTGCGGTTGTGATGCCGGTTGGACGTACTGCCAAATTCTCTAAAACGACGTTGGATGTGGCTTATGGTAAAGAAATGAACATTCACTTCTCTGGCAACAGCTCTGGTGACCAATTGCACGCTCCCTCAACTTGAGACATCTGTGGCCTTGTGTTGTGACAAAACTGCATGGTTTAGAGTGGCCTTTTATTGTCCCCAGCACAAAGTACACCTGTGTAATGATCATGCTGTTTAAATCAGCTTCTTGATATGCCACACCTGTCAGGTGGATGGATGATCTTGGCAAAGGAGAAATGCTCACTAACAGGGATGTAAACACATTTCTGGGATCTTTTATTTCAGCTCATGAAACATGGGACCAACACTTTACATGTTGCGTTTATATTTTTGTTCAGTATACATGATACATTTTATTTTGGCCATTATTTATATTTTATATCACAGCATTGTTGAATAATCATTTCTGATTGGCTAGAAGGGCATTCTAGAATGGACATTAAAACCAGATAATGGGACAGTTGGAAAAGATATCGGGACACCTTGCAATCATGACGCAAAATGCACCTACATATGCAGACCATACTTGCTACAAAGCTAAATCAACAACCACACAAACTGAAATTGGATACATTGTAAGAGTGACTTGTACATACACTGAATGTACAAAACATTAAGAACACCTGCTCTTTCCAGGACAGACTGAACAGGTAAATCTCAATATTGGGAAGGCGTTCCTAATGTTTGGTATACTCAGTGTATATCTATCTAGGTAGTTGAATTCAGTACAGCATGTAGAATGATTTGAATGAACCTGTGTATATTATGTATTGTAAAGAACATGGGTGCCCTTGAAGCATTATTCCACTGACTCATTCCTTATGTAACTCTACATGCAGTGACTCAAACCCCAGGCTTTTGAGTGTTGATATTTCTGTTCTATGCATAGTTCACCTGTGCATGAGGTTTCTATTAATGCTCGATTATGTGATCTTGATTTTTTATTTTTTTAAACTAAATATACACTTCCAAATGTAACACAGGAACTGGAAAGGGCAGAAGTTAATGTTTGTTGCTCCCAGAGGTGATCTTAAGCTAAGTGTGGTGACCCAACATACAAGATGAACAGAAGGTTTACTAAAGATCACATTTTGGAGTAGCAAACAGTGAACATGCATTTTTCTTACTTTTCAAGTATTTCCCCCCACCTTTCTGAGAGTACATTCAGTAGGTAATGCTTTATTAATCTGTCTTGGTCTCTCTTGAACTAGGAATCGCCCAAATCATGGGTCGGTGGGTTGCAGCCAGTCACTCTTAGTTTACAGTTAGATAAAGACTAGATTATGGTTAGAAATGTGACTCTCTTTTAGGGGACCAAGAAAATTCACATGGCTTTAAGATGGGACACAATGCAAAAACATCTGTGGTGTATTCGTTAGCACACACCGTAGCAAAACGTTTCAAGATGTTGTAAAGTCCAGGCAGTCCCTAGTCTTCCGTTTGGTGCCTAAACACCCTTAGCAGAGTTTGCCAACTACCGGATGTATCCGGTTTTCATGGATACAGCTAATTCAACCTAGCTTCCTTTTCCACTAAAAACCGGATGTGGGAACTCTGCTCAGGCGTTTTCTTTTACGCCTGCTACGTCAGGTTAGTGCCTAAAGAACACCCTGGTCCTCCGTCTGTCTCTAACCCACTCATGTCTCTCTGCAGGCCGTGAGGGCCAGGGCGAGGGCCACGTTGACCCCAGGGAGCTGCAGAGTGTCAGGCATCAGCTGGAGGACGCCCAGCGCTGGAACGCCTCCCTGCAGGCCCGCCTCGGAGCCATCCAGAACCGCGGGGGAGGGGTGGGCGCCACCAACGACACTGGTGAGAACCAGGATACTGTACTATCGCATCATCACAAACCCTGACAATGTCTCAGCACATTGACAAGCACAGTAGAGCCGGGATGGGCAACTCGAGGAGACACTTACATTTTAGTCATTTAGCAGACGCTCTTATCCAGAGCGACTTACAGTTAGTGAGTGCATACATTTTCATACTGCAGGGTCTCTTTAGAGTGCACAACCCTGGTTTCCTTGGTCTTATTCAGTCACAGACTTAAAGGAGTGTTCCTTTAAATATTTGTGGAGCATACCTGAAGTTAAAGTGCAGTCTGTATGTTGCTAGTAAGTAACTCTCCTCTCCTCTGTTCCAGCTGACACCCTGGGTAGTTTCATGGCCGACCAGACGTCCTACATGAGTATCTGTGTAGGAGAGGGGGAGGGCCTGGACCATCTGTCTGTAGAGGAGCTCCGACAGAAGGTCAGCTTTCACTTCACTGCATTATCATACTTCTTATGTCATATTTAATTCATACATGATCATACTTCATATGTTATTTTATTTATACATTATCATACCTTTTTTCCTGTAAATAATATCGCTTTATTCTGGCGTCGAGCCGAAGAGCTAAACTGGAGGGAAACACATTTTAAAAATAGTTTTTATTGTTTCTAAGCAATCCAATGCTAGTGGTTAATGCAGGGTGTACATCACTACTGATAAGTTGCTAACATCAGTGTCTCTCCTGTAGGTGATGGAGCTGCAGGACTATGTCAGTAGACTGCAGGCTGTGAATGGGGACCTGCAGAGGACGCTGTCTTTGGCCGAGGGCTCAGACCACAACCTATCACAAAGCAGCTCTGGGAAAGAGGTATGTCCAATTTCAAATCTTCTGTAGATCAGAAATGATTGGAAAAGTGTATTTAATATGATTGAAATTCTATCTAAGCCTGTCAGAGAGGAAGGTTAAGTTATTACTGTATTGTTTATAGCTGACAGATCCGTGTAGATCTATATGTAGGCTCTTGTGCTTAGTGCTAGATGTCAATTTGGAATTCGGAGGTGCGTTCAGTTCGCTTGAATGTTTGCTATGTTGCGGAGCGGTTTGTACTGAACAACACATTTCACCAAAACGTTCTTGTATGTCCTTGAACAGACTTCGAGGTACATTTGGTGGGTGTCTCGAGGTGTGGCTTGATGCAATGAGTGACCTATTTAAAGGGCATTGGCCACACTGACAGCGTTCCCCAACCCCTCCCCGTTTTTCAACTGGTAGTTCAGTACAGCACCGTTTCCGTTCAATTGAACGTTAAAACGTACTGAATGCAGCCCAGAAGTAGTACTTCCTGATGCTCTGGGCAGGGCTTTAAAGTGCGGTATGCCAATAAATATTTTACACTGCGACCATGAGTTTTATTTTAGGAGCACTGTGCGACTATGAAACAAATCTCCCAGATTATAATTGTTGTAATGATGAGGCTTCGCTGTACAGTTGTCTCCGAGTGCGTAAGAGAAACAAGCGATTACAGATTCATTAGCGTCATGGTTACACAATTACTACAGCGAGAACGGCTGGCTTTTAGCCCAACCAGGTCAAGAGATCTGACCCACATTTTTATCTTCCTATAGTGGATCGCTGGGACCACATTTTACATTCATAAAGCATTATTATTTTTTATTTTTTTGTCATTTAGCAGACGCTCTTATCCAGAGCGACTTACAGGAGCAATTAGGGTTAAGTGCCTTGCTCAAGGGCACATCGACAGATTTTTCACCTAGTCGGCTCGGGGATTAGAACCAGCGACCTTTCGGTTACTGGCACAACGCTCTTAACCACTAAGCTACCTGCCGCCATGTCCTGGGCCATTCAAAAGCTAGTCGAGCCTCGTTACCATTTGTTTACACTTTGTTCAAGCATGTTACCCCTTTGCTAGCTAGCTAACAACCTGGTAACTTTACCAGTATATCCAAACATTTGGGGGCACAGAAAGAAAGGGAAAGGGATAGCTTCTTCAGGAGATCAATGATCATAGAAATTAATGAATGACAGATCTCTTGCATATCTTCATCACAAACCTGACATTTTTAAAGAGGCTGTTTAAAATGTTCAATGTAATGCATCTCAATAGGAAAATAGTGCTTTGTAGAAACGTAATATTCCACAAATGACTGTAATTTCAATGACAGGTATTCATATCAACATTTTAGCTTTTATAATAAACAAATGTAATTACAGTGTTACATATTAGTTTCTAGGCCACAATGGCTTTAAAAGGTAGCTATAATGTATATAGGCCGAATTTATAGGCTGTATATCAATCAATAAAATCAATAAAAAATGCAGGTTCTCCTACGTTTCATGTGGCACTCCTGACTTTTTAAAAAAATAATTGGGAGCACCAGTGCTACCAATGAAACATTTTAATTTAGAGTCCTGGGCACAGCTTCATCCTAATCCTCCCCCCCTGACCTCTTACTGACCTTTTCACCCTGAACCCTCACTGATGTATGTTAGTTTGTTCTGTCTCCTTACTAAACACTTTTGCAGTACTGTGTCCTATATCTGTTTTTCCTCTTAACTAATGCATTATGTCTCTGTAGTATACAGCATTTACCATTTCTTTCCACCCCTCCTAACTCAGTCCTTGTTCTTTCTTATGTGTCCCATGAAACAGTCTTTTCTTACCCCATGCCACATTAGACACGTCGCTGTCACGCCATTCTGCCTTTGCTGTGGTGCCATGTTGTCTTATGGATTCTGTTCCCTCATTGCATTTTTTCCGTTACAAAGCCATGTGTCACATACGCCTCCCATTCCATTACTATAGCAGGATCTAGAGAGGAGACAGGAGAAAAGGTCACTGCACAGTGACAGAGGCCACAGTGACTCTGGCCAGGACAAAGGGAGCCAGACGGACAGCGGCCTTGGACAGGTAAGCAGGGGTGATGAGGATAAAAGATGGGTGATGAGGAAAATAAATGTTTAGTTGTTTTATGCATCTTAAAGAACCACAGCAATTTTGACACGAGAAAGTATTAATTGAGCATTATGTACCATACCACGTATAGTACTTCTCATACATTCTGACAAATTCCCTTTTCAGGTGGTAGATGGAAGGCTGAATGACGGCCACCAATCTGATGATGTGACTGTGCGCAGTACCCTGGCCCAGATTCAGAGAGGGATATGGCATCCCTGGTCTTCCAAAGCCACCAGTGAGAGCCAGTCACAGAGCAGCCAACAGGGAGAGGTGGAGAGGGACCGAGACTGGGAGCAGCTTAGGTCTCTCCTGTCCGACTGTGGGGCATTATCAGTCACCCACCTCAGGTGAGTCACCTTCATCCTCTATCTAATTCAGACTGGACTGTCTTAGGCTTTATGTACTGTGTTTAGCTTTATTTGAACTGACATGGAAAGTTGATTCAGCCACGCGTATTGTGATTGCTCTACTCATTTGTCCAGTTTACATACTAATGAAGGTTATTCAATTGAATGTCCTGCGTTTTAGGTGGGGTGGTTACTTTTTCATAAGGAGGAGGAAAGCGATTGTGCTTTTCCACTAATAATTCTGTGTGTTTTTTTAGGGAGGAGCTCCAGAGGTTGCGGTCCGAGAACGTGGACCTGAGAGGTCAATTAAAGGAGGAGAAATCCACTGAGTCCAAGGAGAGCGCCGACACCTCGGGCGACAGCGGCGACGGACAGGGCGACCTCCGCAAGACAGTGGAGAGGCTGAGGTCAGAGGCCAAAGGTCACCGCGAGATCATCCAGCTGCTGAAGGAGCAGCTGGAGAGGACTGAAGTGGTGGTGGACGTAGAGACCCGGTCGGATAGTCAGTCGGACATGATGGTCACGATGACCCGGGAGATGGAGAAGCTGCGTTTGGAGCAGGAGGGAGGAGCGCATGGTAGAGAGAAAGTGCTTGAAGGAGAAGAGCGAGGGAAAGCACAGGGAGATGGTCATGCCACACAGGGGAATAGCCACACACAGCCTTCCAAGGGACACTCATATCGCATTGCAAGACATGGGGTAAGTACTGTCATTGAAATAGTAAAGAGGAGACTTGCACACATGTAATATTCATGCTCTGCTGTTTGTTTCTGTATTGCAGGCTGGTGTCAAATCTCGTCTGCCCGTTCCCATGCGACACAACAAAACGGACGCCGCTGGCAGCACGGAGTCGGTAAACCAGGCCTCAGACGAGGTTTCTGATCATCTGAGAGGAGATGTACTACATCAACTAGGCCTGGAACACCACCATGACCAGCAAACCTCAGACTCCGACTCCCACAGGTCTCCTAGAGCAGTCCAGTACTGCAGGCCAGGCTCTAACCGCAGCACCACTACGGGGACCATCAGACAGGGCCTGGAGACGGAGTTCCTCCGAGCTCAGGCCCCCACCGACGCCGAACTCCTGTCCCAGTTGGAGCTCCTCCACCAGGAGTGCCAGGACAAGGAGCAGCTGATAGACCGTCTGGAGGTGCAGATGGCCGAGTGGGACGAACTTCAGGCCCAGCTCCGGGAGAAGGACCGGCTCATCCGTCATTATGTGGAAGCACTGCAGGCCGCCGAGTCCACCATCACTTATCTTACAGCCTGCAACCTGGACAGTAACAGCCAGGGTGGAGTATTAGGCTCTGGGTCCCCTGGTTCAGAGTTCAAACTCCAGAGACAGTGCATTGAGCTCCAGAATTCCCTTGAGGAGAAAGAGAGACTCAACACCCAGCTGGTGGAGTGTCTCAACATGGTCGAGGCAGCCATCGCCTCGCTCCGTGCCACGTCGTCATCCACCAACGCCCTGGACGGTCATTTGGACCCTCAGGAGCTGTGCACGAGGCTGGAGGCGGCCCTACGGCAGGTCAGCGCCTCTCTTGACCCTCTGGTCCTGAAAACCTCGGCACCAGGGCCTTCTGGTGACCCCCTGGGCCTCGACGCGGAGCTGCAGCGGCAAGCGGACTCCCTGCAGGAGGTGCTGTGGGAGCAGAGCCGGCTGAACGTCGAGCTGCAGGAGAGGCTGAGGGCAGCTGAGGAAGCTGTCGCAGCGCAGCAGGGCACTGCCAACACTGCCCCCGCAGGCCTGGGGGGCAATTACGGCAGGCAGCTAGAAGAAGATCTGAATGAGTTTCCGAGAGGGAATGAAACAAAGGGACAGAGAGGTTGGGGAGAACATCATGGAAGAAGCAAGATGGCGTCCGATGAGAAGAGCAGCCTAGGATCTGAGCAGGTTGCCAAACGTCTCTCCGAGTGTCTCAGAGCAGCCGAGTTGGCCATAGCCTCACTCACAGCTCACTGTACTAACACGAGCACTAGCACCTCTACTACGACCAGAGCAGCTCAAACCAGCTCTGACTTACAACAGCAGCTAGACAGACTACAGAGAGCTCTACAGGAGAGAGAAGCACTGGTCGACCTGGGCTCCACCGAACCCACCCACCAACAGACCACCACCAGTACCACCAACCGACACACCACTCCTGGGGCTGTAACCCCCTCTTCCCTAGAGCTCCACCATAACATCTGCCTCCTCCAGAAGGCCTTCTACGACCTGCAGGAGGGGAGGGGATGCAGGGAGAGGGAATCCCAGACAATGGAGCCTGGAGCTTGGGTACCACCACGAGATGTCCAGGCCCAGCTGGAGAGCCTTCAGAAGGCTTTGAAGGAGAGGAAGAGGGCCTGTAAGAGCCTGGAGGAGAAGCTGGCCACGGCTCAGTCCATCATAGCCCTGCAGAACTCCTCCAAGAAGACCAGTCATGTAGCAACACAGAGAGGTAAGGGAACAATAGCTGAGGTGAAATTGTTGATAAGATTCATACATACATTTTAAAATTACATTCCTTCCTACTATTTCTTATATGGCCTTTCGAGCCGGATCTGTTGGCCACTTTGTTTTTCAAGATTAATTTAATGCACAGATCTGCATGTAGACAGAACAACAACACTGTATTTTCTTTACAAAGACAAACGTCAGGAATTTGGAATCAGCTTTTTATTAGAAAATGTTTGTCTTGACATACGTTCTTAGAGGAATGTGTGCAACCTGCACTTTGCTGAGCTGTATTTTTATAAATGTGCATAGACCTCTATTGCAAGAAGTGCATGTACTGGTGTGTCGAGCATGACAGCCAAGCCTTTCGGTTACTGTTTTTGAAGCACTAAAGGGAGCTTCGCATAGCATGACAATGAATGACAGTGACTGGCTCTGTGTAGAATTAAACAACTGCCTGTGTCATTCAATTGTTACATCAAATGACAACGTTTGACGACGTTGAAACGACACAATCCAAATGCAATGATGACATCACGTCACCAGCATCTGATCAAGCCTAAAGAGAGAGAGAACCTGATCCTTCTCTTGTTAACCCCCGCCTGCCTGCGTGTTGCCTCTAGCGCCCACTCTGGAGCAGGAAGACAAGGGCGTGCAGGTGGACCTTCAAGACCTGGGTTACGAAACCAGTGGCAAGAGTGAGGCCGAGGTGGATAGGGAGGAGGGCAGTAGCACAGGTAGACGACAACGTCTAGACGGAGCATGTCTGTCTGTCTGCCAAGTGGACACTAATAATCACAGTGGTAGAGTGCCGTCTGCTGCATGAGGAATGATAAATGAAAACACTGGGCTGTAACACTGTTTGATAATAACACCACTTTGCTTTTCTGGTCTGATAATCACACATCGTCCGGGTGCGTCTCAATAGTCTAAAGTGGCTTCCTCTCCTCTCCTTCATCTGCTCTGACATAAAAATAACTGGACAGGTGAAAGCAACTCCCGGACGTCCGCCATTTTGTTTTCCTCTAGCCTGTGTTTTCAGGTCAGTGCAGATAGAGGTGAGGAGAAAAGGAGACAAGGAGAGGAAGCGACTTTAGACTATTGAGACTCAGCCCTAAAATCTGCATGGGGAATGAACACTGAACATTGTGATGATAACCCCACTGTGTGTTGTATGGGTCTGATAGTCACACACCTTCTCCTATCTGGTTTAACCAGGGCACTGACTTGTACAGCACACCCCTGTCTCTTCCTGTCTGTCTCTGCCTGTGTCTCTCCTGCATGTGTGCACTCTGGTTGTTGTACTCTGCAATGGCTTGCTCTATGGGACACTATAACACCTCCTCATTTGACCATGGTCAACTGTAAAACATTGGCACAAAACCTATCCTCTCTCCTTTCACATTGTATCATCTTCGTCAGACTTGCTTATTATAGATATATACTGTAGACCCCTGTTTGATCATTTTCTGTGTGTGTGGTTGGTGATGATCCCTCCAGACATGCAGCTTGTCCCTGGCAGTGCTAACAGCAGCCTGCCCTGCCTGCTGAAGCAGGACCAGGAGGAGCCCTCGTTCTCCTCCACAGAGAACCTAGACACGGCCTCCAGTGCCTCCTACCCCAGCTCCCCCACTCTCAGCTCCCCCAAGGTACTGCCGCTCTACAGTGCCTTGCATATGTATTCATCCCCCTTGGCGTTTTTTCCTATTTTGTTGAATTACAACCTGTAATTTAAATTGATTTTATTTTGGATTTCATGTAATGGACATGCACAAAATTAGTCCAAATTGGTGGAGTGAAAAAATAACTTGTTTCAAAAAATAAAAAAACGGAAAAGTGGTGCGTGTATATGTATTCACCCCCTTTGCTATGAAGCCCCTAAATAAGATCTGGTGCAACCAATTACCTTCAGAAGTCACATAATTAGTTAGATTGCACACAGGTGGACTTTATTTAAGTATCACATGATCTGTCACATGATCTCAGTATATATACATCTGTTCTGAAAGGCCCCAGAGTCTACAACCACTAAGCAAGGGGCACCACCAAGCAAGCGGCACCATGAAGACCAAAGAGCTCTCCAAACAGGTCAGGGACAAAGTTGTGGGGAAGTACAGATCAGGGTTGGGTTATAAAAACATCCCACGGAGCACCATTAAATCCATTATTAAAAATGGAAAGAATATGGCACCACAACAAACCTGCCAAGAGAGGGCCGCCCACCAAAACTCATGGATCAGGCAAGGAGGGCATTAATCAGAGGCAACAAAGAGACCAAAGATAACCCTGAAGGAGCTGAAAAGCTCCAAAGCGGAGATTGGAGTATCTGTCCATAGGACCACTTTAAGCCTTATGCTCCACAGAGCTGGGCTTTACGGAAGAGTGGCCAGAAAAAAGCCATTGCTTAAAGAAAAAAATAAGCAAACACGTTTGGTGTTCTCCAAAAGGCATGTGGGAGACTCCCCAATCATATGGAAGAAGGTACTCTGGTCAGATGAGACTAAAATTTAGCTTTTTGGCCATCAAGGAAAACGCTATGTCTGGGCGCAAACCCAACACCTCTCATCACCCCGAGAACACCATCCCCACAGTGAAGCATGGTGGTGGCAGCATCATGCTGTGGGGATGTTTTTCATCGGCAGGGACTGGGAAGCTGGTCAGAATTGATGGAATGATGGATGGCGCTAAATACAGGGAAATTATTGAGGGAAATCTATTTCAGTCTTCCAGAGATTTGAGACTGGGACGGCGGTTCACCTTCCAGCAGGACAATGATCCTAAGCATACTGCTAAAGCAACACTTGAGTGGTTTAAGGGGAAACATTTAAATGTTTTGGAATGGCCTAGTCAAAGCCCAGACCTCTATCCAATTGAGAATCGGTGGTATGACTTAAAGATTGCTGTACACCAGCGGAACCCATCCAACTTCAAGTAGTTGGAGAAGTTTTGCCTTGAAGAATGGGCAGAAATCCCAGTGGCTAGATGTGCCAAGCTTATAGAGACATACCCCAAGAGACGTACAGCTGTAATTGCTGCAAAAGGTGGCTCTACAAAGTATTGACTTTGGGGGGGTGAATAGTTACGCACGCTCAAGTTTTCTTTTTTTTTTGTCTTATTTCTTGTTTGTTTCACAATAGCAAATATTTTGTATCTTCAAAGTGGTAGGCATGTTGTGTAAATCAAATTATACAAACCCCCCAAAAATTCCAGGTTGTAAGGCAACAAAATAGGAAAAATGCCAAGGGGCATTGTATTTACTGCCACTGTATTTACTGCTTTTCACATTTTTATTGGACATTGTCTTCGTCCTGTGTTTGGTTTGATTGTATTGTCTTGGCTGTATTGACATCCATCTCTCTTAATCCCTCGCCTTTGCGCGCTTTCTCTTTCTCTCTCTCTCTTTTTTATCCTCCCTCACTTTCGTGCTTTCTTGTTCTATCTCTCTTTCTCCTCACCATCCCCCGTCTCTCACTAGGTGAGTCTGAAGAGCCTCCAGACATTTGACTCCTACGGTTTGTCTGAAGACCCAGCCCAGCTCAAGACCCAGGTGAGGGAGCTGAAGACCCAGCTAGAGAGCCAACACCAGGTCATCCTCCACCTGCAGACCATGCTACGCCGCCGCGCCTCCTTGTCCAGCGAACTGTTGACCGCCACGTCTGACTCCCACACTGCCACAGGAGGTCACACGGGCTCCGAGAGGGGCGAGGAGGATGGGAAGGAGGAGAGGAGCCTGGAGGGAGAGGGGGAGGCTACGAAGGAGAAGATGAAGAGTATGAGCATGGAGCTGGAGAGGGAGAGGAGCGTGAACAGGAGTATGAGCGAGCAGCTGCTGCAGGCCCAGCAGCGGAGTCGATCAGCCTCACCTGCCAGGTTGCTACTCAGTAGTTGTTTCTTAACTTTCTTCATTATAAAGTACTATGGATGTTTTTTTGACATGGTAAAAGTTGAACTCTGAATGGCTGTTCAGTTACTATTTCATTGTATTATTATGGACCAAAATGTAATGTTTGTTTACAATTTAATGTGTATAATGTTTTATTTAACCTTTATTTAACCAGGCTAGTTTCGTTGAGATTAAAATCTATTTTTCAAGAGAGACCTGGGGTCTAATTTGTGAGGGACACTCTCTGAAGAGTATTCGTTTTAGAATATTCCGGAAAATCTGTAGGTAATCTAGCTATTATCATCACCACTAAACCTCTGTTTGGTTAAAAAGTATTTTTTAAATGATCTCCTCTGTCCCCTATAGGATCGACTCCCTGGTGCAGTCGCAGGCGAGGGAGCTGTCCCAGCTGCGTCGTCAGATCCAGGAGAGCCGGGGCCTGGGGGCGCTGCATCGGCTGCAGCTGGAGGAGCTGTCGCAGGCCTTCGAGGAGCTGCTACAGGCCAGCGACATGGACTACTACGTGGGAGAGGTGTTCCGAGAGCAGCTGGACAAGAGCCTGGGCGTCCTGGAGAGGCTGGAGGGCCGGCTGGAGAAAGGTAAACACAACAGACATTGTATGTAGACATTGATGATAGTAATAGTTATATTTACATTTTAGTCATTTAGCAGATGCTCTTATCCAGAGCGACGTACAGTTAGTGAGTGCATACATTTTTCATAGTTGACATTTGATGATAGTAATAGTTGACATTGATGATAGTAATAGTTGACTTTGATGATAGTAATGGTTGACATTTGATGATAGGGCTATTTTAAAAGCAGCTATACAGTATAACAGTAATCCTTCTACCCCCCCACCCCCCCATTAAAAAAAAGAGTGGTTGTCCCACTGGCTATCCTAAATTGAATGCACCAATTTGTAAGTCGCTCTGTATAAGAGCGTCTGCTAAATGACTTAAATGTTAAATGTATACAAACATGTGCTAAGGACTCTTAAAGAGCCCAAGGCCTCTAAAGAATGGAGTCTATTGAGACTGTTCTGAGACGCACCATTCACCAACCTATTCTGAAATTGTATATACTTTCATAACTTACTCACTGATGTAGAGATGTGATGTTGGATTGCTAACATCTGTGAGGGCCTCATTTTCCTAAAATGAAAGATAAAAGTTGAGCGCTTTTGTAGTGCAATACACGGTCTTGCCAAAACACACATCATCATCCAATACCAGGTGCCCCACACAGTTAGGCCTCTCCATCTGAAGCTAGTGTTTCTCTTGGCAAGCATGAGAATACAGGCTGTCTAAAATGTCGTCAAGTGTAAGGTATTTACTGGCTTTTGAATAGCAGCTGTGTTAATTACATAAACAAAGCTATTTTAAAGGGGCAATCTGCAGTTGCTACATAATTTTAAAAAATCATATGTACCCATTGATTGTTGAAGAATAAAACTTATAAATGGCTCATGAGCTTAGTTCAACTGTTGTACCCCATCAGAACCCAAAATATAAGCTTGTTTGACTCCAATGTTTGTAAACAAACACTATTTAGCTAAAACTATCATTTAGATATCATAGGACGAGTTTAAGGATGTGTGATCACCATAAGGACACAAAACATGGTCTACCTGAAGAGGTTATGAGAGAAAAGAGGGGTCTGAAATAGAATGACAGATAGAAGAAGAGGGTAAGGGGAAAAAATAAAAGCAAGAGAGAGCAGTGAGGTGTGATAGATTGAAAGAGACGGGCCTTTCACCATCCCCCTCTCTCCCTGTCTCTAGGAGACGCTCAACTGGATAACGAGGCCGGGGCAGCACTGGAGCTGGCGCAAAGGTGTGTGTGTCTCCCTCCTGTACCACACACACACACACACACCCTCCATCACTAATGGCGAGACCCTTTCTCCCCTCAGGCTTTTTCTGTGAGATGTATGTTTTCCGGCCAAACAAGTTCTATTGGCCTGATTTAGACAGCCCTGACGGTCACTGGCCTGTTTCTTCTACCTCAGCTGCTTAAAACTTTCACGGACATCCATAGGCTTACAGCTGTCTTACTCAACATTGTGTGGTTGTATCAACGTTGTGTCAACATTAGAGGAATATTGTCTCTTAACATTATTTATGGACAGCCACACCGTGCTCCATCAGGAGTTGCAGTACCTGCGCTCCCAGCTAGAGGGCGAAAGTGACATTGAGCCACAGCAGCCAGACAGCCCCGCCACTACCAGGCTGCAGCAGGAGATTGAGTACCTGCGGCTGCAGCTAGAGGGCGAGAGAGAGCTGCTGCAGCAGCAGGTCTGCTTCCTGGTCCAACAGAACCAGAGTTTGGCCGAGTGCGCCAGGGAGCAGCTAGATTTGTGAGTGGCCGGTCACCAAGAGGGATTCTGCGAGGTTGGAAGCATGAGTTTGCTGTGAACTCTTCTCGACTTATGACTCTTTCAACATGTCTTCCTTCAGCTGGTCATTTCTTCCAGAATGTTTCGAGACCTGTCAAAATAGACCCTTTCAAGATAGTAGGTGTTTCCCTCTTGGTGTTTTGGGTCCTCTGTGTGGTTTTCTGTTCTTATAGCTGTTCTCTCGACAGACATCTACAGTCATGTGAAAGAAACACTGTGGTTTTTAAATGTTTTCCCACTATTTAGGACTTTGTCTCGGACTACTTCAGACTGTGTGGAAGCGGCCTCCCCCCGTGGCCTTATAATCTGTTCTAACTCTCCCTTTCTCCCCTCTCCCCGCTCTGCCTCCCTCTCTCCCCGCTCTCTCTCTCTTATCTCCTCTCCTCTCCCAGGCTGTCTAAAGAGTTACAGGAGAAGACCCGTCTGGTGCAGAGTCTACAGATTCAGCTGCGAGGCCAAACTCCTAGCAGCCACCACAGCTCAGACTCGGACCTGTCGGAAATGGTCTCTAACCAGGCCACGGCCTCCTACCACAACAGCCCCACCCTGCCAGCCTGCAGCAAACTCCATGGCAACCAGTCCTATCATGGTAAGAGATCATCAAGCTGCTAGTTATGACATGCTGAACAGACAAAATAACTTTATGCTGTTGTATTATGCCACGTGTAGCTGAAAACCCAGACAGTTTTCAGTTCGTCATCAAGGTTGTATGAAATGGACAATGTCAAGAGTTGTCAGTTGTTCAGAATGAGCTCAGCCGATGTCCCCAGACTAGCTATCGGTGCAGGGAAGCAGAGAAAGGTCCATAAATAATATGCCATTTAGCAGACGCTTTTATCCAAAGCGACTTACAGTCATGCATGCATAATTTTTTTTGTGTATGGGTGGTCCCGGGGATCGAACCCACTACCTTGGCGTTACAAGCGCCGTGCTCTACCAGCTGAGCTACAGAGGACCACATGCTAAAGAGAAGCCACCCTTTGAATGTCACCCAGGTCCGGTCACTGTCCCCGAGTTTCTCCTTATTCCTGTCTAGGTTTTTGCCAGGGTCGTGTTCATTACACAACGGGAAACGAAAATTAGCACTACTTTTTGGACCAAGTCCAACTAGTCCCTCCCTGTTTTAGATAGTTTTCTTCCATTCGGTGCCTAATGAATACGAACCAGGTTTGGTATGTGAGTAGTGCAGAGGTAAGCTATTCTGGGCTGGTGCCGGATTAACTTTTAGCTCTCCATTAAATATGGATATTTTTCCCCTCTGGCGGCCCAGCCGGGCCCGTGGCGTTGAGATTGCCTTTGAATCAGTCTAAAGGCACTGGTAATGGTACTTCTTTTCCACTCAGGCCCATTGTGGACCAGTCAGGCGTCTCGAAAGGACAAAGAGGGCCGGCCAAGGGCAGTACGGGTGTCCGGTTACACCCGTTACTGTCCCCCCCCCCCCCTCCTCTCTCTCCATCCCCACCTCTCCATCCCTGCCCCTCTCTCTCTCTCTCTCTCTCTCTCTCTCTCTCTCTCTCTCTCTCTCTCTCTCTCTCTCTCTCTCTCTCTCTCTCTCTCCACTTAAAACTGCATTATTTAGTAGTAGCACCTATCTGGTTTAATCTTCAAATTGTGTTTCGCTTTGAGTGTGGACAATGAGGGCTATTACGGAGATAGATTATGTGTTGTGGGAGGAAAAGTGAGAGAGGAGAGGAGGGCTACTGAAGAAGAACTCATTTAGCTTAGTCCTGCGGCACTGCGGATGCTAGCGTGTTGCAGTTTTTTTACTCATAGGGCTCCTGAGTGTTGGGCGAAGTGTCAATAGGCTAGGCTAACTTAGCGGAGGCTCATTTGGTGACAGTAGTTTGTTGTGCATGGAGACTAAGCTAACGGGGACCATTCTGTAGTATTAGTTTGAGGGGGCTAGGCTAGGCTAACCATCAGAGCTGTCATTCAGCCAGACAGTGTAGCTAGCAAGGCTAACCATCAGAGCTGTCATTCAGCCAGTCAGTGTAGCTAGCAAGGCTAACCATCAGAGCTGTCATTCAGCCAGACAGTGTAGCTAGCAAGGCTAACCATCAGCGCTGTCATTCAGCCAGACAGTGTAGCTAGCAAGGCTAACCATCAGAGCTGTCATTCAGCCAGTCAGTGTAGCTAGCTAGGCTAACCATCACAGCTGTCATTCAGCCAGTCAGTGTAGCTAGCAAGGCTAACCATCACAGCTGTCATTCAGCCAGTCAGTGTAGCTAGCTAGGCTAACCATCACAGCTGTCATTCAGCCAGTCAGTGTAGCTAGCTAGGCTAACCATCACAGCTGTCATTCAGCCAGTCAGTGTAGCTAGCTAGGCTAACCATCACAGCTGTCATTCAGCCAGTCAGTGTAGCTAGCTAGGCTAACCATCACAGCTGTCATTCAGCCAGTCAGTGTAGCTAGCAAGGCTAACCATCACAGCTGTCATTCAGCCAGACAGTGTAGCTAGCAAGGCTAACCATCACAGCTGTCATTCAGCCAGTCAGTGTAGCTAGCAAGGCTAACCATCACAGCTGTCATTCAGCCAGTCAGTGTAGTTAGCAAGGCTAACTCTGACACCATGGATGTAAAGGAGGGGAAAGTGGAACCAAATGACATCATTCGAGGACGGTGGAAAATGGCACTTGAAGCTACCAAAGATGAATGCATGGGTAGATGGAGATATTGTGTGGACTGACATTAGACTTTTTCTCTCTAGGATTTTGTTTGAGTAATGTTTAGGCTATGTCGCACAAAGAAAAATGTTGTTCATAACTAAAATAACTTCTTCAGATTTCCTCTAATCCTATACTTCGTCCATCCAGGAATGAAAAAGTCAAACAGGGGCTCAACGTCGGCTCCAGAGTCTGCAGCCCAGCAGACTGGGGGCATGGCTAAGGATGGGGGTGTGTCTGGCCATGGGGGAGTGTCTGGACGTAAAGGGAGTGCCGGGCAGCTCCAGGGCCTGCAGAGGGAGAATGGGCACCTGGTGGAGCAGCTGAGGAGCAGCGAGGAGCTTAACGCCACGCTGCGCCGCGAGCTGGACCTCCACCGCTCTATCCTGGTCCAGGAGAGCTCCACGCCACTACACACCCAGGGAGAGGGGCTGGGGCAGAGCCAGGGACAGGCTGGGCGGTCACCACAGAACAGGGAGGACAAGAGGGGAGAGGGACACCCAGCCTCACAGCAGGACACTGCCCAGCTACGCAGCATGAACCCAGGTACAGAGCCGGGAGGGGGTGGTGATCGTCACGTCTGTATGGTGATTATGGGCCTGTAGTTGTGTCTAATGGTATGTTCATTGGATCTGTATGCGTTAGTGACACACAAGGATAGAAAAATGTGTGTGTGTGTGTGTGTGTGTATTTTGACTGACATTGTTGTCAGGCCTGTTAGCAGAGCATCTGTTGGAGATCAGAGCCCTGAGACAGCGTCTGGAGGAGACCATCTACAACAACGACCGGCTACGAGAACAGCTGGAGAGGAGACTGGGCGAGGTGGAGAGAGACCCAGGTACACACACACCTACCTCGCTCTCTCCCACTGTTCTTCCATCTACTGTATGTCTCTTCCACTCTCTCTCTCTGTTTACATTTGCATAGAGTCACACTAACTGGCTGAGGTGGATACTCACACAGAGCATATTGTGTTTGACTTCCTCCTCAATGATGAACTGACTGTATGTAATGTACTGTGTGTTATTCAGCAGCCACCAACATCTTCATCCACGGTACGGAGGAACAGGGCCAGCTGACCAGCGAGCTGCGCTTCCTCTGGGGACAGAACCAGGCCCTGAAGGAGCAGCTCAACCTGGGCTCCAGAGGTACCACTAACGAGTATCCGCTTTCCCCACATACTAGTGTGTTTGTGATTCCTGAATGGATGGATCCCACAACCTTGGCATTGCTAGCCTCATGCTCTTACCAACTGAGCCACAAAATGTCCCCAATATAGCAGAGGGAGAATAATAGCCCATTTTGTTGTCTATCCTATTAATATTATATCTAATTTAAATATTATAATGATCACTCCAGACAAGCAGAAGGAGAATGAGAAGCTGCGTGAGGCGCTGGCCAGACGGACGGCCAAGCTGGAGCAGAGCAGGAAGGAGTGTGAGGTCCTGAGACAGGAACACACATGTCTTCAGGACCGCCTGGACAGGAGCAGTGTAGAACACACACACCTCCAGGACACACTGCACTACAGCCGCCAGGAGATCCACAGGTAATATACACACACACCTCCAGGACACACTGCACTACAGCCGCCAGGAGATCCACAGGTAATATACACACACACCTCCAGGACACACTGCACTACAGCCGCCAGGAGATCCACAGGTAATATACACACACACCTCCAGGACACACTGCACTACAGCCGCCAGGAGATCCACAGGTAATATACACACACACCTCCAGGACACACTGCACTACAGCCGCCAGGAGATCCACAGGTAATATACACACACACCTCCAGGACACACTGCACTACAGCCGCCAGGAGATCCACAGGTAATATACACACACACCTCCAGGACACACTGCACTACAGCCGCCAGGAGATCCACAGGTAATATACACACACACCTCCAGGACACACTGCACTAAACACACACACACACAAACCCAGGGAGGAAAGGGAGAGGAGAGATGATACTGCTGTGGAGAACTAGACACCTTGTATTGGGTGTCATCCTCACTCAACTGTGTCACTGGGAGACCAAGGTCATGGGTCATGTAAGGGATTCCACATTAGTGTGTTTGTGTGTGTGTTCTCCGGTTGCAGAGTGTAATGGTGTTGTCAGTAATGATGATGTGTAATGTGGTGGTTATGGTAATGATGAACGTACAATGTCATGCAATTGGTTCATTTGTGTAGTTTCAAGTTGCATGGCAAGATTGAGGTGCTGATTTTGTCAGTATATACTGTGACTGGTCTCTGTCTCTGCTGTAATGTGATGTGATGTGTTAGTCACTAATGCAGTGTAGATGTGATGTGTTACAGTCACTAATGCAGTGTAGATGTGATGTGTTAGTCACTAATGCAGTGTAGATGTGATGTGTTAGTCACTAATGCAGTGTAGATGTGATGTGTTAGTCACTAATGCAGTGTAGATGTGATGTGTTAGTCACTAATGCAGTGTATATGTGATGTCTTACAGTCACTAATGCAGTGTATATGTGATGTGTTACAGTCACTAATGCAGTGTAGATGTGATGTGTTAGTCACTAATGCAGTGTAGATGTGATGTCTTACAGTCACTAATGCAGTGTAGATGTGATGTGTTAGTCACTAATGCAGTGTAGATGTGATGTGTTAGTCACTAATGCAGTGTAGATGTGATGTGTTAGTCACTAATGCAGTGTAGATGTGATGTGTTAGTCACTAATGCAGTGTAGATGTGATGTGTTAGTCACTAATGCAGTGTAGATGTGATGTGTTAGTCACTAATGCAGTGTAGATGTGATGTGTTACAGTCACTAATGCAGTGTATATGTGATGTGTTACAGTCACTAATGCAGTGTATATGTGATGTCTTACAGTCACTAATGCAGTGTAGATGTGATGTCTTACAGTCACTAATGTGGTGTAGATGTGTTACAGTCACTAATGCAGTGTAGATGTGACATGTTAGTCACTGATGCAGTGTAGATGTGATGGAAAATGTGGTTGTTTCATTGGGTTACTACTGTGTGTCAGGGTGTGTTTGTGCAACTTGCTTGTATACCCGTCCTAAATGTGTGTTCCTCTAGGTTGCAATGTGAGGTGAAGATGCAGAGACAGCAGCTGTCAGACAGTCAACACCTCCTCCAGTCTCTACGCCTGGAGCTGCAGGTCTACGAAAAGATCAACACTGGCACTGGGGCACACACACACACAGGTACTGTCCTACACACACACACAGGTACTGTCCTACACACACACACAGGTACTGTCCTACACACACACACAGGTACTGTCTTACACACACACAGGTACTGTCCTACACACACACACACACACACACACAGGTACTGTCCTACACACACACACAGGTACTGTCCTACACACAGGTACTGTCCTACACACACACGCAGGTACTGTCCTACACACACACGCAGGTACTGTCCTACACACACACGCAGGTACTGTCCTACACACACACACACAGGTACTGTCCTACACACACACACACAGGTACTGTCCTACACACACACAGGTACTGTCCTACACACACACACACACAGGTACTGTCCTACACACACACACAGGTACTGTCCTACACACAGGTACTGTCCTACACACACACACACAGGTACTGTCCTACACACACACACAGGTACTGTCCTACACACACACACACACACACACAGGTACTGTCCTACACACACACACACACAGGTACTGTCCTACACACACACACACACACACAGGTACTGTCCTACACACACACACACACACAGGTACTGTCCTACACACACACACACACACAGGTACTGTCCTACACACACACACACACACAGGTACTGTCCTACACACACACACACACAGGTACTGTCCTACACACACACAGGTCCTGTCCTACACACGCACACAGGTACTGTCCTACAAGCACACAGGTACTGTCCTATAAACACACACACACACACACACACACACACACACACACACACACACTTGTCGCTTAGTTGTTTCTGACCATTTCGCACCCCTCTCTAGAGTCCAGTGGTACAGCCCAACAGTCTGGTCCTGGTTCAGGGTCTGGGTCGAACCAAGTGGACCTGGGGGAGCTGCTGTCAGAGATCCGCCACCTGAGGCTGCAGCTGGAGAGGAGCATCCAGACCAACACGTCCTTGAGGCAGAGACTGGAGGAACAGCTGCTCAGAGGCCCCAACCGCCCAGATACCATCAATATCAACTATCTACTGACTACTTCAGGTACAGAGAGCTCCAAAAACATTGGGACAGTGACACCTTTGTTGTTGTTTTGGCTCTATACTTCAACACTTTGGATTTGAAATGATACAATGACTATGAGGTTAAAGTGCAGACTGTCAGCTTTAATTTGAGGGTATTTTCATCCATATCGAGTGAACTGTTTAAGAAATTACAGCACTTTTTGTACATAGTCCCCTCCATTTTAGGGGACCAAAAGTATTGTCACAAATTCACTTATGTGTATTAAAGTAGTCAAAAGTGTAGTATTTGATTCCATATTCCTAGCACGCAATGATTACATCAAGCTTGTGACTCTACAAACTTGTTGGATGCATTTGCTGTTTGTTTTGGTTTTTTCAGATAATTTTGTCCCCGATTAGAAATGTTTTGTCACTTTTATTGTAAATAGTAATAGAATATGTTTCTAAACAGTTCTATATTCATGGGAATGCTACCATGACTATGGATAATCCTGAATGAATTATGAATGAGAAAGTTAGAGGCATAAATATCATGCCCCCCCACCCATGTTATGGTAATGTTGAGAGGTTAGCTTGTCTTGGGAATATTATATTTGTGCGTCTAACTTTCTCACTCATCATTATTCATAATTCATTCAGGATTATCCATAGTCATGGTAGCATTCCCATGAATATAGAACTGTTTAGAAACATATTCTATTGTTATTTACAATAAAAGTGACAAAACATTTCTATCGGGCACAAAATTATCTGAAACAACCAAAACAAACAGCAAATGCATCCAACAAGTTTGTAGAGTCACAAGCTTGATGTAATCATTGCGTGCTAGGAATAGGACTCATAGGACACATAAGTGAATTTGTCCCAATACTTTTGGTCCCCTAAAATGGAGGGGACTACACTGAGTGTACAAAACATTAGGAACACTATTGTGTTACACCCCCCTTTGCCCTCAGAACAGCCTCAATTAGTTGGGGCAAGGTGTCAAGCGTTCCACAGGGATGCTGGCCCATGTTGACTCCAATGCTTCCCACAGTTGTGTCAAGTTGGCTGGATGTCGGACCATTCTTGATACACACAGGAAACTGTTGATCATGAAAAACCCAGCAGCTTTGCAGTTCTTGACACAAACTGGTGCGCCTGGCAGCTACTACTATACCCCGTTCAAAGGCACTTCAATCTTTTGTCTTGCCCATTCACCCTCTGATTGGCAGACATACACAATCCATGTCTCAAATGTCTCAAGGCTTAAAAACCTTCTTTGACAAGTGCCATAAATAAGGGATCATAGCATTCACCTCGTCAGTCTGTCATGGAAAGAGCAGAGTTCCTAATGTTTTGTGCACTCAGTGTATGTACAAAAAGTGCTGTCATTTCTAAACGGTTCACCCGATATGGATAAGAAATACCCTCAAATTAAAGCTGACAGTCTGCACTTTAACCTCATAGTCATTGTATCATTTCAAATCTAAAGTGCTTGCGTACAGAGCCAAAACAAAAAAAATGTGTCACTGTCTCAATACTTTTGGAGCTCATTGTATATACACTATATATACAAAAGTAAGTGGACACACCTTCAAATTAGTGAATTCGGCTATTTCAGCCACACTTGTTGCTGACAGGTGTATAAAATTGAGCACACCGCCATGCAATCTCCATAGACAAACGTTGGAAGTAGTTTGGCCTTACTGAAGAGCTCAATGACTTCCAACGTGGCAACGTCATAGGATGCCACCTTTCCAACAAGTCAGTTCGTGAAATTCTGCCCTGCTAGAGCTGCCCCGGTCAACTGTAAGTGCTGTTATTGTGAAGTGGAAACATCTAGGAGCAACAACGGCTCAGCCGCGAAGTGGTAGGCCACACAAGCTCACAGAACAGAACCGCAGTGTGCTGAAGCGCGTAGTGCGTAAAAATTGCCTGTCCTCGGTTGCAACACTCACTACCGAGTTCCAAACTGCCTCTGGAAGCAACGTCAGTACAAGAACTGTTCGTTGGGAGCTTCATGAAATGGGTTTCCATGGCCGAGCAGCCGCACACAAGCCTAAGATCACCATGCGCAATGCCAAGCGTCGGCTGGAGTGTTGTAAAGCTTGCCGCAGTTGGACTCTGGAGCAGTGGAAACGCATTCTTTGGAGTGATGGATCACGCTTCACTATCTGGAAGTCTGACAGATGAATCTGGGTTTGGCGTATGCCAGGAGAACGCTACCTGCCCGAATGCATAGTGCCAACTGTAAAGTTTGGGGGAGGAGAAATAATGGTCTGGGGCTGTTTTTCATGATTAGGGCTAGGCCCCTTAGTTCTAGTGAAGGAAATCTTAACGCTACAGCATACAATGACATTCTAGACGATTCTGTGCTTCCAACTTTGTGGCAACAGTTTGGGGAAGGCCCTTTCCTGTTTCAGCATGACAATGCCCCCGTGCACAAAGCGAGGTCCATACAGAAATGATTTGTTGTGATCGCTGTGGAAGAACTTGACTGGCCTGCACAGAGCCCTGACCTCAACTCCATCGAACACCTTTGGGATGAATTGGAACGCTGACTGCGAGCCAGGCCTAATCGCCCAACATCCGTGCCCGACCTCACTTTGATTTTTTTTTTGATTTTTTTTATCACCTTTATTTAACCAGGTAAGCCAGTTGAGAACAAGTTCTCATTTACAACTGCGACCTGGCCAAGATAAAGCAAAAAAGTGCGATTAAAAACAACAACACAGAGTTACATATGGGGTAAACAAAACAAAGTCAAAAATACAACAGAAAATAGAAAATATATATACACTGTGTGCAAATGTAGCAAGGTATGGAGGTAAGGCAATAAATAGGCTATAGTGCAAAATAATTACAATTAGTATTAACACTGGAATGATAGATGTGCAAGAGATGATGTGCAAATAGAGATACTGGGGTGCAAATGAGCAAAATAAATAACAATATACTACGGGTGGGTGTTGCTATGGTGACCAATGAGCTAAGATAAGGCGGGGATTTACCTAGCAGTGATTTATAGATGGCCTGGAGCCAGTGGGTTTGGCGACGAATATGTAGTGAGGACCAGCCAACAAGAGCGTACAGGTCACAGTGGTGGGTAGTATATGGGGCTTTGGTGACAAAACGGATGGCACTGTGATAGACTACATCCAATTTGCTGAGTAGAGTGTTGGGGGCTATTTTGTAAATGATATCGCCGAAGTCAAGGATCGGTAGGATAGTCAGTTTTACGAGGGCATGTTTGGCAGCATGAGTGAAGGAGGCTTTGTTTTGCGAAATAGGAAGCCGATTCTGGATTTAACTTTGGATTGGAGATGCTTAATGTGAGTCTGGAAGGAGAGTTTACAGTCTAACCAGACTGTAAACTAATGCTAATGCTAATGGTCTTGTGGCTGAATGGAAGCAAGTCCCCGCAGCAATGTTCCAACATCTAGTGGAAAGCCTTCCCAGAAGAGTGGAGGCTATTATAGCAGCAAAGGGTGGACCAACTTCATATTAATGCCAATTAATTTTGGAATGAGATGTTCGACGAGCAGGTGTCCACATACTTTTGGTCATGTAGTGTACATAGTATAGAGGTAGAAATCCATACACACTATCATTATCTACTATCCACGTCAGGTAGAATATATATGTACTCACTCTCTCACTGAACGCACGCATACCCATATTCACACACAAAGTCTCGTGGTTTAAACATTTGTCCTATGTTGTGTGTTCCAGAGGATACAGGCAGGTCTCCTGGCCGTGAAGGCTGTGATCCTCCCCGCCACTCCTCTCACGGTGAGAACCCACAGCCCACCCAATCCACAATGTACAGTGCCTTCTGAAAGTATTCAGACCCCTTGACTTTTTCCACATTTAGTTACGTTACGGCCTTATTCTAAAATGGATTAAATAAATACAAATCCTCAGCAATCTACACACAATGCCCCATAATGACAAAGCTAAAACAGGTTTTTATAAATTTTTGCAAATTTAAATTTAAAAACAGAAACCTTAATCACATAAGTATTCAGACCCTTTGCTATGAGACTCGAAATTGAGCTCAGGTGCATCCTGTTTCCATTGATCATCCTTGAGATGTTTCTACAACTTGATTGAGGTACACCTGTGGTAAATTCAATAGATTGGACATGATTTGGAAAGGCACACACCTGTCTATATAAGGTCCCATAGTTGACAGTTCATGTCAGAGCAAAAACCAAGCCATGAGGTTGAAGAATTGTCTGTAGAGCTCCGAGACAGGATTGTGTTGAGGCACAGATCTGAGAAAGGGTACCTAAAAATGTATGCAGCGTTGAAGGTCCCCAAGAACACAGTGGCCTCCAATCATTCTTAAATGGAAGAAGTTTGTAACAACCAAGTCTATTCCTAGAGCTGGCCGCCCGGCCAAACTGAGCAATCGGGGGAGAAGGGCCTTGGTCAGGGAGGTGACCAAGAACCTGATGGTCACTCTGACAGAGCTCCAGAGTTCCTCTGTGGAGATGGGAGAACCTTCCAGAAGGACAACCATCTCTGCAGCACTCCACCAAGCAGACCTTTATGGTAGAGTGGCCAGACGGAAGCCATTCCTCAGTAAAAGGCACATGACAGCCCGCTTGGAGTTTGCCAAAAGGCACCTAAAGGACTCTCAGACCATGAGAAACAAGATTCTCTGGTCTGATGAAACCAAAATTGAGCTCTTTGACCTGAATGCCAAGCGTCACGTCTGGAGGAAACCTGGCACCATCCCTACGGTGAAGCATGGTGGTGGCAGCATCATGCTGTGGGGATGTTTTTCAGCGGCAGGGACTGGGAGACTAGTCAGGATCGAGGGAAAGAAAGTACAGAGAGATCCTTGATGAAAACCTGCTCCAGAGCACTCAGGACCTCAGACTTGGGCAAAGGTTCACCTTCCAACAGGACAACGACCCTAAGCACACAGCCAAGACAACGCAGGAGTGGCTTCGGGACAAGTCTCTGAATGTCCTTGAGTGGCCCAGCCAGAGCCCGGACTTGAACCCAATGGAACATCTCTGGAAAGACTTGTCCCCATCCAACCTGACAGAGCTTGAGAGGATCTGCACAGAAGAATGGGAGAAACTCCCCAAGTACAGGTGTGCCAAGCTTGTAGCGTCATACCCAAGAAGACTCGAGTCTGTAATCACTGCCAAAGGTGCTTCAACAAAATACTAAGTAAAGGGTCTGAATGCTTATGGAAATTTGATATTTCCGTTTTTTATTAAAAAATCTACAGACCTGTTTTTTGCATTGTCATTATGACGTATTGTGTGTAGATTGATGAGGGGGGAAAACTATTTAATCCATTTTAGAATAAGGCTGTAACGTAACAAAATGTGGAAAAGGGGAAGGGGTCTGAATACTTTGAGAATGCACTGTTACTGGCCTGTAGGTACACCACAGCTAATGTCACATTTATACATGTTTTTCTCTCTTAGGAGGTAGTTGTTTTGTGTTTTAGGGTGTGTTGTGTATAATGTCAATGAGTTAGAGGTGAGTAACTGTGTATAACATCAATGTATGTCTCTGTCAAATCTGCTTGTGTAAATAAAATGTGTTTTTGTGTTCTCTCTGCCAGATCTGAAGCGCCAAGCCCAGTCAGAGATGGACGCCTTGTCCCAGTGTAGTAACAGTTCTGGGGACAGTGTCTCTGGCTCGGCTCCCCCTCTGTCCCGCCTGGTGCCCGGCCACCGCCTGTGGGCCAACCGCCAAGGGCGCCACATCCTGGGCCTTATCGAGGACCACAATGCCCTGCGGAAGCAGATCTCCGAGGGCAGGAGGCTCACCCGCACCATGGACACACACCTGCAGGAGTGTGTACGCACACTCAGCCAGCAGGGGACTGACAACAGGGTAAATGCAACACAGTCTCTGATGAGCACATTCCCTTGTTTAATACATGTCAGACCTTCCTGTTCCTTGCTCAGGTGAAGTCCAGCCAACTATCTTTAGCATTTCTAATGTGCATGTAGTATTTGATAGTCATTCATGCAGTAAATTGCTATAATAGTTCATTACTTTTGATGAAGAATCTGATGAACACATTTCCCATGTGTTCATTATGCGAGTGTTCTCATTTACAGTTTTTTCACAAATCTCTTATGAGATGCGTTACAGTGATCGACTTGGTAACAGTATCTCCGACTGTGTATGTTGACTATTGAGACAGTGTTCTGCGTGTGTTATTGTCCAGGTGGTGGAGCAGGGTCAGCTGAAGGCTCTGTCCAGCAGTGTGAACACCATGCAGCAGGTCCTGGAGGAGGCTGGCCAGCTGCTCAAACTGGTCTGGAGGGTGTCCCTGCCCTCTGGCACCGCGACCGCAGGAGGAGACGTCAACAGCAACCAGCAGGTACACACTCTCGCTCATGCGCGCACGTTTCTCACACACACACACAATCGCTCACTCTCTCTCACACACACACCAGTTATACACACACCCTCTCTACGCAGTCTTCAACTCCGTCTTCAGTTCACACACAAACAAGACTCTCTACATAGTACGTACACACATTTGTTCCACAAATTATAAATAGATATATTAATTCTGTCCACACAGTCTATACACACACAAATGTAATTAGAATGACGCAAATGGAATAAATTGGTCAATATGTGTGGAAAGTGGAGACATCACAAAGGTTAAAAAGTAAACATTAGTGGAGACACGTTATCAGTTCTGGAGACTGCATGCATCATGTTTGCTAGCTATATGTCTCCAGGGTGTCTAGTTGTGTTTACATTGTGACGTAATCCACGTTCCATGTGTATTGGGGGTACTGATAAGACCAGTGTAAATGTTGTGGGTGACTCAGTCATGAGTGGCGCAGTGGTCTAAGGCACTGCATCGCAGTGCTAACTGTGCCACTAGATCCTGGTTCGAATCCAGGCTCTGTCGCAGCCGGCCGCGACCGGGAGACTCATGGGCGGCGCACAATTGGCCCAGCGTCGTCCAGGGTAGGGGAGGGAATGGCCGGCAGGGATGTAGCTCAGTTGATAGAGCATGGCGTTTGCAACGCCAGGGTTGTGGGTTCGATTCCCACGGGGGGCCAGTATAAAAAAAATATGTATTCACTAACTGTAAGTCGCTCTGGATAAGAGCGTCTGCTAAATGACTAAAATGTAAAATGTAAATGTAACAATTCCTTCCTCCCTCCCTCTCGCCCGCCCTCCACCCATCCCTCCCTCCCTCTACCCATCCCTCCCTCCCTCCACCCATCCCTCCCTCCCTCCACCCAATCCCTCCCGCCCTCCCCCAGCCCTCCTCTCCCTCCCCCCTCCCTCCCTCCCTCTACCATCCCTCCCTCCCGCTAACCTCCCTCCCTCCTCCACCCATCCCTCCCCTCCCTCCACCCCCATCCCTCCCTCCCTCTCCCATCCCTCCCTCCCTCTACCCTCCTCCCTCCCTCTACCCTCCCTCCCTCCCCTCTACCCATACCCTCCCTCCCCTCTAAACCCATCCCTCTACCCATCCCTCCATCCCTCTCTCCCATCCTCTCTCCCATCCTCCCTCCCTCTCTCCCATCCCTCCCTCTCTCCCATCCCTCCCTCTCGCCCTCCATCCACCCATCCCTCCCTGTCTCCCTCCATCCCTCTCCCAGGATGAGCTGTTGAAGAATGAGATAGCGAGTCTGAAGAGCCGTCTGTCCCAGCAGGAGCGGATGCTGAGCGGTGCGGTCAAACGGCTGCGCACCACCAACCAGCTCAAAGAGGGCATGGAGAGGGTCATTATTGACCAGCGTAAGAACTCACTTCACCTCCCATGCTTGACAGAATAATGAGAATGCATTTGATTGAGGATCAACACAATGCTTTCATATTATACTGAAGAAAATATAAACGCAACAATTTCAACGTTTTTACTGAGTTACAGTTCATATAAGGAAATCAGTCAATTGAAATAAATTCATTCGGCCCTAATCTATAGATTTCACGACTGGGAATACAGATATGCATCTGTTGGTCAGACATACCTTTTTTTTTTTTTTAAAGGTAGGGGCGTGGATCAGAAAACCAGTCAGTATCTGGTGTGACCACCATTTGCCTCATGCAGCGCGACACATCTCCTTCGCATAAAGTTGATCAGGCTGTTGATTGTGGCCTGTGGAATGTTGTGGATGGCTGTGCAAATTTGCTGGATATTGGCAGGTACTGGAACACGGTGTCGTACACGTCGATCCAGAGCATCCCGAACATGCTTAATGGGTGATGTCTGGTGAGTATGCAGGCCATGGAAGAACTGAGACATTTTCAGCTTCCAGGAATTGTGTAAAGATCCTTGCGACATTGGGCCGTGCATTATCATACTGAAACATGAGGTGATGGCGGCGGCAGATGAATGGCACGACAATGGGCCTCAGGATCTCGTCACAGTATCTCCATGTATTCAAATGCAATTGTGTTCGTTGTCTGTAGCTTATGTCTGCCCTTACCATAACCCCACTGCCACCATGGGGCACTCTGTTCACAACGTTGACATCAGCAAACCGCTTGCCCACGCAACGCCATACACGCTGTCTGCCATCTGACCGGTACAGGTGAAACCGGGATTCATCCCTGAAGAGCACACTTCTCCAGCATGCCAGTGGCCATCAAAGGTGAGCTTTTGCCCACTGAAGTCGGTTAAGACGCCGAACTGCAGTCTGGTCAAGAATCTGGTGAGGACGACGAGCACGCAGATGAGCTTCCCTGAGATGGTTTCTGACAGTTTTTACTGAAATTCTTCGGTTGTGCAAACCCACAGTTTCATCAGCTGTCCGGGTGGCTGGTCTCAGACGATCCCACAGGTGAAGAAACCGGATGTGGAGGTCCTGGGCTGGCGTGGTTACACGTGGTCTGCAGTAGTGAGGCCGGTTGGCCGTACTGCAAAATTCTTTAAAATTACATTTGAGGTGGCTTATGTTAGAGAAATAAACATTCAGTTCTCTGGCAACAGCTCTGGTGGACATTCCTGCAGTCAGCATGCCAATTGCACGCTCCCTAAAAACTTGAGACATCTGTGGCATTGTGTTGTGTGACAAAACTGCACATTTTAGTGGCCTTTTATTGTCCTCAGCACAAGGTGCACCTGTGTAATGATCATGCTGTTTAATCAGCTTCTTGATCTGCCACACCTGTCAGGTGGATGGATTATCTTGGCAAAGGAAAAATGCTCACTAACAGGGATGTAAACAAATTTGTGCACAACATTTTAGAGAAATAAGCTTTTTGTCCGTATGGAAAATGTCTAGGATCTTTATTTCAGCTCATGAAACATGGGACCAACACTTTACATGTTGCGTTTATATTTTAGTTCAGTGTAATTTATTCAGATCCTATTCTGAGAGCATAATTATAATGCATTTGAGAATCAACCCAATGCTTTCATATTAACTTATTCAGATCCTATTCTGAGAGAATAATTATAATGCATTTGATTGAGAATTAACTGTTAACTGATTCAGATCCAAACATTTAATTGACATGATTTGTTATTCTTTCCCAACCAGTGTCGTTAACCCACGGAGTGCTGAAGAAGGCCAGAGGGAATCTAGAGGTGAGTCAAAGAATCAGTAACCAGTTTAGACAGACACCAACAAGTATTGTCAGTCAGACCAATCAAAGAATAGACTAATTCCGTAGCCTTTTCTCTCGAATGTGCCGTCTCTTATCTGTCTTTCTTCTCTCACTCTTTGTCTATAAATGTGGGCAAATCTCAGACAAATTATTACACCGTCTTTGGGCTGAAAGGCCTGTCTGGAGGACCAGAGGAAGGTAATAGTGTGTAAGGGGACAGGGTTTGAGTGTTCTAATGCATGACTTGGTTTGTTCCGTGACCTCTGTTTGTTCCATGACTTGATTTGTTCCATAGCTTTTATGACTTGGTTTGCTTGCACTGTACTTCACTATTAAAAGTAATAATGATGCTTGAGCCGACATCCGCTGCGTTTACTGCGAACGCAATCTCCGCAAACTTCAAGGAAATTGCCTTTTAAAAGTCAAGTGCAGTTTGAATCCCAGCGTTGGTTTGTTCCATGGCTTGGTTTGTTCCATGACTTGGTTTGTTCCACAGACTTTTGTGTTGCATGAAAAGAAGGACCGGACCTGGCCAAATACAAATGCATGCTGGTCATTCTCTCAGCTCACAGGCCCATTGTAGCTCAGCCATCAAGGCTCTGTTGTTTTGAGTGATATTTCTCTGGTTGATAGATCAGTTGGAATTATAGGGGCATTCCACTGGCTTTTCATACCTCATCTTGAAGAGACACATTGGCAAATGCAACATCCTAGCTGATCAATGTGTGTATGGTTGGTTAACTGACGTGTCCTTGCCTCTACAGGAGGTCCCGGTCAATGGTCAGTGACCATTGGTCCTTCAGGATCCCCCGATGAGGGAGTGAGCGTCCCCGTCCCCAGCCCTGCCAGACACGCTGAATCCCCTGAGGAGAGGAACAGTGACACCTCATCCCACTGCAGCTACTAGATCTGCCAGTCCAATGGATGGAGTTCAATAATAGTCTATGGTGCCTTCCTCTCCTCACCTTTGTCTGCACTGATGTGAAATACTTGAAGTGTTATACAGCAAAAGCATTACTCTGGTTTTCCCCTGATCTGTTCAAATTAAGGAAAAGGGACAAGGAGAGGAAGCCACTTTACACTATTGAGATGCACCCCAACTGTCAGGGACACAGCCTTTTATAGCTACCTAATTGACCTGTCATTCTCTCAGGCCCTTCCCCTTTATCCCTGCTCTAATACTATATCTGCTTTTTGACAAACCTTACCTTGAGATATGCAAGTCATATTATGGAAATTGTACTGTACTTGCACACCTGCCTATCTTGAGACATATTTTCGGTACAAAGGTTCCTTTAAAGGAAATGTAACTTTCTTTCCCTCTTGTAAATGTCTCCTCCCCCTTAAATTTCTTTTAAGATTTTAATTTCCATTTTATACAATAGAGACCTATTTTACAAAAAGTATTTCCCTCGACATTTGACCTGTCAATTGTGGGTTCTCGTTTGTAATAATGTGCAAATGCATTAAATCAGCTTTGCTTTAAAAAATGTCCTCAGTGTAATGACCTCATAATGCATAAAAACATGATAAACAAGTCAACACACATTATACTTGAAGACACAATCAAAATGTGATGTTCTACTTAACCTTTATTATAAACATTTTTTTTTTTACAAATCTTGGCAGTTCCTTTTAATGTATGACCACAGCATTTGTAATTTATCGGTACTTGACGCACAAATGTCAGAAAATCCAAGCAGATGCAAATAACTTCACAGCACATATTTTTAAAAGACGAAAACATCCTAGTCCAAGCGTTATAAAAGTCACAAAATTATGTAGAAAACAGCGGATCCATACAAAGTAACTAGGCAGCTCATTTAGGCAAGCTGTAGACAAGTTCATTAAATGTGGCTTCACAATTTGATATATACTGGGTTGATTTTTCAATACCAAAAGGTCTGCTCAACTGTTGTCAGAAATGGCCTATAAAACTAGGCCAGTGGAAAGACTGGACACAGTCAACAAGACTGATGTTCAACAGCACCAAGATATGTTACTAATGATTCCCTTAAAGGTAATTGTCTGCAGTATCTCAGAATGGACTTTTGTTTTTAGCTGGCCCTTGTAAGCAGCTGTTTTCCTCTTGACATTGCCACTGAGGTATAGTAGGCTATAAGCTCAAGCGTGACAAATTGGAGATACAACTAATGTGTATGGGAGCATTTTCTGAACACCCAAATGGCTTTGGCACAAAGACCGATGTTACAGTACCCTGGCTTAGAATCGACCCAAATGACTAGAAGTCGAACAGCAGATTATAATAGTGACTGGCTTGACTAACATCGCTTCAAATTGAAGAGAATGAACCGAAACTGTTGCACCGTGAAAATAATAATTCAGAAGAAAACATCTGTGCTACAAGTATGCAGAATCTTCACCCAAAGCAAATGGTAAAGGTGCTGTGTCAGTATTGGTATAGTCAACCTCAGTGTGAGCAGAATATGATAGCCATGTGTGCCAAGAGTTTTTCTGACCAATAATTTCTTATCAGGAAAACCTCCTGGCCCCAGTCTTACACTCCATGTGGTGGGTCTATCTCTGTATGTGGCGTACAAAGGCCTGCACCAGCTGGATGAAAGGCTCCTGACCCTCGTGGGTGGCCTTGAAGCCTGGGGTGGTGGTCTTGGTCTGGGGGGAGGGCAGCAGGCTGCTGGCCGGGGACGAGGGGGAGCCACGGCGGAAGTGACGGGACAGGCTGGAGAGGAGGGTGCTCTGGAGGGGAGAGACAGGCATCACATGTTCAATCATCAACCTCATCATGCAATGTATTAAAACAGCATTTTAAAAAAGTATGAATTGCAATTTAAGGCTACTAGAAACATGAGGACACTTCATGACACTGAGAACAGAATAGACTGGAATGGCAGAATAGGACAAAGAAAACTAGTCTGGTGGTACTTTAATGATGCTGCAAGTTTGAATGACTCACCAGTTCAGAGCCGAGCTCCTGTTTGAGTCTCTGTTTGTCTCTGGGGGCGATGCTGGGGTCCTTCAGACAGCGGACAGCCTGGGAGATGAGCACGTAGAAACAGTTCTCCATGGTGAACATCAGCAGAGACCTGGAAGGACAGTCACACATACGAGTTAGAAATGACCAATATTACCAGCAACTATGTTTCAGTTTCTCTCGGTCTCCTTACTTGAGGGCTTGGGTTTCCTCTGACGAAGCCAGGGAGGCCACACTCAGAGAGGCTGGCTCCTTCTTCTCCACCTAAATATGGACAGAACACAGAAATGTACAGTACAATTTATATTTCCTCATTTTACAAGAAAGATACTTTCAATGTCAGCAAAGCTTATTGACTTGGAAATAACTAATGGAACTGAAATTGATTTGAAATCATGGGGGGGGGGGACAACCTCTCCCAGCATGCTTAGCGCCACGCTGATGGTGGCTAGCAGGGTTCCGAAAGAGGGCGCCACGTCAGAGTCAAAGGCCGGGGTGGTGAAGCTCAGCACAAACAGGGTCCTGTACTCAGCCAGGTCCATACACTATCACATACACAATCTCAGTCAGTGAACTCACTTCAATAGTGAGTGAACATACGCTAACACATTTAAACACTAAAAGGCAGTTCAAACACATTCTATAGATGTATGGAAACTATGTAGAGGCTGATCGTGCAGGATGTGAGTGTTTGGTAAGGGTTGTGGTTATGATAGGAGTCACGGTTCAAACAGTGCAGAGAGAGTTTTTAGAGACAAAGTGTGTTATTCTCACCTGGTCCAATAGTATCTGGCAGCAGTCGGGGGTGAAGTGCTGCAGCGTGGCCAGAGTCTTACTGAGGATCTTCAGCAGGCTGCACTGCACCGCCAGCAGGGCCTTCTGCTCAGCCTCCTCCCTCTCCCCACCCCCTCCTTCGGTTGCAGCTTTGGAGGGGGTCTGAGGATCTCTCTGGGCACGGGGGCCGGAGGGCAGCGCCTCCCCATTCTTAGCCTGGGGGGACAATGACAGACGTCCGGTAAAATAAATGGAAATAATGACAGTTCTTTGGACATTACTTTAATTCAACCAGGGATAACAAATTATATTTTATAATCCCAGTAACACCATGGTAATGTCTGTCTGTCTTACCTGGAGGTAGTGATGAAGCATGTTCCTGCTGTGGAGGAGGTAGGTGCACGTCTGACACAGGTAACACAGATTGATCTGCAGGTAGACAAAAAATAAAAATTTGAGTATTTCTTTATTGCTGTAAGCTAAAAAATATATACTTTGGGGAAAAAGAAACACTATCTCAAATTATAAAAAAGGACATTTCACTCACTATTACAGATGAAGTGTACACGTGCTGACTGACCTGTATGTCTCGGAGCAGCTGGGGCAGGTGGAACTGCCACTCCTTACAGAAGCTGGACAGCTGCAGCAGGAAGCCCACTGTGTGGTCAGCCTCGTCCAGACACACCAGACTCTGGACCGTCCGCACCGCATTCAGGCACTGAAAGAAACAGAAAAATAGACTTTAGGTTCCATGTTCAGAAAGGAACAGAGATGGTGTACACACACAGATGACTATTCACGCAAGGACAGACAGGAACGCACGCACACACACACACCTGCAGTATGCGTTCCTGGTGCACTCCGACAAAGTCGAGGGCCTCGTTGATAAAGTTGTAGCGCAGCGTCTTGAGCAAGATCTCCATGAGGGACATAGAGAGGCGGTACACCCCCGGCCAGCAGGGAGCATCCTGGGACTTACGGGAGAAACCCTGACCAGGGAGATGAGAGACTAACGTTATAGTGAGAGAGAGACTAACGTTATAGTGACAGAGAGACTAACATTATAGTGAGAGAGAGACTAACGTTATAGTGAGAGAGTGACTAACGTTATAGTGAGAGAGAGACTAACGTTATAGTGAGAGAGACTAACGTTATAGTGAGAGAGACTAACGTTATAGTAACACCCAGAGAGAGAGACTAACATTATAGTGAGAGCAAGAGACTAACATTATAGTGAGAGAGAGACTAACGTTATAGTGAGAGAGAGAGAGAGAGAGAGACTAACGTTATAGTGAGAGAGGGACTAACGTTATAGTGAGAGAGAGACTAATGTTATAGTGAGAGAGATACAAACGTTATAGTAACACCCTGAGAGAGAGACTAACATTATAGTGAGAGCAAGAGACTAACATTATAGTGAGAGAGAGACTAACGTTATAGTGAGAGAGAGAGAAAGGGACTAACGTTATAGTGAGAGAGGGACTAACGTTATAGTGAGAGAGAGACTAACGTTATAGTGAGAGACGTTATAGTGAGAGTAAGAGACTAACATAGTGAGAGAGAAATTAACTTTATAGTGAGAGAGAGAGACACTAACGTTATAGTGAGAGAGAGAGAGAGAGACACTAACGTTATAGTGAGAGAGAGAGAGAGAGACACTAACGTTATAGTGAGAGAGAGAGAGAGACTAACGTTATAGTGAGCGAGAGAGAGACTAACGTTATAGTGAGCGAGAAGAGACTAACGTTATAGTGAGAGAGAGACTAACGTTATAGTGAGAGAGAGACTAACGTTATAGTGAGAGAGAGAGAGAGAGACTAACGTTATAGTGAGAGAGAGACTAACGTTATAGTGAGAGAGGGACTAACGTTATAATGAGAGAGACTAACGTTATAGTGAGAGAGAGACTAACGTTATAGTGAGAGAGAGACTAACGTTATAGTAACACCCAGAGAGAGACTAACGTTATAGTGAGAGAGAGAGACTAACGTTATAGTGAGAGAGAGACTAACGTTATAGTGAGAGAGAGAGAGACTAACGTTATAGTGAGAGAGAGACTAACGTTATAGTGAGAGAGAGACTAACGTTATAGTGATAGACGTTATAGTGAGAGTAAGAGACTAACATTATAGTGAGAGAGAGAGACACTAACGTTATAGTGAGAAAGAGACACTAACGTTAGTGAGAGAGAGAGAGAGACACTAACGTTATAGTGAGAGAGAGACTAACGTTATAGTGACAGAGAGACTAACGTTATAGTAACACCCAGAGAGAGAGAGACTAACGTTATAGTGAGAGAGAGAGAAACGTAAAGTTATAGTGAGAGAGAGACTAACGTTATAGTGAGAGAGAGACTAACGTTATAGTGAGAGAGACAAACGTTATAGTAACACCCAGAGAGAGCGACTAACGTTATAGTGAGAGAGAGACTAACATTATAGTGAGAGAGACAAACGTTATAGTAACACCCAGAGAGAGCGACTAACGTTATAGTGAGAGAGAGACTAACGTTATAGTAACACCCAGAGAGAGAGACTAACGTTATAGTGAGAGAGAGACTAACGTTATAGTGAGAAAGGGAGAGACTAACGTTATAGTGAGAGAGGAGACTACGTTATAGTAAAGAGAGAGACTAACGTTATAGTGAGGAGAGACTCGTTAGTGAGAGAGACTAACGTTATAGTACACCCGAGAGAGGACTAACGTTTAGTGAGAGGAGAGACTAACGTTATAGTAACACCAGAGGAGGACTAACGTTTGTGAGAGAGAGACTAACGTTATAGTGAGAGAGAGACTAACGTTAGTGAGAGAGACTAACGTTATAGTAACACCCAGAGAGAGACTAACGTTATAGTGAGAGAGAGAGAGACTAACGTTATAGTGAGAGAGAGACTAACGTTATAGTAATACCCAGAGAGAGACTAACGTTATAGTGAGAGAGAGACTAATGTTATAATAACACTACAACATTTCTTCATTGCAGTGTCAATTAATGATCGGTTTAGGATGCGTTCCAAATGGCACACTATCCCTATATAGTGCACTACTTTTGACCAGACATATAAGCCCTGTTAAAAAGGAGTGTATTATATAGGGAACAGGGTGCGATTTGAGACACAGCCATGTTGTGCTTGTGTGTTACCTGTGAGGCTCCGTTAGAGGGCACTTCGTAGACACTGAGCAGAGGGAGACAGATACTCTGGATGACTCCGGCCCCAGCTACTGCTGCTGCACCCTGGAGGACAGGACACACAACAACATATATCCTTTATTACTAATGTGGTTGATATAGCATTTAAGTATTTTTGTTTTTGCATTAGTCTTAGTAATGTATATGGTAACATTGTAGTAGTGTGTGTGTGTACACGTGTGTGTACCTATGTACCTGTGTGTACGTGTACCTGTGTGTGTGTGTGTGTACGTGTCTGTACCTGTGTGTGTGTGTACCTGTGTGTGTGTGTACCTGTGGTGTGCGGGCCAGTGTGAGCAGCAGGTGCAGGGCAGCCTCGGTGAAGTAGAGGTTCTGTTTGGAGCGCAGGCTGAGTTCTAGAGCGCTGAGAACAGAGTGGAGAGCAGGAATCTTCCTCATCACTAGAACCCAGTGTTCCCCATCCTCGTCGGCACGACACAGCTCCTTGGCCAGGTGTAACGCCAGCACACACACCTGAGAGAGATGAAGAGCGAGAGAGAGAGATGAAGAGCGGGAGAGAGAGATGAAGAGCGAGAGAGAGATGAAGAGAGCGAGATGGAGGGAGAGAGAGATGAAGAGAGCAAGATGGAGGGAGAGAGAGAGATGAAGAGCGAGAGAGAAAGCGAGAGAGATGAAGAGCGCGAGATGATGAGCGAGAGAGATTGCGGGGGGGGGGGGGGGGGTACTGAGAATATGAACAGCCTGATCACTTAGTCAAATTTGAGTTAAATATAGGGAATTAATTACCAAGAATAAATGCAAATCTCTTTAAATCAAAACTTCTGATTAAAACTTGCTTTACATAAACCAAAGCTAGAGACGATCCACCACAGACATGTAATGTAGATCATTCTGACTGCTGAACTGCCATGACCGAGATCAAAGATTAGAATTTATTCAGCACATGCAGAGGTAATTCATTGCATCTCACCATTTGGTTGGGTATGCCCTTTTTCAAAACACTTGGAGCAACAGTTAAGCACTGTGTGCGTTTAAAAGAGTACAATTATTCTGGTGTTGCTTAATGTCTGTTTCTATGTGGTGAAGCTGAAGAGGCATTTCCACATTGCATAGATAATAAAGTTTTTCTCATTCTAAAATGGCGGCCTTGTTTGACTTACCCCGTCTCTCTGGTCCTTCTGGACGCTGCGGACGGCGTCAGTCTCCATGCTGTCTTTGTCCTCCGGGATGTCCCTCACCTGAGCCGTGTGACGAGTGCTGTCAATCAGTGCCAGCGCCTCGTCCTGCACCGTCTCACACACACACAGCAGCAGCTGGGGCAGCTGGGAGATCTCCCCACCTGATAAATGTAATGAGCAATACTCTTAGAGTACTGGACGAGTCATGTAAACTGATTGCACAAAACATTAAGAACACCTTCCTAATATTGAATTGCATAGACAGCGGTTAGTCCCCCTCACCGTTGAGTCCCTGTATCTGCAGTGCAGAGAGGAGGGCAGAGAACACCTTGGCCTTGGTCCTCTCCATCAGCTGCTGGTCAGCCTGCAGGACACTCTCCAGGATCAGAGAGAGGGGGGCCAGTACGTCAGGGGCCGTGGCCACCACACTGCAGGGGTAAACAGGATGGGGAAAGACAGGAGGATGATGGGAAAAAGAGAAGGAAGGTGTTAGATGTACAGAAAGAGATTGATTATTAACAACCAATGTACTAACTCACTGAATTAGAATAACATATTTGAGATGATTTTCAGTATCCTGATATTTCAACGTGTGGACACAATGTACATTAATCCACGCATGTGCACACACAAACCTTCTCCACTGTTTAAGCAGGATCAGCAGAAGAGTAGCCATCATGGATCCCAGACGTAGACAGGGCACAGACATGGGCACCAGCAACTAGAGCGAGAGGAGAGAGCGAGAGAGAAGGGGAGGTGAAAGCTAGTGAGTGAGAAGAGGATAGAGCAGTTGTCATGGGTGTCATGGTGACTAACTCACAGCAGCTTTGGTTCCATCCAGCACGTCCATGAAGAGCTTAAGTCTGGCAGAGTCCTCCTTTAACTGCATCACATCCGACTGTAGACAACAGAACACATCAATGAATCAACCAACCAGTCACACTGCAACCAATCAACCACACTGCTCTATCAGCATAGTTTGTAAAAACATTATTTTTTATATTTATGGGGTATTGTTTATGCATGTACTCATCATGGAATTCATAGGACGACTTCCTCTGTCATATGTGACAGAATTCTACTGAACTTTTAAACGCCACAGTGACAAGTGGAGTGGTGTGACATACATGACTGGTAGAGAGGATGATCAGCATGCGCCAGGCTGAGATGACCATCTGGGTCTCGGAGAACGAGTGCACGCCCTCCTCCTCCGTCTCTGCCACGTGGACCACCAGGGATTTAACATACTGGGACCAGTACTCGTAGCGCCGCCCGCTGGAGAACTTCTGCAGCGCATCCTTCAGAGACCGCTCCAGAGAGCCACTGGGGAAAAGAGAGGGTCAATCAGATAGAAATATACTGTGTCGAACATATATGAATGTCCGTCAGGTAGAATAGGGAATCGTGTCTGATCTATCCAATACATTTCAAAAGTTTCACCTCAAGTCCATCTCATTTAGACTAGTTTATTTCATATCTCAATGTCTATTTTATTAATTTATTTTCACAGGAATTTGTTTAGCATTTCGCACCATCAATTCACACCAGCCTGGTCTCATAGACTAGACGTAACATAGTAAATGGAAATCTGGGACACTCAAATTAGTATGATATGTTAGTTATGGTTACATAAGACAGAAGGTTACTTAAGGCCACCTAGCCAACATTAGCAACAACAAATTGTAATTCATAACATATTGTACGTTTAGCGAATTGTAACATATTGAACATTTTTCAAATTCCTAACATATCACACGAATTGTAATTCATAACATGTCATGCAAAATGGATGATGAACATCCACAAATTAATACATACCATACGAAACGTAACACTGCATACTAAATGGTGTGTCGCGGCATTACATACAGAAAATACAGTGGGGGAAAAAGTATTTAGTCAGCCACCAATTGTGCAAGTTCTCCCACTTAAAAAGATGAGAGAGGCCTGTAATTTTCATCATAGGTACACGTCAACTATGACAGACAAATTGAGAAAAAAAAAAATCCAGAAAATCACATTGTAGGATTTTTTATGAATTTATTTGCAAATTATGGTGGAAAATAAGTATTTGGTCACCTACAAACAAGCGATTTCTGGCTCTCACAGACCTGTAACTTCTTTAAGAGGCTCCTCTGTCCTCCACTCGTTACCTGTATTAATGGCACCTGTTTGAACTTGTTATCAGTATAAAAGACACCTGTCCACAACCTCAAACAGTCACACTCCAAACTCCACTATGGCCAAGACCAAAGAGCTGTCAAAGGACACCAGAAACAAAATTGTAGACCTGCACCAGGCTGGGAAGACTGAATCTGCAATAGGTAAGCAGCTTGGTTTGAAGAAATCAACTGTGGGAGCAATTATTAGGAAATGGAAGACATACAAGACCACTGATAATCTCCCTCGATCTGGGGCTCCACGCAAGATCTCACCCCGTGGGGTCAAAATGATCACAAGAACCACACGGGGGGACCTAGTGAATGACCTGCAGAGAGCTGGGACCAAAGTAACAAAGCCTACCATCAGTAACACACTAAGCCGCCAGGGACTCAAATCCTGCAGTGCCACACGCGTCCCCTTGCTTAAGCCAGTACATGTCCAGGCCCGTCTGAAGTTTGCTAGAGTGCATTTGGATGATCCAGAAGAGGATTGGGAGAATGTCATACGGTCAGATGAAACCAAAATATAACTTTTTGGTAAAAACTCAACTCGTCATGTTTGGAGGACAAAGAATGCTGAGCTGCATCCAAAGAACACCATACCTACTGTGAAGCATGGGGGTGGAAACTTCATGCTTTGGGGCTGTTTTTCTGCAAAGGGACCAGGACGACTGATCCGTGTAAAGGAAAGAATGAATGGGGCCATGTATCGTGAGATTTTGAGTGAAAACCTCCTTCCATCAGCAAGGGCATTGAAGATGAAACGTGGCTGGGTCTTTCAGCATGACAATGATCCCAAACACACCGCCCGGGCAACGAAGGAGTGGCTTCGTAAGAAGCATTTCAAGGTCCTGGAGTGGCCTAGCCAGTCTCCAGATCTCAACCCCATAGAAAATCTTTGGAGGGAGTTGAAAGTCCGTGTTGCCCAGCGACAGCCACAAAACATCACTGCTCTAGAGGAGATCTGCATGGAGGAATGGGCCAAAATACCAGCAACAGTGTGTGAAAACCTTGTGAAGACTTACAGAAAACGTTTGACCTGTGTCATTGCCAACAAAGGGTATATAACAGAAGTATTGAGAAACTTTTGTTATTGACCAAATACTTATTTTCCACCATAATTTGCAAATAAATTCATTAAAAATCCTACAATGTGATTTTCTGGATTTTTTTTTCTCATTTTGTCTGTCATAGTTGACGTGTACCTATGATGAAAATTACAGGCCTCTCATCTTTTTAAGTGGGAGAACTTGCACAATTGGTGGCTGACTAAATACATTTTTTCCCCACTGTATGACATGCTGTGAGATTGTCCGTAAATTCGTAAATTCAGAGCGTTCTGAGCGCACACTGGAAGCTCTGGCCGAGGAGTAGGGTTAATCCGAGCGCTCTGACCTCACAACAGCAGTCAAGCACCCAAGCTAACTGGCTAAAGTTGGCTAGCTTGCTAGCTACTTCCAGACACAAATGAGAGAACACCTCACTGACCATTTTAGTCGCCCTAGCAGAGCTGGTTAGGCTGTTTTCATGTTATCTAGAGCGTTGGTGACTAACTGTGCTGCTGGCAACAATTGAATTAGGTTTTATTGCAGACGTTTACTGACACCTGTCATATTCAATGGGTGTTGCGCATTCGCAAATTCATCAGTTATTCTGCGCTCTGGCACGCTCAGACGAGTGTGCTCTGAAATCGGAGTAGATAGCCAGAGTGAATTTATGAACGCCCCCATATTGCACGTTTTGCAAATTCGTAACATATCATACAAAATTGATGATGGACATCAACAAATTAATACATGCCATACGAAACGTAACATATTAAATGGACTGTCCCGGATTTACATACGGAATGCTCTGAGACCAGGTAGATACAGACAGGTTGACACATATCATGTGCAATTTGGTAGATGAAGCCACTGATACCAGTAACAACTCAATCCACCAAATATACTGCCTTGAATTGCTGTATGTAGCTATAGAAACATGTAGCCTAGTTACCTGACCACATAGTAGATCTCAAGGCCGATGATTTTCATGACAAAGGCACAGGTCTCCAGAACACAAGGCTCCGTGATGTCTGAGGGGGAGGGGAGGGTTCCAAACAGAGGTGTGGTCAGGTTTTCCCAAAACTTCTCTCTGTGGGAGGAAACATCATAGATTTAATACATTTTGATTTTATTAGGATGCCCATGGCGACAACTAGTCTTACTGGGGTCCGACAGATAATGTAAAAGACATTACAGACAAAAGATTTAACAAGTTACATACATTTAAAAACAAGAACATGTATTACACATACGTCAATACATGCACACCAAAAGTAGGTAACAAGGGGGAGAGGTGTTGTGCCGTGAGGTGTTACATGAAATCACTTGAAACACATAAAAACCAATGTTACGGCATAATCTCTCATGTTGGTGTGTGTGTGCACGTGCATGGGTGCGTGTGTGTTGAAGCGTGTATCTCAGGCTGTGTGTGTGTGTGCGCCCAGGCAGTGTCATAGCTCACTCACTTGGTGCGTAGGACAGAGATTGCGCTATCCCGTCGGTCCTGCCACAGGGCGTGGAGGAAGGCTAGGGCGGCACGGTGCAGCAGGGCGGGACACCAGTACTTCCCCTGCTGCCTGGAGTCGATCAGGTCCAACACAACCTGCAGACAGCTCCACTCACCCAGCAGAAACTCCTGGGAGGAAGGGGAAAGAGAGAGAGAAAAAAAAAACGTGTCTTTACTGAACTGAGTCTGGGAAGAGAGGAATTAATCTGGTATAAAGATTCAGAATCTCAAAAAATAAAACTTAACTATAAGTATTAAACATCAACACACAAAGTCTGTAAACATGTCTAAGTCCTGACATGTTCCTGTCCTATGCCTAGACTGCCTGCACCGCACAGCTCTCACCTTTGACCCCTCTGCGCCGTCCTTGACCTCCAAGTTGAGGAAGAGCTCGATGAGGCCCTGGCTGGGTCTCCACGGCCACGGTGAGGAACTCCAGGATCATCACCTTGATCCTCATGTCCTCCGTCCTGCTCTGTAGCCGTGTCAGGAAGGCATCCCTGATGGCCGCCGCGTCACCTCCCAGGCAGGCGTACACTGACATGGGAGCCACCTGGAAACCAGCAGGTCATGTAAATATTACACAAGATCTTGATAGACTAGTACTGTAGTCTTGTCAACAGAAATGGGGACATTTGCTTCAACAGTGTCTCACTGTCTTCGCTTGCCCTCTATTTTTAAGCCCTGTAACAACTGGTGACGTAAAAAAAAGGCTCAATTCATTTGATTGATTGTTTTTTGCTCGCAAACCTCTAAACACTATCCAACAGAGAATGTGGCAAGTAACTTATGATGCTGTAGTACTATGTTGGGATTTTCACTACCTTACTTGATTGCTCTGATGGTATGTGCAATGTGTGTTGAGTTACCGTGGCGAGCCTCTTGAGCAGCTGGATGGCGAGGCGCGGCAGGGCCGGGTCGTGTTTGTGGTAGATGTACTTGGCAAGCACGGCGATTAGGTTGCTGCCGTGGCCACCGTGCTGTGTTAGCGCCTGCTCCAGGGGCGACACGGCGTCCGACGGTGGCTTGAGGCGGATCACGTTGTTGGTGACGGAGAAGGCCAGCTTGACCGTCTGGATGAGGATCTGACCCGGGCCCTCCGTGCCACCACTAGAGGGAGACACAGAAAAGTTTCAATTAACATGGAAATCATCTGTTTCCAATTCCAAAACAATAGAAAATACCAAAAAAAATGTTACATAAACAGAATTCATTGTAAGTGGCCTAGGGTGGTCAAGCGGTCTAAGCTGCAACCTCCAAAGCACATATACCACTGCAGCACTCTCCATCTTTCCTCTGTATTCCTGTCCTATCCAATAAACAAAAAAAAATACTTGAGGGGGACCGCCCCACACTTTAAAAAAAGAAAGCTGTGGCAACTCTATACACTGCTTTTCTATCTGCATGCAATGTTCTCAACGTGTCTCCCGTCCTGAGACACTATGATACAAACACCACTTGTGTGAGCAGAGTGTGTGGTCAGCTGTAGACAACGTGAGAGTGGTGTGTTACCTGCTAGGCTGAGCAGCCAGGACCACATCTATGGTGTCCACTCCCACCCCCATGATGTTGACCACCGCCTGGCCTGCCTCGGTGTTAGCCAGACTGTAGATACACAGAGACTGGAGGGTTGGCGTGCTGGGGGAGAGAGAGAGTGAGACAGAGGGAACAGTGATGGAGGTTAAAATATGATACGAATACTTTTCTGTTTGATACTAATACTATGGGGTTAGGCTCCATCCTGGCAGTCTGTAACTCACTAATCAGACGTGCGTTTTACTCAGTCCCAAATTCAATACCAGCAATTCAGGCGGACGAGCATTTTGTTTCTTAGTAAGGTAATGTCTGTTTAGGTAGAATAAGGAATGTGGTTTTGATATGCACAGCAGCCCTACCTGCCACTAGCCTCCCCTTCTGGACTGAGGTTCAGGATGGCATGGACCAACTCCAGGATCAGACAACCTGAAGAGGAAGAAGAGGAGGAGGAGGAGGAGGGGAAAGAAAGTAGTGAGAAAGAGGATTCAGAATGTTTTTCAGTCTGACAGTAGTTTCTGTAGCCAGCCCTTTCAATATGGCTAAGGCCACACTCAACTGTGGGCCCTGGTCAAAAGTAGTGCACTATAACGGGAAGAGAGTGCACTCACCGATCCTCTCTCGGACTCCATGGGTGTTGTAGCGCCACTTGTGGTAGGTGGGCAGCATCTCCTTCAGCACCAGCAGCACACAGGGGATGAGGCCCTTGTCCTGGGTGCTGCCCAGCTGGCCCTGAGGGCAGGAGGGACACACAGTCAGTACAACTACTGATAGTCAGTCGCTCAATGCCAAATAAACTCCTAGCCCCTAAACACTAGGCCTTTGTGGATTTTGAGACATGGATAAGTGTTATGATAATGTATATCTGTTTTTGTCTTGTCTGTATGTATGCTTATTTTATCTTTCCCCTTTAAAAACAGATTTACTTGAAACGCCCCATGTAAAAGAAAGACATTGAGATGGGATAGGTGTAAGCTGGTTTCTTTGGGGTTGATGAGCCATTACTACAGTGTTAATAGAATAGAGATACCTTGACCAGGGTGGTGACGAGGCGCAGGAAGGCGATGGTCACAGCGTACTCCCCTTTGGGCTGCTCTATCAGGACCAGCAGGTTGCCATAGTTACCTGCCTTCATCCCCTCAGCACTGGATATATACAAATACATATATTAACTATGATTGTGGTGAAACCCCAAACCTCCACCCCTCACCCGTGAATATGATATGGCGTGACTCAACCCACCTGATGGACTGTGCCATGTCGGTCAGAGGGGAGGCGGCAAAGGGCAGGAAACCAGTGTGGTGCAAGCTGGACCAAACCTACTCAGAAAGAAGAGGGGCATAAGAATACACACACATTAATGAACGTTAAAGGTCCATTTTTACCTCAATATCAAACAATTAAGTACCTGTGACCGTTTTCAATTAAAATGGTCAAAGAGAAATAAAAATAGCTTCTTAGTAAAGGGCAATTTCTCAAACAATAATTTTGCTAGGACTGTCTGGGAGTGGTCTGAGTTGGGAGGGGAAAACTGAAAACAGCTGTTATTGGCAGAGAGGTTTGGAACTCTTTCTTATTGGTCTATTAACTAATGTACCACCTAGTGATATCACCAGGCAAGACCAAAACTCCATCCCACCAAAACAGGCTGACATTTCAGGTGGTCTTTACAAACAGCTCTTAGACAAAAGGGGCAATATCATCATTTTCACAATTTCATAGTATTATTCCAACCTCATAGTGTGGAAATATATATAAAACACAGGAAAATCAAGTTTTGACTGCATCGGGCCTTTAAGTCTGTTGGAGCTGTGAGGCCCCTCAGAGCAGGGTTTCCCAAACTTGGTCCTGGGGCTCCTCCTGGGTGCACTTTTTGTTTTTTGAACTAGCACTACACAGCTGATTCAAATAACCAACTCTTCATCAAGCTTTGATTATTTGAATCAGCTGTGTAGTTCTAGGGCAAAAACCAAAACGTGCACCCAGGGGGAGCCCCAGGACCAAGTTTGGGAAACCCTGCTCTAGAAGACCATCTGTAACCCACCTTGCCAGGCATCCTAGCAGCCAGGACGATGAGGCAGTTCGCACAGGACGCTATCACATCCACTGGAGGGTTGATGACTGACGTCAACCTAACTCAAAGAAAGACAACACAATATTCTCAAATAATCCATGAATACAAAGTTCCAACAAATACAAAATACTTACAAATCAACCTTGCAGAGAGCCCAAACAAGCTTATCATTATTCCATGTGAAATATATGATTACTGTCCATGACAGTGAGATGTGTGTAGCGTCTCACCTCTGCAGTAACATGTAGATGCGTGAGGTGAGTGGCAGCAGACAGTCAGACACGGTCCAGTCTGTGCTGATCATCTTATGGACCAGGTCCAGGATGGGCTTCACACGCTCACAGTGTAAGATCACGTCTGGACCAGGGAGAGAATCACACACACACATATATATACACATGCTCTGAAACAAAAGCTCTCTTGTATTAAAGGATCTCTGCTGATAAAGGAATTATTTGAGTGTGTGTCTGTACTGTATGTTTGAGGATGCATTTGGGTATACAGTATGACTTCACCTGTGTAAGTACGTAAATGTGCCTGTATTTCTCTAGTTACCTGCAGTAGAGACAACGTGAAGCAGCATCTCTATCTCACAGGTGAACAGGACCCAGGCGCTGTAGGAGTAGTCCCAGCGCACCATGTAGCCTTGCTCCCCCACAGCCACCTGACCCAGCACACCCTGAGGAATCCGCAGGTTAGTCTGGCCCAGGCCTGACACACACACACACAGAGGGAGAGGAGACAAGGAACAGACCATAAGATTTCAATCACAAATATTTGAAGAAACGTAATGAAAGACAATTAATTACTTAAAGACTATAACATTACAAAAATACTAATGCGCACCCATTAGAAGAAACAGACTAACACACACAAGCAGCCTAAACACACACCGAGAGGGTAGAGGAGTTTTGGTGCTTGTCTCCTCCACAGTGTCTCGTCGTCTCTTGAGATGATGTCATTGGGCTTCGTTTTGTAGACCTCGGTGTAGAACGACATCTTGTCCAGGAAAATGTACACCTAACACACAGACACATTAATCAAGTGTAACCACAGACCAGCAGAAAGGTGTGTGTGTGTGTGTGTGATTAATACCTTCTTTGCGGTGGACTTGTCGGACAGGAGCGCGGTGAGGAGCTGCAACAGCAGACCAGTCTTGTGTGGGAACATTCCCATAGCGCTATCCAGGATCATTCCCAATCCCATAGTGGGCTTCTGGGAAAAGCATTCAAAAAGCCATATATTAGGGAATTTAGCTAGAGACATATTCTTGGAGTGATTTCACAACCTTCATGAAGCAGAAGTGGTTTTATTAATTTCTCCTCACCGTCTCCCAGAAGAGCTCAGCCAGACTGGGAGCAGAGAGGACTTCACATGCTGCATTGATCAGATGCTATGGGGGGGAAAGTACCATTCAATCGTTAAGCTGTGATATTATTTATCAGCATCATTAGGAATGTGAATCTATGCAGATTTCTCAAGTCATGAATCTGTGACATCACTGATCAGCCTGCTACAACTCGTCATTATCGTTACTTGTCTGAGGCCTGGTACCTGTTGGCTGCCCAGCGTCTCCTCTTCAAAGGAGGTAATTACAAAGGAGAGGAGGCCGTAGATACACATCCTGGCTGTACTGGCTGTGCACTGTGGAAGGAGGAAACATAACATGGTCAAATGAAAACAACATATTTCTGGAACATTGTGTGTTGTTTAAGTATAATTATTGCAGGTTGTGCTGTATGCGTATGTAAAATATGTGTTTTTGTGTGTGCTGTCCTGTGCTAGGTGAGCGTTTTGTGTGTGTGTATATATATATTATAGTATTATAGTGTGTGTGTTTTTGTTCTAATGTGTGAGTTCTTACATTATTCCCCGTGCCTCCCAGGCCCTGCAGCATGGTGGTGAGGTACTGGAACACCCCCAGCTGTAGGGAGGTGTTCCCGATGCGTCGGATGACGGGGCTGGACTCATCTGGGCTCAGGGTGTGTCTCAGCAGGACCCAGGCCAGCAGCACCGGCCCGTGGTGGGGGATGTCACCAAACGTCAGCAGCATCTGGTCCATCTCCTGGTGGGTGACAAAGTTCGCAATAATGAGTGTCACTTATGGATAAATTGCAAAGTATTCCCCCATCGAACTGATCATCAAAACTACTACTTTTCAGAACAACATTTCAATTTGAACCATCTCATTCTGATTACTTGATAACAAAACAGGAGTGTATACATGCCAATTCCAACAGCACACACATGGGGGGTACATGTAAAGGTACTCAGTGTTTACCTTGCTGATGGCAGGGGTGTTAGAGAACTGGTGCTGCTCCGTGCGGTCCTCCAGGGCACACTTGTGGAGGAAGTCTATGTCCATGCCTTCCACCAGGATCAGACAGCTGAAGTACCTGTAAGACAGAAGGAGAGATACATTAACAAGTGGAAATACCTTCAGAAAATATAATTGTACTTCAAGCTGAATCCCTTGCCCAAGCCAAAGCAACAAATGTAGCCATTATCCTGAAACTGTAACCTACTTAAATCTGTCTGACCAATAAAGATGCCATTAGGAAGTAGCTAGCTGGCTATGTATATTTCCATCCAGTACAGTGCATTCGTTAGTGCTCTGCCATTCTGTTTACAAATTAATTGCTAGAGGAAAAAGGTAGCTTGCAATCTTCTAAACTTTAGGTAATGTCCCTAACCCCAGATCAATATAGATGCCAACAAGAAGTAGCTAGCTAGGAATATTTCCATCCACTCCAGTGTATTAGTGCTGTGACTGACCCGATGCGGTCGACCAGGGCGTCCATGCTCTTGTCTACCAGGTGTCTGTTGGTCTGGCGGAGGCCGAAGCCCTGCTCCTTGAACATCTTGGTGAAGTTGAGCAGGTCTCCGGGGCCCATCTCAAAGTAGGCGTAGTACAGGAACAGGATCTCCAGCAGCAGGGACTGCTCCCTCAGACACTGCAGGAACCAGCGGGACACCTGCCTCTCAGTCTGACCAGAGAGAGAAACGTGCACATAATATAAATATGATTCAATATATAACAATTGATAAAAACCTATATGATTTCCTGGAGATAAAAGTCACAACATCTGGTTTAAATAGGTGGAAACATTTCCACAAGATAATGTTGTAAACAGTAGGATAAGAACTTATAGAGAGTTTGAGATACCCATATTGACTTCAAGCACTGAGGAGTCAATCAGATCCCAAACTCAATGTATAACTTGGATTAAGGTAGTAAAGAATTTAGTTCTAACCATGAGGTTGCCGTGTGTCTCCCATGTCGGGGATTCAGCTTTGAACAGAGTCTCAAACTGCTTCTGGTAGATGTTGACCAGGTCCTTCTCCAGCTTGTTCACACAGTTGGAGTACTCCGCCTGCACTCAAAGCAATCAAAACAACCTCAATTGATTAAAAGTTGTCATGGGTTTTTTTTGTAACCTTACAAATTGTACCAAACTGTACCATTGTATGCTTCACTGTTGTTTCCCATAATTGGTAACAATAAATGTAAACACAGTTTACAATGTGTTAGATATACTGTAAAACATCATAGCTACTACTAGCCAATCAGGAACATTGGCTTGTACTGTATTAGCATAGCATTAACACAAATAAGCTTATCAGCCTGACCCCCCACCCCCCACCCCCCCACCCACACAATAGACCCATCTGTATAGTCCTAGCAGACAGAAGCGAGCTCCTTACCCTGTAAGGGTGTCTCTCATCCTGGAAGTATGTCAGCAGGAGGAGGACGCATCGCAGATGACACACACGCTCCTCGTAGTAATAGTCAGCAATCTGAACACACACACACTCAAAGAATCAGTGTATGCCTATCAATTGACCTGATTTTTTTTGTTGTTGTTTTATTTGTACTTTTTTTTTTGTTAAAAATAAATGCACTGTTGGTTAAGGGCTGTAAGTAAGCATTTCACTGTAATGTCTGCACCTGTTGTATTCGGCGCATGTGACCAATAAAATTTGATTTGATTATGCTTTATGAGCTGGTGAAATAGAATACCAGCAAACTTAGATAGCTTTTGGGAGCTTGTATTAACCTTCAGAAGTAGGGCTTGGCTCTGTCTCTCATCCTGAAGAACAACCTGAGGGCAGATAAGATATGTCTAGTCAAGGTATACATGTCTAGACTGACATCAATATTCAGTAGTTCAGATTTCCTTCACAGTCAGGCATATGCTATTTTTTCTGAACCTATTATCACCATAGAAACTACCTTCAGTGTGTTGCGGGTCCCTCTATAATCTTCTTGTAGGTAACATTGCAAAATCTGTACACTCTGTTGTTGATCCAGACCCTGAAAAAAGAAGAGTGCATTTATAAAAAGAATCAAAACAAACAATTGTTAATCATACCCTGTTCATATACTGTATTCAAGATAATACCTGTTTTCTGCATGCATCATTACACTACACTGTATTCAAGTTAATACCTGTTGTGTCTCCATGTATCATTACACTATACAGTATTCAAGATAATACTTGTTTTCTCCATGCATCATTACACTATACAGTATCAGCATATCAGACTTCATTCACTATCCTGTCAGATCATTTCAGCATTCCTTACCAGCAGTTTACTGATCCTCAGACCAAAGTCCTTCAATGGTTGGGCTACATCTTTGTCCGCTTTCAGTTTTCCCGCCGATGATGAACTAAAACAAGGAAAAATGTCAAACATAATTTGGTCTATGACAAGATTAAGCATTTCATTTTACATTTACATTTTAGTCATTTAGGAGACGCTCTTATCCAGAGCGACTTACAGGAGCAATTAGGGTTAAGTGCCTTGCTCAAGGGCACATCGACAGATTTTTCACCTAGTTGGCTCGGGGATTAGAACCAGCGACCTTTCGGTTACTGGCACAACGCTCTTAACCACTAAGCTACCTGCCGTTTAAATAGCTTGATTCTTGCACAGCATACCTGGGTGCTTTGTAGTAACACAGTCCTTGAAGTAATCGTTCCCAATTTCGGTCTAGTTCTTCCTCTATTTGAGCCTTCATCCATCAAGGATTGATGTAATATTGGAGAAAAGAAAGCACACAGTGGCAAACATGGTAAGACTTTGTTGAATTATATATATATATATATATATATATATATATGATAGGTGAGGAAATAAAAAGGCAAAAGTTTACATACCGGTTCCCTCAATGCAGATCTCCCCAGTAAGATAGTCCATAACTCTCGGCTGCTCCTGCAAAAGCAGAACAATTCCATAGCTAGTACTTTTCAGGTGGTTAAACCCAGTTAACTGTTCAAATCTGAGTTATGGCTTTAGTGGCATAATGGCAAATATGGTTTAAGTTACACATAGCTATTAAGTTTGCTGCAGCTAGCGACTGGAACGAGCTGCAAAAAACACTCAAACTGGACAGTTTTATCTCCATCTCTTCATTCAAAGACAATCAAGGACACTCTTACTGACAGTTGTGGCCGCTCCCCGTGATGTATTGTTGTCTCTACCTTCTTGCCCTTTGTGCTGTTGTCTGTGCCTAATCATGTTTGTACCATGTTTTGTGTCACTACCATGTTGTGCTGCTGCCATGTTGTGTTGCTACCATGTTGTTGTCAAATTGCCTACCCTGGAAGCATGTGTTTCAGACATAAGGAAGTGGATGGCGGCACATTTTTTACTTTTAAACTCGGACAAAACAGAGATGCTAGTTCTAGGTCCCAAGAAACAAAGATCTTCTGTTGGATCTGACAATTAATCTTGATGGTTGTACAGTCGTCTCAAAATAAACTGCGAAGGACCTCGGCGTAACTCTGGACCCTGATCTCGCTTGACGAACATATTAAGAATTTTCAAGGACCACTTTTTTCCATCTTCGTAACATTGCAAAAATCAGAAACTTTTTGTCAAAAAATTATGCAGAAAAGCTAATCCATGCTTTTGTCACTTCTAGATTAGACTACTGCAATGCTCTACTCTCCGGCTACCCAGATAAAGCACTAAATAAACGTCAGTTAGTGCTAAACACAGCTACTAGAATCTTGACTAGAACCAAACAATTTGATCATATTACTCCAGTGCTAGCCTCTTCCTGTTAAGGGCTGATTTCAAGGTTTTATTGCTAACCTACAAAGCATTACATGGGCTTGCTCCTACCCATCTCTCCGATTTGGCAGGGCTTTCTCCTAGAGAGCTCAATTTTTATGGAATGGTCTGCTTGGGAGAAAAATCTGGCCTTAATGGTCATGTACTGTTATAATCTCCACCCGACACAGCCAGAATGGGACTGGCCACCCCTCAGAGCTTGGTTCCTCTCTAGGTTTCTACCTTTCGAGGGAGTTTTTCCTAGCCACAGTGCTTCTACATCTGCATTGCTTGCTGTTTGGGGTTTTAGGCTGGGTTTCTGTATAGCACTTTGTGACAACTGCTGATGTAAAAAGGGCTTTATAAATACAATTTGATTGAAATTTTATGTTGCTACCATGCTGTGTTGTCATGTGTTGCTGCCATGCTATGTTGCTGCCTTAAGTCTCTCATTATGTATTGTTGTCTCTCTTGTCATGATGTGTGTTTTGTCCTATATTTTCAATCCCAGCCCCCGTAGGAGGCCTTTTGCCTTTTGGTAGGCCGTCAATGTAAATAAGAATGTTCTTAACTGACTTGCCTAGTTAAATAAAGGTTAAATAAAATAAAAATATTCAAACTTAGCTTCATAAAAGTGCAGTGATTGGTCACAGTTAGAGCAAAGCTAACTAATAACAAGTGTGCTAGGATGTTTGTTATTGTGAACCAGCTGTCAACTCCCTACAGCTGACTAGCTAGCAAGCTAATTAGCTGTACCAGACAGCATAATACGCAAAAATCAACATTATATGTTGAGTTAGTTATCTAGCTACATTATCAACGAAATTTTTTTCATTACGAATTCATGTCTGAAAGTGCATGTATTCCCAGACAAATGCCAGTTGTACGCTAACTAAGCTAACTAGCAAGTTCACGTCTCGCTGATGCATGCTGCTGTTGTCATGCGTTTGGAACTCTGTAGCAGACCGCGCTATCCTGCCATTCAAATGTAGTTTATGCTAACTAGCTAGCAGCTTGCTACTGCTAGCAACTATTTCCTTCCAAGGGAAGCTTTCACATTGCTGTATAAATTTAAGCACAATTTCTAAATGAATGCACATCTTAAACTTTACTTATAAATTTGATGGCTATAATGGTCAAAATAGACATAAGTTGTCTTTCATTTAGCTACCTCACACACATCTCCGAGTCCGCCATCTTCTTCCCTGCAACGTGACGTAACTTGTCTGCGACATGGACCCACATCACGTGACGTGTAGATGTCGTTTTTTATAGTTGTGATTTAAAAAAATATGAATACCAAACATCAACATTTACCATTCACATGAAATCAAATATATAATAAGAAAATATCGTAAATCGTGCATTCATAAATATCAAGGTTTCAATGTACCACGTGACTTGGCTGTCACTATGACCACCTCCTACTGTGTATGAGGAACGCCAGCTGATTCGGTAGAATATAATAGTCGAAAGATCGGATATCGAGATCGATATCATTTTACTCATTTATCCTGATATGTGCAGTATTTGCCCGGGTAAGTCTATATGTGATGCTTTAAATTCATTTTAAATATCCGTTTACATGGTCGAATACCGGCTATCTGCACGAGAACTCAACTCAGTACATTTGTCAGATGAATTTCTGCTAACGTTAGCTAGGACGCTGGATCGCTGCATCGGCATCCTTGGTCGGCTGAAATTGCATTCAAGCATTTCTCACTACAGTGAGAGCTATCTGTAGCAAGGCCACGTTATGTAGCTGTTCCTATGCATCTAGCCAAAGAGCTCGTCGGTATCTCGAATGATCTTGAATGAACGCTTGCTACCATCAATCGTACATTTAAAAATACAGTAGAAATAATTTCAACCGCCCCCACCTCTTGTCTGAAAAAAAGGTTGGAGGTAAGGCATTTCCACTTGTCTAGACTTGCCCTTTTGTATTGTCATTTCTAGACTTTATTCGGTCTAGTACAATTTCTGGTAAATAATTAATCCATAGCACTTATTAGCCACATTTAGGCATGATCTCTTTTAGCTACCTGCAAATGAATTTGGGAGTGAATGTTAAGTGTGGCAATCGGTCATGGGCATTATGCCGCGTTCATGTGCTAGTCGGAACTAGGAAACTCGGGCATTTCCGACATGCTAACTGGTTGTAGTTTTACACGTGCCGCGTTCAACCAGTTAGCAACTCGGAAATGTCCGAGTTTCCTAGTTCCGACTAGCAACTGAACGCGACATTAGTCAGTGGGCCAAGGTTCAGTGCTATTTCAACAGTCGGTGTGGGGTGTGGATCTATTGAAATAAGTGTGTGTAATGGGAAAACATCAAGGGTTTAATATTTATAATATATTCAACGTTTAATTCTCATTAAATACAAAAATATGTATTTTGTTGACAACTGTCTAATCAAGTCATGATAGTTTTTCACTGTATTTTGCCTCAGCCATTATGCTATTTTGTCTTCACAGATATAGGCCTACGATTGTGGACTAAAAGAAGAACTAACCATGGTGTGTGCCCCAGAGAGGAATTGACAGTCCTTTGAATAAGACATTTGTATTCAATCTGGAGTCCTCCGCCGTGAACCGCTCTCCCTCCCTGTCTTCTCCCCCTACTGCAGCCATGCAGACCAACCCGGTACTGGTGGAGTCTGCAGTGGTTTTCTCTGTGGTGATGTGTGTCCACATGGCCGTGTGGAACCAGCACTCCTGGTGCTGCGTGGCCCTGGCCATCCAGGCCTTCTACGTGCAACACAAGTGGGACCGCCTGCTCCGTAATGGCAACGCCGTCTTCCAGTGGCGCCTGTCAGCCAACAGCGGCATCGTCCCAGCCGTCATGGTGATGCCACTGCTGGGCGTGACGCTGCGGGAGAAGTGCGCCGCCTCGGGGAACGTCTACTTTGAGCGTTTCTCCATGGTGGTCACGGTGACGGGCATGATGCTGGCGCTGTTCCTGTCGCTCCTCGCGCTGGGCATCACACGGCCCGTGCCCACCAACACGTGTGTGATCGCAGGTGTGGCAAGCAGCGCCATCCTGTACACGGTGAAGCAGACCTTGACGGTGTCGGAAGTGATCGAGGTGCTGGAGGTGCTGCTGATCTTTGTCTACCTCAGTCTGATCGTGCTCTACCTGCTGCCGCGCTGCTTCACGCCTGGCGAGGCCCTCCTCATCGTTGGGGGCATCAGCTTCATCGTCAACCAGCTCATCAAGCGCTCACTCAACCTGGCTGAGGTCAAAGGGGAACCGGTCCACTACTTCCTGCCCGTGGTGGTGGTAGGATCTCTTCTCCTAGGGGTGTTCTTCGCCCTGCTCTTCTGCTTCATGGAGTCTGAGACCTGGGTGTCGTCGCTCTTCTTCCACATGATGACGGCCGTGCTGGGCTTGGGGATCCTCATGCCCTGGCTCTCCCTCCTCATCCGCCGCCACCCCATCATGTGGCTGCTGGACTTTGTGACTCTGAACGACAAGCGGCTGTGCCTGCTGGGCTACTGGGTGCTGCTGGCCACGCTGGCCATCCTGGTGGTGCTGCATCAGAACTACCAGCGCCAGTCAGGCTCCAAGAAGCACCAGGCCTCTACGGTAGTCAGAAAGTACTTCCACCTCATTGTAGTAGCCACCTTCGTCCCGGGCCTGGTGTATGACCGCCAGCTCCTCCACGTGGCGTCCGTGGGCTGCCTGGGGGCCTTCCTGCTCCTGGAGTACGTGCGCTACTTCCGCATCCGCCCATTGGGTCAACTCCTTCGTCAGTTACTCACCCTGTTCCTGGACGAGCGTGACTCTGGACCTCTCATCCTCACCCACATCTACCTCCTCCTGGGCATGTCCCTGCCTATCTGGCTGTTCCCAGGGCCCTGCGCCCCCAAAGGCATCCTGCCAGGGGCGGGGGGCCTGGTACCCTACGCCGGGGTGCTGGCGGTGGGTGTGGGGGACACGGTGGCGTCGGTGTTCGGCAGCAGCATGGGGGAGATACGCTGGCCGGGCACCAAGAAGACGGTGGAGGGCACGGCCACGTCAGTGTTTGCCCAGATCATCGCTGTGGCCATCTTCCTCATCTTCGACCCCACCATCAACCTGAACTCCACCTACTCGTGGATCGTGGGCTCCATCACCATGGTAGCCATGCTGGAGGCCTACACCTCGCAGATAGACAACCTGCTGCTGCCGCTCTACCTCTTCATCCTGCTGCTGCTCTGATGACCCCCGTGGAGCACCGCACACAGGCCGTGTTTGAGATCGGCTACCTTGCAGTCGGCGGCAGCAGATTGACAGATCTACAAATCATAGTGAGTATCTGTTTTGGATGCAAGGTGATTTGTAGATCAGTCAGTCTTCTCAGTCTGTGATCAGCGGCTGAGCAGATGCACTTAAACACAGCCACACGGTGATCTCTTGACCAGAGGTCAGAGTGGAAAGGCTAACCAATGTAATTGCTGAATTTTAAAGTCGTCTAAGGGAATCTATGGAAACCTCATTGGATGACTGTTGAGGATTTTTTGTTTTGTTGCTTTGTGAGAGTAATAGTTATGATCACTTATATTGATGCTGCATTGATAATCTCTCCACTAACAAGGTCGTGTGTGGGAAAATCAATATGGCTGGCACAAAAGAAGGAAGAACTACAATATGATAGCACTGCTAGCTAGGGAATGAGCTTGCATACATTATGAGTAATACAGTGAGGGAAAAAAGTATTTGATCCCCTGCTGATTTTGTACGTTTGCCCACTGACAAAGACATGATCAGTCTATAATTTTAATGATATGTTTATTTGAACAGTGATAGACAGAATAACAACAAAAAATCCAGAAAAACGCATGTCAAAAATGTTATAAATTGATTTGCATTTTAATTAGGGAAATAAGTATTTGACCCCTCTGCAAAACATGACTTAGTACTATGTGGCAAAACCCTTGTTGGCAATCACAGAGGTCAGACGTTTCTTGTAGTTGGCCACCAGGTTTGCACACATCTCAGGAGGGATTTTGTCCCACTCCTCTTTGCAGATCTTCTCCAAGTCATTAAGGTTTCGAGGCTGACGTTTGGCAACTCGAACCTTCAGCTCCCTCCACAGATTTTCTATGGGATTAAGGTCTGGAGACTGGCTAGGCCACTCCAGGACATTAATGTGCTTCTTCTTGAGCCACGCCTTTGTTGGCTTGGCCGTGTGTTTTGGGTCATTGTCATTCTGGAATACCCATCCACGACCCATTTTCAATGCCCTGACTGAGGGAAGGTTCTCACCCAAGATTTGACGGTACATGGCCCCGTCCATCGTCCCTTTGATGCGGTGAAGTTGTCCTGTCCCCTTAGCAGAAAAACACCCCCAAAGCATAATGTTTCCACCTCCATGTTTGACAGTGGGGATGGTGTTATTGGGGCCATAGGCACCATTCCTCCTCCTCCAAACATGACAGGTTGAGTTGATGCCAAAGAGCTCCATTTTGGTCTCATCTGACCACAACACTTTCACCCAGTTCTCCTCTGAATCATTCAGATGTTCATTGGCAAACTTCAGACGGGCCTGTATATGTGCTTTCTTGAGCAGGGGGACCTTGCGGGCGCTGCAGGATTTCAGTCCTTCACGGAGTAGTGTGTTACCAATTGTTTTCTTGGTGACTATGGTCCCAGCTGCCGTGAGATCATTGACAAGATCCTCCTGTGTAGTTCTGGGCTGATTCCTCACCATTCTCATGATCATTGCAACTCCACGAGGTGAGATCTTGCATGGAGCCCCAGGCCGAGGGAGATTAACAGGCCTTTTGTGTTTCTTCCATTTGCGAATAATCTCACCAACTGTTGTCACCTTCTCACCAAGCTGCTTGGCGATGGTCTTGTAGCCCATTCCAGCCTTGTGTAGATCTACAATCTTGTCCCTGACATCCTTGGATAACTCTTTGGTCTTGGCCATGGTGGAGAGTTTGGAATCTGATTGATTGATTGCTTCTGTGGACAGGTGTCTTTTATACAGGTAACAAGCTGAGATTAGGAGCACTCCCTTTAAGAGTGTGCTCCTAATCTCAGCTCGTTACCTGTATAAAAGACACCTGGGAGCTAGAGATCTTTCTGACTGAGAGGGGGTCAAATACTTATTTCCCTCATTAAAATGCAAATCAATTTATAACATTTTTGACATATGTTTTTCTGGATGTTTTTGTTGTTATTCTGTCTCTCACTGTTCAAATAAACCTACCATTAAAAATTATAGACTGATCATTTCTTTGTCAGTGGGCAAACTTACAAAATCAGCAGGGGATCAAATACTTTTTTCCCTCACTGTACATGAAGATGGTACATACACTCCAGATTTTGCTCTTAATTTTGTGGGACTACAGAGCATGACAATAGAATCAATGATGTTCAGCTAGAATACAACAAGTCAGTTCAACATGCACACTACTGTTTCTTAAAATGTCATATCAGTTGCTTGGTGAGGATAAGGTTATTTAAATCATTTTGTTTGAGAGCAGGGTCATATTTATTAGGGCACACCGTGGCAAAATGTTTTGCAACGGAAAATGAAAACGAGCATTCCTTATTGGACAAGTTCAGGGTAGTCCCGCCTTGTTTTATTCTGTTTGGTGCCTAACCGCTGTTGATAATGGCTGACCCTGGCCGTGACCCCACTCTCTAAAGGTGTCTCAGGTAGAGTTGGGATATGCAAAGAAACACATTTCCAATTCACACATGCGTATTAATAGACGCTTGTACATTGTGAAATAGGACAAATATAAGCACCCACCATATTATTATTATTAATGAATATGACCCAGCTCTGTCTTGATGGGGAGTAATCCCACCTGATGTTCAGTAAATTGGACAAAATGTATTTTAGCCGGAAATAAGTTTCCCTGCCCTGATCAGCTCTAATGGGAGACACTGGTAAATGGCACGTTTCAATAAATTGTAATGGGCTTTTTCTTGTATAGCCTTTTGGAGAACATAATTTGAGAATTCTTTTTTCAGAGCATTTTTTTGTTGTTACGAACCATTTCATCTGACTATAATTTGTATTTGCATTTCTTGTTGTGGCAATTTTACGGACTGATTGCGGGAAATATTTGCCTTAAAGAAGCATATTTTGTATCACACATTACCTAGTACTGTAGATACTCTAGCTGACAGCATGGTTTGTGTCGAAGTAGACTGGTTGATACTTCAATATGGCAGCAGTTTATACACTATAGCATGACATTAAACATTTTGAAATCCTTTACTGTAACTTGTATACAGAAATGACCCTACAGTATCTTTTCAGTTTTGTATGAATCCTACTTGTTTTTGTCTTTTATCCGGTGGTTTGATGGGACCCTCTCCAAAATATACATTTATTTCCTTAACGTTCATCCCCCAAAAATCTGATGATTTGTATATTGGAAATAAATCGTAGAGATGATATGACAGGGCCACATGTATCATGAACATATTGAATTCATGTTTTGTTAAATTTAGAAATGATTAAATTCATTTCCTGTCAGTGTTTATAGGCTGCAGGAAGGTATGTATTTATGGTGTAATGAAAGTAACTACATGTACCTTTTTTTAAATTAAGTCAACTAACATTGAGATGCTATACTAGTTCTCTGTAGATGCATATTTTGCTATCTGGCTGTGTTTAGACAGGCAGCTCAATTCTGATATTTTTCCACTAATTAGTCTTTTGACCAATCAGATCAGCTCTTTTGCCAATAATTGGGCAAAATATCAGAATTGGTCTGCCTGTGCAAACGCAGCCTCTGAGTCAGACATGTCACGTCAAACTACAACTGTCCGTAGCAGTGGAGGCTGCTGAGGGGAGGACGGCTCATAATAGTGTCCGGAACGGAGCAAATGGAATTGCATTAAACACATAGAAACCATGAGTTTGATGTATTTTTACCATTCCACACATTCCGCTCCAGCCATTACCACGAGCCCGTTCTCCCCAATTAAGGTGCCACCAACCTCCTGTGGTCCATAAGAGCCTCTGTGATCCCATAGCCAGGTTAAACCAGACGGAAATTGGCACGCAAACAATGGTGAGTGCACGTTGAGTCTGGTCCAGCCAGGCTCCAATTCTCCATCCTCCAGTTTACTGTGCATTCTGGAGAGACCTTCTCTTTTTATAATGTTGTTTGTTTACTTGTTTTTTCAGCATGGAACCAACACAGTATTTGATGAATCTGTAATAAATAAGTTATTTTGTTGCCTTTTCTAATAATCCGTAATGATAATTTATGAGCTTGTTTTGTCTTCTGATGTTTTTGCCTTTTTGTTTCTGTCCTTGTTCTTGCCTTGGACGGGACACACTGGTATTGCATGGTAGATTGATGCATCATTAAAGGCATTTTATGCTAGATGTTTGTCTGTTTTTCATCCAGAGATAGCAGGGTAGATTTGTGGGCATAATGTCTCACAGTGATCTATCAGGAAGACATACCTTCATGAGTAGAACTGTTTCTGATCAGGTAGAAGATATGTTGGATACTTAAGGGAATCTGAATGAGATGAAGAACTGCTAAAACATAATGAATGTGATTTGAATGAATACTGTTCCACACACAAACATACATTGGTTCATTGCTCACTTCAGTGTGCCACTACTAAATGTTCACCCTAATTTTATTATAGAAGCCTAATTGCAAATGTCTTCTGACTAATGTCCTGAAGCACACAACACTTAGGCTGCGTTTACACAGCAGACCAATTCTGATATTTTTTTCACTAATTGGTCTTTTGACCAATCAGATCTGAAAAAGATCTGATGTGATTGGTCAAAAGATTAAAATTGGCTGCCTGCGTAAACATAGCCATGTTGGTTCATTGCTCATGTCAGTGTGCCCCTACGGATGTGTTTAGACAGGCAGCCCATTTTGGATCTTTTTTTCCACTACTTGGTCTTTTGACAATCACATCAAATCTTTTGACGTCAGATCTTTTTCAGAGCTGATCTGATTGGTCAAAAGACCAATTAGTGAAAAAAAGATCAGAATTGGGCTGCCTGTTTAAATGCAACCCTAGATGCTCACAAATCTTTATTATAGAAGCCTAATTGCAAGTCTTCTGACCAATGTCCTGAAGTGCACGCGCCTGGGAAATAAGAGGTGTCTTCATGTCCCTGGATCCAAATGTAACCATATTTAGGTTGGATGCAATAAACACATTGACTAAACCTTGACCACATTTCAACAGCCCCTTCCTGACCCTCTACCACCGACAACCTGGGCTGTGTTGGTCACTTTGTCATGGAGTTAGGCCAGGATCAATCCGATCGCAGGTTATAGGCTTTGCATATTTTAAAGGCATTGTTGTCACGTTCGCAGAGATCCCATTGACGGTAAACGCTGCATATATCATCTCGATCGGAAATTGCCTTTAAAAGCTGCAATGCCTATAACCCGTGATCGGATTGAATCCCGGCCCTAGTCAAGAATGTTTTTTTTTTTTCAGGAGTAAAAGTTGCTGAGATGCATAAAAACAAAACGATGCTGTCAAGTTGCAGAAAAGTGGTAGCAAAGTTTATAATACCAGAAAAGAGAATGTCAAATACAACATTTAATGCAGAGGGGATCATTTCACAGTTTATTTAACAAATTATTCTGGTATCAAAATTCATACATGTGGGAGGGAGTCAGTGAGCGTACAGTGCTTTCGGAAAGTATTCAGACCCCTTGACTCTTTCCACATTTTGTTACGTTACAGCCTTAATCTAAAATTGATTAAATAAAGAAAAATCCTCAGCAATCTACACAAAATACCCCAAAATGACAAAGCGAAAACAGGTTTTTAGAAATGTATTAAACCAAAAAACAGAAATACCTTATTTACATAAGTATTCAGATCCTTTGATATGAGACTCGAAATTGAGCTCAGGTGCATCCTGTTTCCATTGATCATCCTTGATGTTTCTACAACTTGATTGGAGTCCAACTGTGGTAAATTCAATAGATTGGACATGATTTGGAAAGGCACACACCTGTCTGTCTATATAAGGCCCCACAGTTGACAGTGAATGTCAGAGCAAAAACCAAGCCATGAGGTTGAAGGAATTGTCTGTAGAGTGCCGAGACAGGATTGTGTCGAGGCACAGATCTGGGGAAGGGTACCAAAAAATGTCTGCAGCATTGAAGGTCCCCAAGAACACAGTGGCCTCCATCGTTCTTAAATTGAAGAAGTTTGGAACCACCAAGACTCTTCCTAGAGCTGGCCGCCCGGCCAAACTGAGCAATCGGGGGAGAAGGGCCTTGTTCAGGGAGGTGACCAAGAACCCGATGGTCACTCTGACAGAGCTCTAGAGTTCCTCTGTGGAGATGGGAGAACCTTCCAAAAGGACAAACATCCCTGCAGCACTCCACTAATCAGGCCTTTATGGTAGAGTCGCCAGATAGAAGCCATTCCTCAGTAAAAGGCACATGACAGCCCTCTTGGATTTTGCCAAAAGGCACCTAAAGACTCAGACCATGAGAAACAAGATTCTCTGGTCTGATGAAACCAAGATTGAACTCTTTGGCCTGAATGCCAAGCGTCACGTCTGGAGGAAGCCTGGCACCATCCGGTGAAGCATTGTGGTGGCAGCATCATGCTGTGGGGATGTTTTTCAGCGGCAGGGACTGGGATACTAGTCAGGATCGAGGCAAAGATGAACAAAGCAAAGTACAGAGAGAGCCTTGATGAAAACCTGCTCCAGAGCGCTCAGGACCTCAGACTGGGGCAAAGGTTCACCTTCCAACAGGACAACGACCCTAAGCACACAGCCAAGACAATGCAGGAGTGGCTTTGAGACAAGGGCCTGAATGTCCTTGAGTGGCCCAGCCAGAGCCCGGACTTGAACCCGATCTAACATCTCTGGAGAGATCTAAAAATAGCTGTGCAGAAACGCTCCCCATCCAACTTGACAGAGTTTGAGAGGATCTGCAGAGAATGGGAGAAACTCCCCAAATACAGGTGTACCAAGCTTGTAGTGTCATACCCAAGAAGACTCGAGGCTGTAAACGCTGCCAAAGGTGCTTCAACAAAGTACTGAGTAAAGGGTCTGAAAACTTATGTAAATGTAATATTTATGTTTTTTATTTTTTATAAATTAGCAAAAAAAAAAAAAAATTTTTTTGCTTTGTCATTATGGGGTATTGTGTGTCGATTAATGGGGGGGGGGGGGGGGGGGGGGACAATTTAATCAATATTTGAATAAGGCCGTAACGTAACAAAATGTGGAAAAAGTCAATGTGTCTGAATACTTTCCGAAGGCACTATGTAAAAGCACATTTTCAACATCACATTTTGGTCCATTGCTACATAAAATCATCCCTTCGCACAATGACTGTGTTTCACTCAGTGTCTCCTGTCTTGTAGACCTCTTGTATTGGGTGACATAAGTATAGTATGTTAATGTGTGATCATTTTTCACTGATAGACGGGTCTTGTATCGTATCTCATTTCTGCTGGTTGAATACTGATAATGTGTTGTTAGTCCTGTCTGACTGAAGATCTTCTCTAGGACAAGTGAAGGTGTCTGCCTCTGTCCATCCATTCAGTGTAGTGGCAGGTGGAGGGAACCAGGATTACTTGGTGTAGAGGGCAGGGAAAGGGAGCTCCTCTGTGGGCTGTAACCTGTCAAAAGAGAGAGAGGAACACCTTTACCTCAACATCTGCTTATATCCCCCCCCCTAATCGCAGATTGTATTTATTTAAATGTTTTAGAAGTGTACAGCATGACGCCAATGCCTCATAATATATGTGCTATTCTGTGAAAAACCTGACGAAGATCCATTTGGATCGCTGTCACTAACCAATAAAAGGTGTATATTTAAGCAATAAGGCCCGAGGGGATGTGGTATATGGCCAATATACCACGGCAAAGGGCCGTTCTATTGGCCATATACCACAAACCCCCAAGGTGCCTTATTGCTATTATAAACTGGTTACCAACGTAATTAGAGCAGTAAAAATAAATGCTTTGTCATACCTGTGGTATACGGTCTGATATACCACGGCTGTCAGCCAATCAGCATTCAGGGCTCGAACCACCCAGTTTATAATTGAGCATTGACTATGCAGGACATACTCTATTCTATTACATATTTTCCAGGATGATGTGTGTTTGACTTCGTAGGAAGGAAACATTGTGTCATGCACTCACCAGTTCTCAGGGCTCCATTGTGTCTTCTGAGACTCCATGATGTGGAAAGTGTAGACGTGGCGTGACTTTTTTGACGTGTTCTGCTCACTTTTATGGACAACCTCTCCATCGATCAGAACCACCCCACCTGAGCAGAGACAAAATAGATAGACATTAGTTACTTACTAACCTGCTATCAATGTTTCTCTACAGAACAGTCATGAACCTAACAGACCAGTTTCAAGTCAACTGTGCATGTTGATACACTGATGGTAACTCAGCTTTAACGGTTACTAAAGACTCAGAAAAGTAAATGAAGTGTTAACTGGCTGTGTGCTTCAGTCTGTACCACTCAGTACCCTTTGACCCCCACTCCCCCCTGCAACCTCCCTGCTCCCTCTAACACAGTGGCAAATATAACAGTGCAGACAGTACAAACTGAGGTTTGTTTTGCAGTTATTAACCAACCCCTTTTGAGGTCAGTGTCCCTGATGTCAATAGCGAGGCACACTTTGGTTTATTTTATGTAAAGTCAGCAGTAGAAGTGAGCCACGTACCTTTTTTGACAGGTGCAGGTATGAACAGCTTATCGTCATAGGTTGCCTCTCTCCCAACAAAGTCTGTCAGGGGATAGGTGCCTTCAGGGGTCCGCACCATACGTCGGGTGATGCCATCTAGAGGGAAGGGGGAGTCAAGTTGACACAAATGAGACCATGGTTTGAATTACATGCTGACTCCTTAGGGGTGCACCCCTGTAATTCAAAACCTGGTTGAGACTGACGAAGGCAGTGGTTCTCAATTTACTTGAACTTGTTTTGAAATCTCAAAGGGAGGAGCTGAGATAAATCATCAGTCCCGGGTCTTACATTTACATCATTTAGCAGAAGCTCTTATCCAGAGCTACTTACAAATTTGCACCAATGAATAATGAATGGTCTTTTAACATGGGTCAAAGGTCATCATTAGTGCCTTACTGTTGTGTGAGCCGGGGATGAACCACAAGCAGCCATTGTCCAGGGTGGCATCCTCCAGGGCGATCCACACGCCCATCACCCTGCCCAGGGGCTCCGTGTGGAGGAATGTAGCATCCTGGTGTGGCGTCACTGACAAACAGGCAGGCAGAGGACCATACAGTGGGGAGAACAAGTATTTGATACACTGCCGATTTTGCAGGTTTTCCTACTTACAAAGCATGTAGAGGTCTGTAATTTTTATCATAGGTACACTTCAACTGTGAGAGACGGAATCTAAAACAAAAATCCAGAAAATCACATTGTATGATTTTTAAGTAATTAATTTGCATTTTATTGCATGACATAAGTATTTGATACATCAGAAAAGCAGAACTTAATATTTGGTACAGAAACCATTGTTTGCAATTACAGAGATCATACGTTTCCTGTAGGTCTTGACCAGGTTTGCACACACTGCAGCAGGGATTTTGGCCCACTCCTCCATACAGACCTTCTCCAGATCCTTCAGGTTTCGGGGCTGTCGCTGGGCAATACGGACTTTCAGCTCCCTCCAAAGATTTTCTATTGGGCTCAGGTCTGGAGACTGATTAGGCCACTCCAGGACCTTGAGATGCTTCTTACGGAGCCACTCCTTAGTTGCCCTGGCTGTGTGTTTCGGGTCGTTGTCATGCTGGAAGACCCAGCCACGACCCATCTTCAATGCTCTTACTGAGGGAAGATCTCGCGATACATGGCCCCATCCATCCTCCCCTCAATACGGTGCAGTCGTCCTGTCCCCTTTGCAGAAAAGCATCCCCAAAGAATGATGTTTCCACCTCCATGCTTCACGGTTGGGATGGTGTTCTTGGGGTTGTACTCATCCTTCTTCTTCCTCCAAACACGGCGAGTGGAGTTTAGACCAAAAAGCTCTATTTTTGTCTCATCAGACCACATGACCTTCTCCCATTCCTCCTCTGGATCATCCAGATGGTCATTGGCAAACTTCAGACGGGCCTGGACATGCGCTGGCTTGAGCAGGGGGACCTTGCGTGCGCTGCAGGATTTTAATCCATGACGGCGTAGTGTATTACTAATGGTTTTCTTTGAGACTGTGGTCCCAGCTCTCTTCAGGTCATTGACCAGATCCTGCCGTGTAGTTCTGGGCTGATCCCTCACCTTCCTCATGATCATTGATGCCCCACGAGGTGAGATCTTGCATGGAGCCCCAGACCGAGGGTGATTGACCGTCATCTTGAACTTCTTCCATTTTCTAATAATTGCGCCAACAGTTGTTGCCTTCTCACCAAGCTGCTTGCCTATTGTCCTGTAGCCCATCCCAGCCTTGTGCAGGTCTACAATTGTATCCCTGATGTCCTTACACAGCTCTCTGGTCTTGGCCATTGTGGAGAGGTTGGAGTCTGTTTGATTGAGTGTGTGGACAGGTGTCTTTTATACAGGTAACGAGTTCAAACAGGTGTAGTTAATACAGGTAATGAGTGGAGAACAGGAGGGCATCTTAAAGAAAAACTAACAGGACTGTGAGAGACGGAATTCTTACTGGTTGGTAGGTGATCAAATGCTTATGTCATGCAATAAAATGCAAATTAATTACTTAAAAATCATACAATGTGATTTTCTGGATTTTTGTTTTAGATTCCGTCTCTCACAGTTGAAGTGTACCTATGATAAAAATTACAGACAAAATCGGCAGTGTATCAAATACTTGTTCTCCCCACTGTATTGGGTGCAAAATACACACACACACAATCACAGACACTCTACAGTATTCATAACCAGGTGTTTCAGTCATTTTCTTACCTTCTCCACCGATCCCTGGTTGCTGAAAAACACAACGGAGTAAAGTCAGAACCGGTTACCACACATTCTAAAGCAAAAGTCAGACTAGTGAAAGGTAAAAAGCTGGTGTGCACTCTACCTTGAAAATGTACATGCTTTGCAAAATCACAGGACTCTTCAGACCAAGCTTCTTGGCTATACCCTGGGGGACATAATCAGAGCAGTGTGTATTATTCAGTGTTAGTCTAACTGTCACAGTTTATCTGTTGTGTCCTTTACTGACTGGCTGCTGAAGGAATTCTCACCTGAATCTTGGGTGAATGAGTGGCAGTTTTGTATAAAGGCTCATAGGCATGGAGTGCTATTGGAGACGAAACAGGATCATGAATACTGTAGATAACTAGATACTCGATCTATCAGATAGAGTCTTGTCAAAAATTTTATCAAAAGTTTTCAAAGATAAGCACAACATCTAATCAAAGATTTGAAACTCACCATGTCCAATTTTGTTGAGAGAGCGTTCTTTTGGCACAGTGAAATCTCCTATAAAGCGAGTGACACTTAGCTGTCAATCAATGTCAAATAAATCCAACACATATTCTATATTGCATCAGTGAGGTGAGAGAATAACCTTCATTCATAATAAGGCCTCACCTTTATCATCAAAAACTCCTTTCTCAAAGAAGAAGCGGATCTTATCTCCACTGGTGATGAAGTAGTCAGCGTTTCCCTGCAGATAGATAAGGGACATGTAACCTGATCCAGCTATAAGATAATGTTACACAGGTGACAACCGGGGTCACACATGAACGTTGACAATGAAATTATTAAAGACAAGTCTAGAGGGAGGAAATGTCTAAATATGAGAATTATGTGACAATAAAAGCAATGGGAAGTGACAGTTCAATGACAGTAATCGGGGCAGGCACGCATAGGATGGGATAAAGAACATTACCTGCATCTTTGTCATTTGTAATAGGTAGGCATGGACAAGATAAAATGGTGGGGTCAAATGGTGCAAAAAGCAAACCAGTTCACTCAATGTAGGCTACAGCAGACAATACATTCCTGTGCAATCCCACTGGGCACAGATGTCAGCTCAACATGTAGTTTTGATTTACATTTGGTTGAGTTGTCAACTAATGTGAATTCAACATGAAATCAACAACAAAAAAACTTATTGGATTTTGGTGAAAAATTTGGTGAAAAAAAAGAAATTCCCTTACGTTGATGACTTTTTGCAAATCCAATCAGTTTTCCAAGTTGATTCAACCTCATCACATTTAATGTTTTCTTGAAATGACGTGAAAGTAACGTTGATTCAACCAGTTTTTGCCCAGTGGGATGTTACCTGTGTTTTCAGCTGCTCGTCGTGATTGGTGGAGAACTGGATCCGACAATGTTGTGGAACGTCCATCCCGTCCACGATCTCTCCCATCCTCAGCCGGAGCTCATCACACTCGGCCGGGCTGAGGAGCCCGTCCAGGACCAGGTACCCGTCCTCCTGGTACTGTTGAAAAGGTTCAGAAAGTATTCACCACCACGGGATATGCACACTGGAGTGCTATAGAAACTGATTTTTTGACTGTTAGTTGAATTTTCACAAAATGTTTTTAGTTTAGTTTTGTAATAAAAATTGTAGCCGAGGTCTTGGCAGCAGCTCAAGTTATGTAAGGGTAGGTGAATTCAGTGAGTGGGCTGCGTGTGCAACGTTGTAAATCACTTGAATCACGTGCATGCATCTTGCATTTTCACTGTATGAACCAAAATGTCACATTGCTGATGTTGCACAAAATGTAGCCTACAAATTAAATGCTTCTCATATCTGTACAGCCAACAGGACAAGTAACGGATTTACTGAAATTATAAAAGTCACGATAGCCATCCCTGAGAGCCATTACTACGGAGGTTTGACAGTAAATACAATAAAAATAATTGTTATAAACATTTACGCTTAGGTCTACATTTTAAACTTACCTTTTTCGCATCTTGATCTGTTAGAAAGTCCATGCTGAAAATTCAACTCCGTATTCGATTTATCCGTGTTCTCTTGGTCTAAACTGCTTAGAAGTACCACGTGATGTAGACGTCTAACTCGATTAAAGTGTAACCGTAGTTAAGTAATAATAGGATTTTCGATGTTAACCATTTCGGTGCTCCTGCTCAGGACCTAGGCTTACCCGTATCTGCAATTCATCCCCAAACGCCATCCCATCCAAACGCTTGATTTGGGTAGTGGGCATTCTGAAATAATCTTGTACATTGGCTGTTACTGAGATTCTAAGGGACGGTTTCACAGATTAGGCCTAAAGTTCTGGACTAAAAAGGTACTTTGAATGGAGATTCTCCATTGACAAATGTTTTAAATTGTCTATATCAGTCATTACTGGAAATAAATACATGAAGAGACAGATTGGTGATAATGTGTTTTAATTTATCATTTATATCAGAATAGTACAAAAAATTGACGCAGTAAAACATCTGGCATGGTGTTGTCAAGGCTAAAATATTCCACTGTTACAAGAGTCTGGGTCATTCATCGTTTCTCCACTAAGAAAGCCAGTGTTCACTCCTTTTGGAAACAAAAAGTGAAGACCTATCATTAAATGGGCAACAATGATGATGGTGATGATGTAGAAGAGATACAGATTGTTATTTGTCCATTAACTTTTAACAGGTCCATGTTATGTTTTTACACTTAAATGAAACAAGAGCAAAATTATAGTGCCACCCACTGTGGGTGGCGTACAGCATGTGAGCCTGGCATACAATGTGTGGGTTGAGATGAAGACCAAACTGTCCAAGAAGATGGAAAATAACCAAAACCTGACTGGAACAAAAGCCAGCACAGAGCACACATCAGGGCCCTTACAATGCCAGCCAGCAAAATGCCAGCCAGCAAAATGTCAAAGAAAGAAAGATACAGGCTTGTACCAACTGATCTCATTCAGTTGACTGACAGAAATATGTATCATTGTCCTGTCGACCACCCAAATAATTATGGCTTATAAGAAATAAAAAGCATTGTTTGACAAACAGACAATGTGCATTTCCGTAGCCCTTCCCAATATTGAGAGAGCATGCCATGTCCGTGTCCATTTGTAATGCTATGGAGATATCACAAAACTAAATTGTATTTGTCACATGCTTCGTAAAACAACAGGTGTAGACTAACAGTGAAATGCTTACTTACGAGCCCTTCACAACAACGCAGAGACAAAAATAATAACACAAGGAATAAATACACAATGAGTAATGATAACTTAGCTATCACCTAACTAATGCAGTGTTATCAACTAAGCCAAGTACAATATGTAATAAGAAGCATTTCTCTATCTCGGACTCCCTGAAGTGTTTCTTTAGGCTGTGTTTTTTTAGACCAAGAACTCTATCATGAACCAGATCGTGTAGTATCATGAACCCCCTATTAAAAGTAAGTAGTTTGCCTGTTTATGCATATGCAATAAGAGTTTTAACCTAGAAACTATCCCCCTAAACAGGTAAAATACATAATCATGAGACACATCAATACTGCTTAGACTATGTTTTGGTATGCTACCCAAATGATAGGCAATGCTGTTAAATGACTGGCCATTAAAATATTCTGGAAATTATAATATTTTGATGGTATACACAACCTTACAGCATTTTTCTTACATTACAAAATGGAGAAAATGACAGTGAACACTTTCCTCTGTTACTCAGTGCTCACACACGAGGGCGCTCCACCCACACTGGATGCACAGGACTGTCGAAATAAGGCGAGCATTACATAGCTAGAGCACTGAAGACCACTTCTGACCACGTCTATGAGAAATTGAATTTTGCTTGTGAAAACAATACTTTCCGAATGCCCCATGCGCTAACCGCTAGGCTACCTGCTACCCTTGTGGTCAACTGTCGTGACCATGGCATGACTACCTACCTAACATGTTGGCACAGTGCTATACGGATGGGGGTAGGTACAATAGAGGTTGTCTCCAACCACTGATACAGGATCAGATCTTATTTCATCTCCCTAATGACTAAGATCATAATTGAGGGTACTGCAATCTGACCCTAGACCATGCAACATGTACCTTGAGCCGAACAGATACCGTTCCTACAGTGACATGTGATCAGGGTCACACACACTTCCGGTCACACTTTATTTAGATAGTCATACTATCAATAAACTGTTGATAAGCAACTGCTTGCGAAGGTTACAGTTAGGGTTAGGATAAGGGTTAAGGTTAGGGCGGCAGGTAGCCTAGCGGTTAAGAGCGTTGGGCCAGTCGCTGGTTTGAATCTCCAAGCCGACTAGGTGAAAAATCTGTCGATGTGCCCTTGAGCAAGGCACTTAACCCTATTTGCTCCTGTATGTAGATCTGAATAAGAGCCTCTGCTAAATGACTCAAATGTAATGTAATGCAAATGGTTAGGGCTAGCAGACAGTTAGTTGAAATGTTACTTATAGTCTGTAGAACATATACAGATGGACTGTTACCACACTTCCTAGTTCCACTGCTCTGTAAACACTTGGCTGACCTCACCCTCCGCCTGTTTCCTCCATGGAACTGGAAGAGGGGGAGGGGGGTTGTGAAATAGAAGTTTCATCTTTCTTTCTATGTGCTTTTTAGTGGGGGAATGCCTGTAATATTGTGACTAATGGAAGTGACAGTGTTCCCACTGTATTGAAGGTCAGTACAAGTACAGGGCAGGACAAAACAGATATTTTGAAATTTGATGGGGAGGGCTATGAAAAGGACAAAATGTTGGAGCGTTCGATCTGGTTAGATACAAATAGTTCAGTGTAAAAACAATACATTTATAGAGTTAGACGTGATACAGAAGAATAGCATGTAACTACTACCTCAGCTGAACAGAAAGAGAGGCTTACATGAAGAGGGGGATCCTTTATGATGCTATATGGCTTTTAAAGAATGACAGTAATTATATACAACAATATATAAATGGCAGCAGCAGAGCAATATATTCTAAAATATATTATCCGGTTCTATTAGCAGAATGTCAATTTTCTGCTCTGATTCAGTCAGCGCTAACTGTTATCATATTCACCCCTTCAAACCTGCGCCACATTAAAGCTGTGAATCAATGAGCTCTCCAGTGAAGCCCTGAGATAGTCCTATGGTACTCTCAGATCAGTTTATGTTAAGATTGCTCAACACATCAATCATAACAGCCTGTTTAAGGAATGACCTGGGGTGTACCTGTTTGCAGTTGTTTTCAAATGTTCCAAAAAGTATGGAACAAGTCAGAGAAGAATACTTCGACGTTACAGTAGGCCTGTATTCAACCACCCAAGTCTCGACCAGCGAGCCTCTGCTCTGGGATTGTTTGCTCTTTTCTGATGCACTCTTACTCTGTGAGTGTTGCTCCAGCCTTTTAGAGCTGGGCTCTAGCCTTTACTAACAAATCCAAGACTGAGGCCTTTTCAGAACAGAGCTGGATTCAGAACACCCATTGGTAACCTTGCAAAAATGGAAGTTATGTACAGTGCATTCGGAAAGTATTCAAACCCCTTGACTTTTTCCAAATCTTGTTACAGCCTTATTCTAAAATGGATTAAATAAATAAAAATCCTCAATCTACATGCAATACACCATAATGACAAAGCGAAAACAGGTTTTTAGAAATGTTAGCAAATGTATTAAAAATAAACAGAAATACCTTATTTACATAAGTATTCAAACCCTTTGATATGAGACTCGAAATTGAGCGCAGGTGCATCCTGTTTCCATTGATCATCCTTGAGATGTTTCTACAACTTGATTGGAGTCCACCTGTGGTAAATGCAATTGATTGAACATGATTTGGAAAGGCACACACCTGTCAATATAAGGTCCCACAGTTGGCAGTGCATGTCAGAGCAAAAACCAAGCCATGAGGTCGAAGGAATTGTCCGTAGAGCTCCGAGAAAGGATTGTGTCGAGGCACAGATCTGGGGAAGGGTACCAAAAATGTCTGCAGCATTGAAGATCCCCAAGAACACAGTGGCCTCCATCATTCTTAAATGGAAGAAGTTTGGAACCACCAAGACTTTTCCTAGAGCTGGCTGCCTGGCCAAACTGAGCATTCGGGGGAGAAGGGCCTTGGTCAGGGAGGTGACCAAGAACCCGATGGTCACTCTGACAGAGGCCCATAGTTCCTCTGTGGAGATGGGAGAACCTTCCAGAAGGACAACCATCTCTGCAGCACTTCACATATCAGGCCTTCCTTGGCGTACACATCACTGACAAACTGAAATGGTCCACCCACGCAGACAGTGTGGTGAAGAAGGCGCAACAGAGCCTCTTCAACCTCAGGAGGCTGAAGAAATTTGTCTTGGCACCCATAACCCTCACAAACTTTTACAGATGCACAATTGAGAGCATCCTGTCGGGCTGTATCACCGCCTGGTACAGCAACTGCACCGCCCGCAACCGCAGGGCTCTCCAGAGGGTGGTGCAGTCTGCCAAACGCATTACCGGGGGCAAACTACCCCCCCTCCAAGACACCTACAGCACCCGATGTCACAGGAAGGCCAAAAAGATCATCAAGGACATCATCCACCCGAGCCACTGCCTGTTCACCCCGCTATCATCCAGAAGGCGAGGTCAGTACAGGTGCATCAAAGCTGGGACCGCAAAAATTAAAAACAGCTTCTATCTCAAGGCCAATAGACTGTTAAATAGCCATCACTAGCACATTAGAGGCTGCTGCTGCCTATTGAAATCACTGGCCACTTTAAGAAATGGAACACTAGTCACTTTAATAATGTTTACATATCTTGCACTACTCATCTCATATGTATATACTGCATTCTATTCTATAATATTCTACTGTATCTTAGTCCATGCCGCTCTGACATTGCTTGTCCATATGTATATATTCTTAAATTCCATTCCTTATTAGATTTGTGTGTATTGGGTATATGTTGTGAAATTGTTAGATATTACTTGTTAGATATTACTGCACTGTCGGAGCTAGAAGCACAAGCATTTCGCTACACCCGCAATAACATCTGCTAAACACGTGTATGTGACAAATAAAATTTGATTTGATTTATGGTAGAGTGGCCAGATGGAAGCCACTCCTCAGTAAAACGCACATGGCAGCCTGCTTGGAGTTTGCCAAAAGGCACCTAAAGGACTCTCAGACCATGAGATACAAGATTCTCTGGTCTGATGAAACCAAGATTGAACTCTTTGGCCTGAATGCCAAGCGTCACGTCTGGAGGAAACCTGGCACCATCCCTACGGTGAAGCATGGTGGTGGCAGAATCATGCTGTGGGGATGTTTTTCAGCGGCAGGGACTGGGAGACTAGTCAGGATCCAGAGCGCTCAGGACTTCAGACTGGCGCGAAGGTTCACCTTCCAACAGGACAACGACCCTAAGCACACAGCCAAGACAACGCAGGAGTGGCTTCGGGACAAGTCTCTGAATATCCTTGAGTGGCCTAGCCAGAGCCCGGACTTGAACCCGATCGAACATCTCTGGAGAGACCTGAAAATAGCTGTGCAGCGACACTCCACATCCAACCTGACAGAGCTTGAGAGGATCTGCAGAGAAGAATGGGAGAAACTCCCCAAATACATGTGTGCCAAGCTTGTAGCGTCATACCCAAGACGACTCAAGGCTGTAATCGCTGCCAAAGGTGCTTCAACAAAGTACTGAGTAAAGGGTCTGAATACTTATGTAAATGTAATATTTATGTTTTTTATTTTAAATACATTTGCAAACATTTCTAAAAACCTGTTTTTGCTTTGTCATTATGGGGTATTGTGTGTAGATAGAATAAGGCTGTAACGTAACAAAATGTGGAAAAAGTAAAGGGGTCTGAATACTTTCTGAATGAACTGTATGTAGCTATTACATAAAATGAAAATAATTGTGAACAAATATGAATTCATCTCATTTTCCTCCAAAATGAGGATTCCCTCTCCTTTTAAAATAACTTGGAACAGCTGGTAAGAATAATAATACCATGTACATTCTCAAAACATAAATGTACAACATTATAAGCTATACATTTGTCTGCATATTTAGCAAAATCATGAACAAGATGGTTGTAATCACACATAGCGTGGGACATACATTACAGCACCCAAAAGGTAAGGCCCTATTAGTAACAAGAGTTGCCTGGCTGGTCTTGAAGGAATCACCTTTTGCAGAAAACAAAAATGAGTGTTTCAGTAAATGTCCCACTATTTGTTGCCTAATAAACAGGGCCCTGCTTTGGTTGCATTGGCCATAGTGTTTCATTTAACCAGTCAGATCCTGTGTCCTCTCACTGGCGTTTGGATAAAGAGACTCGTGGACTGTATACTTTCAAGTGAAGATGGAAAACAGAGCAAAAACACATATTGCTTTGTAGGCTTCATGAGCCTTCCACTCCCACACACCAACTCTTTCATGTTGACTGCTGGCTTTCCAGCAGTGGAATCAGTTAGGCAGAAGATAATATTTTCTAGTTCTACAAGTTTGTTTGTGTCTGTGTGTGTCTTTGCCACATGCGGGCACCGTAGGGGTACTGCTCGGTTTTGTAATCTCTTGTCCTTCTGTGGCCACTGTCTATACCAGAGGTGTTTGAGAAAAAAAATATATAAATATTGTTTTCTTTTGGGGGGGAAACAAACTCAATATAGTTTAAAATGACTAAAACCAAATTGAAACTGTGTAGAAATGATAATGGACTTACATTCATACAGTTTCTTGACTGTGTCCAGCTCGCTAATAATCACTGAAATGAAAGCTAGACAGTCCGGGAGGATTGACCTCGAAGTCCGAATGCGGTCCCCGGGGCAAAATGAGTTTGACACCCCTGATCCATACTGAGAGGACTCTGTACTAAAAACTAAATCCTCAATCTCACAAGGTTTCATTTCTGTCTGTCTAACTCATCTTCTTTCCTAATCAGCATTCGACAACCATCGACTTTGCACAACGTTTCATTTAAAAAATGGGGGAAAAGAACCACAAAGTTGGCGAGGAGAGGTCTCTGTCTGGTTAGTGTGTTGAAGAACATCTTGTGACCCTGTGACTAGGGCATTGATGGTCATGGAATTTTGGATGACGGTAATTGGCCAACCAAATGACCGCGGTCACCGTAATAAACGTCTGAATAGCAAAAAATAGATTGCCATTTTCTCCTCTCCTCCGCTCTGCTGCCATAGAAATATAATGAATAGAACAGGCAAGTAAATGATGGCATAATGGGTGGAGTGGCGGCCATTGCGAGTGTACCCATAGTTATAAAGCAGGAAGTAATTTGTGCTGTGATTTGTTGATTCAACTCAACTGACCTTACATAAAATACATTGCATGAGCTACATCAGTTAACATCATTTGAATGAACATTCTCCATTACCATGGAAATTATTGCATCATAATATCAGGCAGCCATTGCAAGTGTACCTATAAGTTTACCAGTCAAATTGCCAAGGTTAGAGGTTCCAAGCCTGTTCTATTCATTCTAGTTCTGTGTACTGCTGCTGCATTGTGGTTATTCAGCCAGCTGTTCGTAAAAAAAATAAAAAATAGCTATTTTATTTTTATGACCATCTTCATCCATAACCATCGGTTACACGGTTATACTGTAATTGTGCCAGTCCTACCTGTGACCCTAAGAAAACTAATTCAGCCAGGAGAGCCAAGACAATAACCTACCAACCAACCAACCATCTATCCTTCTCTGGATGCATGTCCAGCAATACGGACACATCTCCCCCCTTTCTCCTACTCCATACCAGTAGAGGCTGGAAGGAGGGAGAAATTTGAAAATGGCCTCCGATTGAAAGTGACATCAGCATCCACTGCCCAATCCTCTCTCCCGCTTTCCTCCTCTCCTTAGACTCCTTCTCTCTGGTCTCTCTCCTCAGACCGGCTCCTTGTCGGCCCTCCACAGCTGCTCTTTGACCTCTGTGGGCAGTGTCTTGAACAGGTCCTCCTCCACCACCAGGCCGCTCCTCTTCAGCTGCCTGCACTCCCCCAGCTCCACGGGCAGGCACTCCAGACGGTTCCCCCGCAGCTCCAGCTGGGTCAGGCCCGTCAGCTCTCCAAAGCGTGACGGTAGAGTATGCAGGCAGTTGTTGCCCAGGTTCAGGGTGCGCAGCTTCTTGCACTGGAACAGCTCCGGTGGGAGCGACTCGATCTGACAGGGACAAGGAGGGGTTGAAATAGGAGAAAGGTTTATTTTCTCTGTTTTTGACTTCATAAAATATAATTTAATTGTATTTGTGCATAGGTTATGCATTCTATGGTGTATGGTTTAAACAGGCATACTGTTTCTTGCTTTAGGCTGTGAAAGGTGCTTAAAGTTGAACTCCTCCCCAGTGAACAGCTATGTTCTCAAGAAAAGACTTGGCAAAAGAGGGAAGAAAGGAGAGTTCAGTACATACTGTTCCTACCGTAGCTACCCAATCAAAAAACAGTCACATACCAGCCCATAGGACTTTAAGCCAATCAGAAACAAACCCAGACACTCTGCCCTAAAGCAGGGAGCCAATCGAGCCATAGAGGTACAGACATACAGTCACAGTCTTAAGAGTACCATACATGTACATCATTTGTATAATGGCCACACCAACACCTGTTATTAATAGTTCAGTCATCTGTTGAAGCAACAGCACAATGAGTACATCTTACATAGATGCTGTTCATTTAAGCCAAAATATGATCAAAGTAAACTGATTCACCAAGCTTACAATAGCCTTATCAAATTACAAATGCTTTTCTTAGCTTCAAACACTGAAGATGTGAGAGGCGACTGGAGCTACCCAGGCATTGTTCTGCAAGAGAAAAACAAAAACCTAGAACACTTTAGAACATTGGCGTCCAGTGGTGAGCGTCGGGTCCTCGTTACGGGCCCACCTGGGAATAACGTTTTACAAATTTCACATCTCATTTGGGTCGATAATGTACTAATGGCAAAGAGAAGACTCTGGAGAAGGGCATAAAAACACAGAACACACCAGAGGGGTTCCTTGTAAACGGGGCTATTTAAAGCAGCATACCACCCTGTTAGTGGCCTATTCTCAGCATGGAACTACGTATATGGGTGAGTGAGTGCAGTAAAAAAAACATAATAGTATCGTTTACTCAAACCATCTGATTCCACACACAGCAGATGCCCACCAGTACACAATGGGGAAAATGTTGTATAACCTCCCAGAATTCCTTGCAAGCCCTTATATTTCGCACTGTAAACTCGATTCCTAAAATTTTTTATTGGATGAACGGTGTGTTTAACCCGACAGGTTAATGAACTGGGTCAGCATTAGACAATGTCCGCCCACATCACAGGCAAATGAGTTGTAAGGAGACTGAAGTCAGCCTGTCTGTCAGGAATGTACAGGAAGTCACAATGGTCAGAGTGTCGTTCATGTAAAATGCACAAATCGGCCAATGCAAAAACACAAATGGTCATTGCTATAGCGGAGTCACTTCACATTTACATGATTAAAACATATGATATCCTATAAAGCATTTACATATGATATTACATATATTATATTTTACATGATACATTACACTTACACTACCGTTCAAAAGTTTGGGGTCACTTAGAAATGTCCTTGTTTTCTAAAGAAAAGCACATTTTTGGTCCATTAAAAGAACATCAAATTGATCAGAAATACAGTGTAGACATTGTTAATGTTGTAAATGGCTATTGTAGCTGGAAACTGCAAATTTTTTATGGAATATCTACATAGGCGTACAGAGGCTCATTATCAGCAACCATCAGTCCTGTGTTCCAATGGCACATTGTGTTTGCTAATCCAAGTTTATCATTTTAAAAGGCTAATTGATCATTAGAAAACCCTTTTGCAATTATGTTAGCACAGCTGAAAACTGTTGTGCTGATTAAAGAAGCAATAAAACTGGCCTTCTTGAGACTAGTTGAGTATCTGGAGCATCAGCAATTGTGGGTTCGATTACAGGCTCAAAATGGCCAGAAACAAAGAACTTTCTTCTGAAACTCGTCAGTCTATTCTTGTTCTGAGAAATGAACGCTATTCCATGCGAGATATTGCCAAGAAACTGAAGATCTCATACAACGCTGTGTACTACTCCCTTCACAGAACAGCGCAAACTGTGTCTAACCAGAATAGAAAGCGGAGTGGGAGGCCCCGGTGCACAACTGAGCAAGAGGACAAATACATTAGAGTGTCTAGTTTGAGAAACAGACGCCTCACACGTCCTCAACTGGCAGCTTCATGAAATAGTACCCGCAAAACACCAGTCTCAACGTCAACAGTGAAGAGGCGACTCCGGGATGCTGACCTAGGCAGAGTTGCAAAGAAAAAGCCATATCTCAGACTGGCCAATTAAAATAAAAGATTAAGATGGGCAAAAGAACACAGACACTGGACTTTTTCTTTCACACTCTGCCTAGGTAAGCATCCCGGAGTCGCCTCTTCACTGTTGACGTTGAGACTGGTGTTTTGCGGGTACAATTTAATGAAGCTGCCAGTTGAGGACCTGTGAGGCGTCTGTTTCTCAAACTAGACACTAATGTATTTGTCCTCTTGCTCAGTTGTGCACCGGGGCCTCCCACTCCTCTTTCTATTCTGGTTAGAGCCAGTTTGCGCTGTTCTGTGAAGGGAGTAGTACACAGCATTGTACGAGATCTTCAGTTTCTTGGCAATTTCTCGCATGGAATAGCCTTCATTTCTCAGAACAAGAATAGACTGACGAGTTTCAGAAGAAAGTTCTTTGTTTCTGGCCATTTTGAGCCTGTAATCGAACCCACAATTGCTGATGCTCCAGATACTCAACTAGTCTCAAGAAGGCCAGTTTAATTGCTTCTTTAATCAGCACAACAGTTTTCAGCTTTTAAAATGATAAACTTGGATTAGCAAACACAAAGTGCCACTGGAACACAGGACTGATGGTTGCTGATAATGGGCCTCTGTACGCCTGTGTAGATATTCCATTAAAAATCAGCCATTTCCAGCTACAATAGCCATTTACAACATTAACAATGTCTACACTGTATTTCTGATCAATTTGATGTTATTTCAATGGACAAAAAATATTGCTTTTCTTTCGAAAAAAATGACATTTCTAAGTGACCCCAAACATTTGAATGGTAGTGTAAGTGTTACACTTTCACTTACAAGTGTTACACTTACAAGCTTTACACTTACAAGAGTTAGCCTACACTTACATTATTCTCAAAACTCTAGAAGTCAGCGCTCAGTTAGACAACAATTCACATAAGTCAAATATCATGTTAATTATTTCAGACTCAGTCGGGAGTTTTGTGAATTGTTTGTAAGACAGCATCTCCCTGAGGTATTCTGTACAGGACACATTAAACCTTTTCCAGCCATCTGCTTAACAAAGATGAGTTGCATCTAAAAGGGTGGGGAATAGTTCGAATAAAACATTTACAACAAAAAAATAATACAGAATGCAAACAGTTTGCCGTGAAAATCAGCCCAGGGACCTCTTGATCTGCAGCCAGAAGTGTGACAAACTCATTAGCATAATATAACTGCTCGTCTGTGTACTTTAAAAACACTGGCACATTGCCTCAGTCAACCAACAGTGTGTAGTAGGTCCGTCAGTTTCCCCTATTTGAACTAATTTTAAACATATTATTAGCAGGGTAGGCTGTTACCTTTTCAGAATATTGAACTATTCAAGTGACCAGTTTATCTCAATGGCACTGACTATGTAGACATTCCAGTCTACTACACAACTCTACAATGTGTACTCTACATGTACACAAGGTCATTAGGTCTCTATGTCTGACAAGTAGTATGGAGCTGCGGCTTGGAGTATTGTTTCTTCATCCTATGTAATATATTCCCTGTGAATCTGGTGTTTTTCCGCCCTTTCAGAAAAATTGGCCATTAAAGTCACTTGCAATATTTACCATATATTACTGTGAAAGTACCAGGTTTTGCCCAGTAGATGCTACTGTTCCTGCTACTGCCACACCCTTTTATCAATTTTGAGGGTCTCTTTTGCGTTTTTAATTGCATCCCCAAAAAATGTTTGCAACCTTGGGTAGAAAACCAATAGCTTTTGCTCATGATGAAAATAAATTGTGTCATCACTCTCACAAGTCAAGACAGTCTTCCATGAAAGCAATTCAGTTTGTCCTCCTAGCAACCTAATACTTCAATCCAACTCTCCTTGAATAGTCTAACAAATGGCAGCTTTATGAGAGGGTTATCCCTATGGTGCAAATTCCATATACAGACTTTTCCTACAAGCCTAAAACTTTGATGGAGGAATGGGCTAGTGACTAAACTGTTGCGCCAACCCTAATAAAATAATACAATTATAAGCCACTGCAAGGCAGTCATATGTTTTTAAATAAAATCATTAAAAACATCTCTATATGTAGTGTGATTAGTGACATTTGCCATTAAACACAACACCATTACAAAAACACTGTGGCCATGTCAGAATACCCATAGTAGCATACTACATACTTAAACTGCATATACTCATTTCAGGGTTTGATCTAGTAGAATTCACTCGTCTTTTCCGACTCACGTGTTTTACAAACAGCTGATAAATCAGATCAATTGATGCACTGTACCAAAATGAACGAATGGCAGGAGTCAACGCAATCGTGCATTAGATGACATATTCGGAGTACTATTTTTGAAATTTCACATACAATAAAACATGATTTTTTCGCATACTATTTAGTGCGCTAGTATGGGTATTCGGACACAGCCACTGTGTGTTTGGGGCATTTACCATTGAAGACCATTAGAGACTAGGGATGCACGATATATCGGTAAGCATATCGGAATCGGCCGATATTAGCTAAAAATGCCAACATCGGCATCGGCTTTATGTATAGTTTAACGCCGATGTGCAAAACTGATGTCAAAGCTGACTTGTATACCTGTATAACATAGGTAGATGACGTAATGACGCCACAAAAAATACAGCGCTACACAGCATTCCTAACCTAGCCCACAATGTCTGCTGTGTGGATCTATTCTGAAGTCTCAAAGGAAGATAACAAAAAGGCCTTATAAAACGTTTGTGCTGCTATTATTTCCCAAAGAGGGGAGGAAGTGACATCTTTCAATACCACAAACCTAATTACTCATTTGAAAGTGCATCACCCCCAGACGTTCAGCGACTACTTACAACAAAAGCAGAAAAAAACTAATCTCACACTTCCAACAACTAAATAAGTTCAAGTCCAGCAGTCATTTGAAAGAGTAAGAACATTTCGGTGAGACTCAAAGGCGAAATCTATTAACGCCAAGATAATGGAATTCATTGCCCTTGACATTCTACCGTTCTCTGTCGTGGATGATGTTGGCTTTCGCCGACTGGTCGAGCACCGGTACACACTACCAAGTAGGTGCTATTTTTCAGATGTTGCCCTACCGGAGTTACACAGTATTGTTGAAACGTACATCCATGAGCTACTTGCCAAGGATTTCGTACTGAGGAAAGCCGTATTGCTCAAGTCAAGGTTGGATAGTAAGAAGAGCCACCAACAACTGAACCATCTTTGTAATGCGGGGGGGCAGCTAAAATATTAGTGTCATGAATATCTGTTGTGCGATTTAATACATTAATGGATTTGTCATTTTTCTCACTTACAAGTTATTACAAAATTGGTTCCTAACTGAACAAATGAACATATGACACTTTGTTTCAACTATTTAACTGTACTAGAATGCTTCAAAGGCTCTAAAAAAAATTATATCGGTTATCGGTATCGTTTTTTTTTGGCAAACAAAATATTGGATATCAGTATCGGCGAAAAATGTCATATCGGTGCATCCCTATTAGAGACCATAACATTGAAGTCATTAGAACTGCTGGGTTCACCAGAAATGGTCTAACTAATACAGACCTTTTTTTTAAGGGAATAAACCACACACAGAGGGGCCGTTTCCTGGACACAGATTAAGGATAAGAGAAGGACAAACTGAATTGCTTTCATGGATGACTGGCTTGAATTGTGAGGATGACCGTGGGTGGCTTTCACCATGTTATATTCTCATGTCTCACTCATTGTTAGGAAGAATTATGGTCAAAATCGGATGTTAGGTACTATATTTATTGACGATTATATGAATCCAATAAATAAAAATGGGCAATTTGGGTGCAATCAATTAGCTTAATTTCACAGAGATCAAATTATATTTCAACAAAATAATGTTTCAGGAATGCTGATCTTATCTGTTTCTAACTACAGAAACAATTTCAGCACAATCTCAGATGGTGGGTTTCAAAATCCTCTTTCTTGTTCTTTTTGGAGGTGGAACAATCCTAGGGCCATTATCCCCAACATACCCACATAACTGTCTTCATAATGCTAACCCCTACCTTCCTGTTACCCAGTGTGACCTTTGACCCCACTTACATGTGAAAGAAAGAGGAAGAAAAAAGGGTGTTGGGCTTTTCAAGAAACATTTCTAACATTTTCCTGTGACACACAGATAAAGGCCTTAACAAGTGTTTGGTGACCATTTGACCATGAAATAGCTAGATAGAGGAAAGAAGAAAAAGTGTGTTAGTGTTAGTTCTGAGTGTGTATCACAGGAGGCTGGTGGCACCTTAATTGGGGAGAATGGGCTTGTGGTAATGGCTGGAGCGGAATAGGTGGAATGGTATCAAATACATCAAACATGGTTCCCCATGTGTTTGATGCCATTCCATTTGCTCCGTTCCAGCCATTATTATGAGCCGTCCTCCCCTCAGCAGCCTCCACTAGTGTGTAGCTAACATTTTCTCAGGGACACTCAAATACTAGATCTCTACTCACCCTGTTGGCCGTCACAGCAAAGTACTGCAGGTTCTGGAGGAAGCCCACGTCGGCATGTATACTGGTCAGGTTGTTGTGACTCAGGTCCAGGAAGCGCAGTTTGCGGCAGTAGAAGAGCTGGCCCGGGATCTTCTCGATCTTGTTGCGGTTTAGGTAGAGCCTCTCCATGTTCGTCAAGGTGCCGATCTGGATGGGATGTAGGCAATCTGGTTGTACCATAGCTTCAGGCTTACCAGCCGGTGCAGGTGCTGGAAGCTGATGATCTCCTCGATGGTCTTGAGATTGTTGTCCTTCAGGTCGATCTCTTGCAGGTTGTGCAGGCTGAAGATGGAGTGCGGGATTCGTTCCAGGTCGCAGCGTAACAGCTCCAGCTCTGTCAGGTTCATCATCTTCTTCAGGCTGTTGAGCACCATCAGCTTGGTGCCCTCGTTGTTGATGGACAGCTTTTGGAGGTGGACCCCGACGTCTGTCACCACCTGAGGCAGCTTGGTCAGGTTGCTCTTCAGACGGAGCACTTTGAGCCTCTTGAGCTCCCGTAGCCCGTCGATTACGATGAAGCGGTTGTTCTCTGCGCTCAGGTTCCCTGTGAGGTGCAGCTCGCTCAGGTTCTTCAGGCTGTAGATCCACAGAGGGATCTCCTTGATGTCTGTGAACTTGATGTGGAGGGACTTGAGGTTCTCCCTCAGGAAGGCCAAAGCTGGGGCCTCAATTTTAGCCGGTGTGTGGTAGAGCCACATCTCTCTCAGGCTGACCAGCTGGGCAATGATGGGGGGGATGGTGACATCGGGGATGAGCTCCAGCTTGAGCACCTCCAGTTCTATGAGGTCAAACACTGTGTCAGGGATTCCGATAAGCATGAACAGGTGCAGCTCCAGTTTCTCCTGGGAGTTCTTGGTGATGCGTTGCCTCAGCTTGTCCAGCGTCCACTCATTGTTGAGGTTCAGCTGACGCAGTTTGTTCTCACTCACCTCCGATAGGAAAACGGCAAAGCGCTTGGAGTAGAGCGGGTCATACTGGTCGATCATGTGCAGCATGAAGGCAAAGTCGTTCTTCACATCGGGTATGTCGCTGTAGTGGCTCTCCTCACGGATCGACTCAAAAGAGTAGCGCTTGAGGGAGCGGCTGAGCATCCAGCAGAGGGTATACATGCAGATGAGACCGTAAATCCCCACCAGGCTGATATAGAAACAGGCCAGGATCTTGAAGAGGGTGGCAAGGGGGTGAGCACAGTGGTACATCCTATAGCCTGTCAGCTTCTCAATGTCCACCATGCAGATCACACTGAACTTGATGTAGTGCACATAGTAGGCCGTGTAGCAGATAATCAGGATGAACTTGAGGACTTTGATGATGGTCTGGCGGATGTAGAGCCGGTAAACGATGTCCCCTTCTTCGACGTGCATCCGGAACTTCTTCACCTTCTCGAACAGAGCTTTGGCCTGCTCGCCTTCCTTCTTGTCCAGGACGCCGGTGTCGGAGCGGTCCACGATGCCCTGCTCGATGCGGGACTTAGTCCTTTGGAGCATGGGAATGCTGGCCTCCACATCCTCGCTGACACAAGATGCCTTCTTGTCCACCAAACCGTTCATTTTCCCCAGGGGCTTGGGGTCACTCTCCTCCACTACCGTCTCGGACAGAGCCCTGGTGGTCCAGGGCGAGTCAAAACACTTGAGCAGGATGGACACAAAGTGCTCCAATTTGGAGCTAGTCCGGGGGAACTTGAACCAGAAGTTACTGCAGGCCAGGAAGATGAGGGTGTGCAGTAGCACCAGGTAGGGGAAGTACTTGGCGAACCAGTGCAGCTTGTTCTCGTAGCAGACCGCGTCAATGTAGTTGTACTGGTGCCGGTCGAGTTCATATTGGATGCCTTTGGGCTCAGGGGCAAATGGGTCTGGGAAGCTCACATTGAGGTACTCGCAAGACTTGTTGACCACCCACTTGCAGGGCAGGCAGATCATCTTGTCCTGGGTGACCTGCAGCGTGCCCCCAAACACGGCGATCATGAGCATGACAATGGATATGTAGTCTGTGAAGACGTCCCACCATGGCTTCAGGATGCGGTACGCCGGCTGGGTGTCAACAAAGTACCGGAGCTCTGTGATGGGGATCATGATGGTTTACCTATGGAGAGGGAGAGAAAGAGAGAGACTAAATGTAATGTAAGACATTCACATTGCCAGAAGTATATTTCAAGGTTCATTAGAGCAAAATCATTACAGGTTTGCTCCAACATGCTTTATCTTGAACTGCAAACATAGCTCATTGAACCACAGACACTGCTCATCAGAAACTCTGTGACTCTTGTGGGGAGACACGTCATGTGTCAGCATGCGTTATCTCGATGAACTTATAAGCTTTCTTCAACCACTGATTTTTCAGCACAAGTGCAGACAGCTAAACACAAACCCAACTGCCTGTGTGTGGTTCCTTTATTGCGTTTCCAGTGAACTAAACCACAGACCTCCTACGTATATTAAATGTGACTTCCTTTGCAATGTTATGAGTCAGTTAATCTCGGCACCCAGAACCAAATCAGTTACCTGGGCCTCATTAAACACAGAACATTCATTACATTCAACTATGTCTAATACAACAACCCCACATATTATTTATATCAGAATGCAAAACCCCAGGAAGCCCGATTAGAATGCTTATTATGGGAAATATGATCAGAACTCTGTACCCCTTCCCGGATGACTAGAGGCATTATGCCTGTGGGTTGCCAGGTTGGTGCAGGGAAAGCAGTTATTATGTTTCCCAGCTATGGAGAGTCTGCTACTCGTCAGGGACAACCCAGACATCCTGTGAGCAGACAGAGAACACTATGTGGCTCAGAGAATGCAGAGCAAGCTGGATACAGAAGGGCACAGAACCTGACACAGCACACATGCACGGACACACATGCTAAAGTTAGTAACATCTCTGAATCAATGTTCTGTAGGAAGACCCCTCACAAAAATGTGAAATCATTGTGACTCGCACTTAACAAAGTAATGAAAAGGACAAACCCATCAGGGAGGAGGACTTGACATTGTAAGGAAGGACAGCTTTCGAGAACTTTGGCATTTAAAAGTCCATCATGAAAACAGTGACTCGCTGCAAGAGTGAACATGTTTCTTCCTGTTTACTTTCTGAATAAATATTACTCAATGCCTGAGGTTTAATGATGGTATTCAATGGGGCAACAGCGAAATGTCACAGAGTGCCTGTCTGAATATAATAAAACTAAAGAGGAATCCATTAACATGGCTGCAATGTTGTTTTGCCAGAAAAGGCTTGCATCGTCATGGTGTTTAACCTGTTATGTCTAGCTCAGCATTAGTCTATCATCACCAGTGATCTCTCAGACACGCGAAAACAACTCATTTATTAGGACATTGTTGGGGCCAGGAGTTTTTTCTGATCAAGTGATCCGACCAGGAAAAACTATTGGCTGTAGTTATAGCCTATTACTAATGACTTGCGTTTATTTCTGGTCAGGACAAGTGGTCAGGAAAACCTTCAGGCCTGAGAATTTACTACTACTTGGCAATTCCAAGGTAACAGATTTACGCTAAGACCATTGATTTCAAAAGTTTAACAAATTCCATTATCGTGGAATTGCCCTACTACTCCAGTGTACGGGGAAAACCACCTGTTGAATAGAACATTCCTTGGAAAATGAACCAGTCAGTTATACAAAGTTCTCTGCATTTGTACCGTTTCAGTGTTTCCCCTAGGATTTTTTAAAGCAGCGTTAGCGGGGGAGGGGCGTGGCCAATGGCACAGTTTTAGAGGCCCACATCTTGGCCACAGAGACAACATTTTGCTGTTTTAAAGCAAATTTCCTGCAAATATACACATTTTGCCATGGCTTATGCCCAATGTCCCCTCTAAGCTGCGCTGTTCTGTGAAGGGAGTAGTACACAGCGTTGTACGAGATCTTCAGTTTCTTGGCAATTTCTCGCATGGAATAGCCTTCATTTCTCAGAACAAGAATAGACTGACGAGTTTCAGAAGAAAGTTCTTTGTTTCTGGCCATTTTGAGCCTGTAATCGAACCCACAATTGCTGATGCTCCAGATACTCAACTATTCTCAAGAAGGCCAGTTGTATTGCTTCTTTAATCAGCACAACAGTTTTCAGCTGTGCTAACATATTTGCAAAAGGGTTTTCTAATGATCAATTAGCCTTTTAAAATGATCAACTTGGATTAGCAAACACAACGTGCCATTGGAACACAGGACTGATGGTTGCTGATAATGGGCCTCTGTAAGCCTATATAGATATTCCATTTAAAAAATCTGCCGTTTCCAGCTACAATAGCCATTTACAACATTAACAATGTCTACACTGTATTTCTGATCAATTTGATGTTATTTTAATGGACAACAAAATTGCTTTTCTTTCGACAACAAGGACATTTCTAAGTGATCCCAAACTTTTGAACGGTAGTGTGCCACTAGAGATCCTGGTTCGAATCCAGGCTCTGTCGTAGCCGGCCGCGACCGGGAGACCCATGGGTCGCCAGGATTGTGGGTTCGATTCCCACGGGGGGGCCAGTATGAAAAAATATATATAAAATAATAATGTATGCACTAACTGTAAGTCGCTCTGGATAAGAGCGTCTGCTAAAATGTAAATGTAAAAAATGTATACACACACACACACAAAAATCAGTGGCTGCCACAATTTAGCAGCGGCATAAATGCATATAGGGGAAACACTGCGGTTTAACCCAGACAGGCTACTTAATGAAAACATCCCGTAAACTGAGAACATCCTGAAGCTTAGAGCGCCCACCCTCAGCAGAACAACCCTCGCAGTAACACTGACTATCTAATCAGCTGAAAGAGATTTCCCGTTTCCTCTTTGTATGTGTGAGGTCAGATGTGGTAGAGTGGGTGGTGTAGACTTTAGTTTAAAACTTCTTTAGATCTGGCTCGCCCTCTCTCCATGTGCCCCTCCCCATGGAATGTGGTTTACGGACGCTAACAGAGGCTCATCCAGTCCAAACCAGTATGCCAGGCAGGAGAGCCTGAGCCGTGTCGCCATCTTAAGTCTGCCTCTCTCTCTCTTTGGATCGCTGCCCTCTCATGCAGCAACTCCCAGTTTGTCAGAAGTCTAGTTAAAACAACAAAAACAGGTCTCGGTCTGTTTCTCTCTTCTTATTATTTTCTCTTCTCCGAATCAAGTTGCCTAGAAAGTGACGTTTTCGTTTGCTCAGATTTCCAGTCGTATACTGCTAATGTGACTCAAACAGCCCGTTACACAGCCTTTCAGTTCACACAGTGCACGTACAGTAGCTGCACAGGGAGCACTATCTGGCAGATCTGACACTGTAAGGGTCCTAAGGGAAGGTCACAATGATCACTATATGGCAGCTTGATAAATCATTTCCGTTTCCCCTGTGGGTCAGAGTGACCAAGATGTGTCCAGTCTGTTCAGGTTCAGACAGTATTAAACATATGGAGATCCACCCAACAACAGTACACCCAACATCCCTCCTCTCTGTCTTCCCCATCTGTCTGGTCCCCTGGCACACCTACTTAATTAAACTCCAAGAATGTCTGATAGAACTGCAACTGCATTATAACTTTACCATATCAGAGTGTTTCCCTGACAGTTGCCTGACCTGGAATTGGGTTAGTATTCAAGTTTAGGCAGGTACTGTAGAATTTTAACTAAGGTTATTCCCCAGGTGGATTGATCAAGGTAATCTGATCCTCTGGGCTGCAGCAAGCTGAAAGCAAACTAACAGAAGGGCCCTTGTGTAAAAATGGAGGTACAGGGGGATAAAACACGGGACACACTTTTCACGGCACTTTGATACAGTGATCCAACATGCATAAAAAGTATTTACAGGCAACAGAAATTATTAATCCAAAAATAGATTAGAAAACAATGATTTAATTAGATGTGACTCTGTAAAACTATTTTTTTTAAAATCATGTTAGCCAGCTAACTAGCTAGCAAGAGTGGCAAGCTTAGCTACACTGCCAGTCAAAAGTTTGGACACACCTACTCATTCAAGGGTTTTTCTTTATCTGTACTATTTTTTACATTGTAGAATAGTGAAGACATCAAAACAATGAAATAACACATATGGAATCATGTAGTAAACAAAAAAAGTGTTAAACAAATCAAAATATATTTTATATTTGAGATTCTGTTGGCTGCATTTCCTTCACTCTGCGGTCCGACTCATCCCAAACCATCTCAATTGGGTTGAGGTCGGGGGATTGTGGAGGCCAGGTCATCTGATGCAGCACTCCATCACTCTCCTTCTTGGTCAAATAGCCCTTACACAGCCTGGAGGTGTGTTGGGTCATTGTCCTGTTGAAAAACAAATGATAGTCCCACTAAACCCAAACCAGATGGGATGGCGTATCGCTGCAGAATGCTGTGGTAGCCATGCTGGTTAAGTGTGTCTTGAATTCTAAATTAATCACAGACAGTGTCACCAGCAAAGCATCCCCACACCATAACACCTCCTCCTTCATGCTTTACGGTGGGAAATACACATGCGGAGATCATCCGTTCACCCACACCGCGTCTCACAAAGACACAGCGGTTGGAACAAAATCTCTCTAATTTGGACTCCAGACCAGAGGACAAATTTCCACCGGTCTAATGTCCATTGTTCGTGTTTCTTGGCACAAGCAGGTCTCTTCTTCTTATTGGTGTCCTTTAGTAGTGGTTTCTTTGCAGCAATTCGACCATGAAGGCCTGTTTCACACAGTCCACTCTGAACAGTTGATGTTGAGATGTGTCTGTTACTTGAACTCTGTGAAGCATGTATTTGGGCTACAATTTCTGAGGCTGGTAACTCTAATGAACTTATCCTCTGCAGCAGAGGTAACTCTGGGTCTTCCATTCCTGTGGCTGTCCTCAGTTTCATCATAGCGCTTTTTGATGGTTTTTGCGACTGCACTTGAAGAAACTTTCAAAGTTCTTGAAATGTTCCGTATTGACTGACCTTCATGTCTTAAAATAATGATGGACTGTCGTTTCTCTTTGCTTATCTGAGCTGTTCTTGCCATAATATGGACTTGGTCTTTTACCAAATAGGGCTGTTAATTGAAATGCATTCCAGGTGACTACCTCATAAAGCTGGTTGAGAGAATGCCAAG